ATGAAATGGTTGCGAACGCTTGCAATACAAACAATGATATGATAGGATTTAATGAAGATGTTATGAGGTCATTGGTGGATGATGGTAGTGTGGAACATAAATGGGATAGCTATGACAACACACATTTCTTATGTGGTTTTCCAACAGAAGTGGACTTTTGCTTCCAGCAAGGTCAAACATACTACTGCTCAATAACATACAAATTGTCTGTTAAAGGACCTATTGAACTAGCAACTGAAAATGTACCAAAGCCACTTATTGGATTTATGAGGGATTGTTGCTTTGCCATTCAGGTGCGTGCTAATGGATCCCAATAATAAGATTAGATGACTATAACTTAGCTACGGACGACAGTGAGGAATAAAGGATGAACGTTTATTTTTAAAGCTTATAAATGAGTTCTTCATCAAGCTCTCGTGAACCTTCACCATCTATGAAACAAACTTTACCAAACGATTATGGAGCACCTATTGAATATTTCTTACGAGCTGCACAATGGCAAAGAGCAGTCTCACCAAGGTTAGGTGTTCCACCAGCTCCTGTCAAAAATAGCATTTGGTCAAGTCCTTATATAAGATATGGTCTCCCACTAGGTTTGCTAGCTACAGCAGGAGCAGTTATGATGTTGAAAAGAAATAAAGCAAATGTTGTAAATAATACTGAAGTAGCTGAAGTTAAACAAACTCCAACACCTTCGCCAAAACCAACGCCTTCACAAGCAAAACCTTCAATGACTCCTGAACCTATGGAAGTACAAACTCCTGTTCAAAAGTCAACTCCTAAACCGACTCCAACATTTAAACCAGAACCTACTCCTCAAATAAATCGTAAAACTCCTGCGTTTCCTTACTGAAAAAATAACGTTATTTTTATTTAATATTAAAATTTTTATTTGATTGAAATGACAAATAAAGTCACTGAAGCAATGAAACAAAAGTTTTTGGTAGAATACATTAAATCAGGAACTATTCCAGAAGGTTTTTACATTCATACTATGAAGGATGGTAGAGTTCAGTTTAGAAAGATAAAGCAACCATTAGATAAAGAAGGAATTTTGAGAAAGATTAAACTTCATGAGGACAACATTGCTAAACTTAGGAAGAAGTTAGAAGAGTTGGAGAAAGGAAGAGAGTTATAAAGCAATGAATTCAACAGGGTGAAAAAACAGGTGAGATCTCACCACTTCACCTAAATTTATTTTTGTGCTATGTTTTCATACGTGTGAGGGTGGTGATATCATTAATTTTTAAGTTTATTTTTTTATAAATGACAGAACAAAAATATAACATTTCTACTCAGCAGGAATGAGACCCTTACTGACTATGTATTCGTTTAATGCTTGATGAAAACAATGGTACATATTATCGTATGGGTATACACAACGTCTGTTTCCATCGTCGTCGTATATGTAGAGCTCAAATCCAGTCCAACCTTCTTTTGTACAATATGTAGCTTTATTTAAGTATGTATTTATGTAGATAAGGCAATTTTCTTCATCGCTCCAGAAATAATTTTTGTTCTTTGTTGAAATAGTTTTCGTTCCTCTGCGACCATAAGGAATGTATGCAATGAACTTTGCGTCATAAGGGATTGTAATATATTCAGGGTTTCTTTCATCGTCAATGGGTCTGTCTTTGTTAAAATGCATGTTTCTCAGTTTTACTTGAGTTTTGAATAGTTCACGGAAACGTTCTGGGAAAGAGTCATAGTAAATGTAGTCGGACATGTCTTTGTAATGAAATAAAAAATTTAAAAAAATAAAAATAAGGTTATTTTTTATTTAGTGAAGTCATTAGTGAAGTCGTTAGTGAAGTCATTAGTGTCAGACGGCTTTGTAAATATTTAATGTTAAGTTGGTGTTATAGTTGTGTTGTAAAATATACGTTACCGGTTTCGTAAAGTGTCAAAACCGCTAAGTGGTGTACGGAGGCGCGCAGTGCCACAGTACGCAACTTAGGGATACTAACTTACGAATACCTCGGTACTCCGAGGTTCAGGTTAGTAAAAATCAATCTAAAAATATTTTTTATGTACGTTAATGTAATCTGAGAGTGAGAGGCATATAGTATGCCTATATACCTCTCACCCTTCAATTCCTACCAGAAAGTTCGAAAACTTGGTCGCAATCAGATGCAATTGCGACCAAGTTTTCGAACTTTCTCGAGGGAATAGGAGCCTACCAGGCACTGATACATAATCAGTGCTTGGTAGGCTCCTATTCACTTTCTAAATGGGAGAAATTTTGCTTTCATAAGATAACATACGAACAAAGTTTCTCCCATTTAGAGTTTGAATTGAAGGGTGCGAGGTATATAGGCATACTATATACCTCTCACCCTTCAATTCCCATGAAAACAGTTCTAAAATAAAAATAAAAAACAAACTTAAATTAACTATTAAATTTTTTATATTTTAATTTCATATTTTTAATAAAATTCCTTATATATTATAATTATTATATTAAAAACCCTTTCGAATTTTGGCGCGAAAAATAAGAGTAAGTGTCACTTTTTATCACTTTTCTAGTGACCCTTTTCGGTACGGAAAAAAATTAATATTCTCCTAAAGTGAAAACAATTTTCCAAATTGACATCCTTAGATTGATTGACTAAAAAGCTCTAGCTTGAGGAAAAATTGTGTCTGAATTTGAAAATTTAATTAAGTAACTTCTGATATGTTATTTTTTGTACAGATGGTTGACATATAAGGATCTCGTATGGAGAAAATTTTTCTCCAAATAGGAAAATGAGATTAGAGTATGGCATTCCAAACGGGAACCGCGGTTGGTTACCATGGATTTCCGTCACCGGTCACATTTTAAAGATTTTTAAAGCCTTATAAAAATATGCTTTGTAAATCATTTTTTGTAAATCGGCAAAAATTTGGTAATTTTCTTCAACTAATAAATCTGCGAATAGCATTTATAATACAAGAACAATCTTTTAAAATGCATTTGATTCATTTTTGTATAATTTCATATAGGCACATATATTCTTCCAGGACTTTCCGTGATTTTACCGTAAAATCATTAGTTTACACCAATTTTCCCGTATTTTGAATAGTTTACTGCACTTTTCCCGTAAAATTGAGTTACGGGAATCCGCAAAATTTCCGGACCTCATTTTTCATAGAATATAATAATAATATTTGATAAAAAGATATATTATTTATATTTTTGATTTTTGAATTACGGAAAAAGTGAATTGATAACTTGATTTTTTATATGGTTAATTTTTCAAATGATATTATGAAGATCTAAAATATTAAAAGTAAAATATTGAATTACGGAAAAAGTGAGGTCAAAAGTGAAATAAATTTGCAGAACAATTTTCATTGAAATAAGCTTTATTTTTCATTATTAATAACAATGCAAAAAATATTTATCACGGGTTCAAAATTTAAAATTAAATATTTTAATAATTTACATCTTATTCTTTATTTTATATTTAACCCGTGAAAATATCATTTAAAAATTGAATATATTCAAAAAGCTTTATTTTTATTATGACTGCATGGGATCCTCATGTATATGATGAGTGGATTCCATTTAAGAAGACGAAATATCCACCAACTCCTGAAACATTGGAAACAAAGTGTGGAAAAAATGTTTCACTACGATCGGCTATTATGAGAATGAGCCTAATCAATCAGACAAAGGAAGGCTCTTTACATACTGTGCCGAATGTAGTGAAACATTAGTTCAAGGGCAGTTCGTGCGATGCATTAAAAAAAGCAGGAAAAATGATTTTAAAGATCATAAGTGCAAATTTTTACTCCCAATGCCCAACTACGTTCCTGCTGAGCACCAAGTTGAGAATACTCAGCAAGCAGTTGGCTCTGGTAATGATCCTTCGTTAGAAGAGATCATTGCCAGGCTTATTGCGAGCCTAGATATAAGCCTTTATGCCACAATGAAGCCAGCATTTAAAAGCTTCCTAGAGAGCTTCGCCAAATGGCTTAAAAATAAAGTCAATCGCGAACAGGGCATCAACTTTACAATCCCAGACATTGAGTTCACACGGCGCGGTGTCAGAGAGGCATTGATTACTTTAGGCAAAACAGACTCCTCTCGGGGCCTAAAGTTCTGCGAGGAATTCCGCATCTTCTCAATTTCCCTGGACTGCGGAACACACGGCAGCCGTCATGGTCTATTCTCTTGTGTGTGCAATCCAGGCAAAACAGATCGCCACCAATTCTTCGACACAACAATTTCGACTAATTGGACATACGAGGACTACCATACGTGGTTTGATTCTCTTAAGGTTAATAAAAACCACGTAGCTGGAGTAGTCGGAGATGGTTTGCCAGCCCAGGTTAAAGGACTCTGCCACTGGAGGCCAGAAGGAGCCCTTTTCCCTGGCTTACAAACCGTGTACATTCGTTGCCTTAACCACGTCTTGAACAATGCTATTGTCCACGCACGTAAGCAATGTCCATTGTTGAATGAACTGATGAATAGAGTTCACCAGATTATCATTATCTTTAAGAATCACGATATGAGAGCGAGATACAAGATCAGGGTTCCATCAATCCCGGAAACTCGCTGGCTCTACATATATGATACTCTGTTTTTCATCTTTGATAATCTGGAAACAATTAATACTGCTTTAAGAAGTGGAGATCTTCCACTATCCCTTTCCAGAGCTACACGTGAACAGTTACAATGGACACGTGATGGAATTCCTCCACTCTTTAAAGATGCTTTAATGATATTCAAGCCATTAAAGCAACTTCAATTATGGCTGGAATCCAACAAGTCCATGGGTGCTTATGCATTCCTGATGATACAACAGTGCCAAGGGATGTTGGATGAAATGGCAGGAAGATTAACGCCAGATGGTGAAGAGATTCTCCGATCAATCACTACAATATTCAAAAATGATATGAAAGAATATGGTAGAATTGATTTGCTTCGGTTTGCTTTCGGCTTTACACCGTTAGCAAGGAAGATCATCAGAGACAAGAAGGGTTTTGGAGGAAAGACAAGCTATCCACCTATAATGCAGTTGAAAGATGTGCAAGTCCCAACGATTCCTTCCCTGAGGATCATCAATCGCGAGATCACATTTGAGAAACTCGGCGAAATCCTTGAAGAAGAACGAACAGAACGTGTTGACGAGGTAGCCGAGCATGATGAAGAGATCCAGCAAGCAGAAGAGGAACAAATGCTTAACGACGATCATGCAGCCGAAACAAATGCCGATGGTTCGAGGAATTCCTTGGTCTGGGATGTTGTAGATGAAGAGATAAAAGATCTATACACATTCATGATAACAATCCTCAGACAAAGAGCAATTGCCGAATCAACAGTTGATCCAACGATCAATAAAGACGATAGAGCCAAGGAATTGAGTGATGCTTACGATTTCTTCATAGAGCAAGATGATTCCCATCTTATAAATGGTCATCATCTTGCTCAAAATGATGGCAAGTTTTGGTACATGAATGGCATAAAGCAACTAAAAGCAATAAGACCAATTGGAAAAAGGATGATGTCACTTTCGTGCAGTGAAGCAGATGTAGAACGTGTAATATCTGAATTGCGAAAGACAAGAAATTCAATGAACGAATCATGCAAAGAAGAATATGTAGCATGCCGCTTCTTCATCAAGTTGAATGATGATCAATTTGATATTTGATTTTGTTTTTTAATAAAATTTATTAAATAATTTGTTTTAAAAAGTATTATTTTTATTCGTAAAGATATTAGACAGAAGGTGGCCAGCCTAATGTCTATCAATCTTTAATATTAGTAGTAATTTCCAGCATTTCTGAATGATAATTGATTAGCTTTGTTGTTATTGATGTAAAACTGGATAAGTATTAAATAATTATATTAATCTTGGCCAGAGGACTGCTGATGGCCAGTCAGCAGCGGCCACTATGAATCATTATAATTATTTAATACCTAAATTGAGGTAAAAAGCAATAAGACTTGCCGAGCCTCATGCCCCTACCTCATATAAATAGAATCACACTTTAGTGAATCAACATCTATAAGAATGAAGTGTTTTGAAGCTGAAATAATATTGAATAGAAATTAATTTTTTCTGAAATTTTGAATGAAATTATGTGAAATAAAAAATTACTAAATATTGTATTCATACAAATATATTATTTTAAAGGAAAAATAGATGCTGATAGAAACGATGAAAATTTTTGAAAACTTTACAATTAATTTATGTTCGTTAACCATAGAGCTTGCAATCCAAAGCTCACGTTAGACAACAAGAGTCATGAAGTCTCATACTAAGGGATATCCAACATATATTTTAATAATCTAATGTTTGTGACAAATATTCAACATAAAATTAAGTTTTCGTTTCGTTACAAGGCATTCATACTTTGGAGATATCATATTAAACAATACATGCTAAAGAATTAATAAATAAGATAATAAAATAAATTTATACGTAATTACTTTCATTTAATATGCTTTATGCTGTATAATATTGATTAAGAGGCATTAAAAGGTTCCATAGTCTGCTTTTATAGGCAAGATTTTTGATAAAAATTTTAAATTTTGAAAAATGATGAGAAAAGGAAAAAAAAGGTAAATGAGAGCAAGAGGAGGGAAAAAAAGAAAAAGAAAAGAAAGGGAAGGGAAAAATAAAAGAAAGAAGGACATATAAAAATTTAGATGCGCATTCTTAATGCCGAGGCGGCTTGCCGCCGAGGCGCGATTTTTTTAGGCCTCTACGGTAACCCGGCAATGTTTTTTTAAATCTTGTACAGCCCTAGATTAGAGAAATTTTACAAATTGGAGAAGCGGGCTTATTTAGAATTGGGAAATACCCACCGTTATTTCTCCAAACGAGATCCTATACTTAATACTTTGTCCCCCACCACCTCTATCAAAAAAAATTATAAATTTTAATGAGTCAAAGTATTGGTCAAAATTTCGAATATATTGGTGCTCATATCAAAGATTATATTAAAGATAATACTCCGTTTAACACATTCGAGATCGAAGACATCAAAAGAATCATGAAATACTCTTCATTTAGTTGTGAAGATTTCAACACTCTTCTTGAAGAATCACATTCACATGTTTCATCAAACAGATTGTACAGATGCACTCGAAATGCTAATATTTCAATCAAGAACATCGACGAAGCCATTTCAACACTTAAAACAGTTCAAAAATACATGAAACTTGGACTCTTAAGAAGTATTATTGACATATTCTATCAAATCCAGAATGATCAATCCGAATCAACAAATAAAATCTCAAAACATCAAACAAAGTTAAATCAAATTCAAAACGAAAAAGAAAATCTTTCTAAAGAAGTAGAATCTCTTCAATCAGAAATCAAAATATTAAAAGTAAACGATTTACCAAATGAATTCATCTCCAAAATTTCAAAACTTAAAAATTCCGAAGAATTTTATGAAATCTACAACTTCTTTGTTGAAATTTCAGAAAACGGAAGTCAACAAATGATGTCTAAAGCATTCGAAGAAGGACTTTGGCAAAAACAAAATGAGAATTACCCCTATGGAAATGTTCTTCATGAAGCATCATATCAAGGAAATCTTCAACTTGTTAAATCTCTTATTGAAAGTGGATGTGACAAAGAAATAACTAATAATTATCAATGTACTGCTCTCCACTGGGCATCATTAAATGGTAAACTTGAAGTTGTTCAATATCTTATCTCAGTTGGAGCTAATAAAGAAGCAAAGAATAATTATGGATGGACTCCACTCATTGCTTCATCATTAAGTGGTAAACTTGAAGTTGTTCAATATCTTATCTCAGTTGGAGCTAATAAAGATGCAAAGAATAGTGATGGAGAAACTCCACTCATTTTGGCATCATCTAAAGGTCATCTTGAAGTTGTTCAATATCTTATCTCAGTTGGCGCTAATAAAGAAGCAAAGAATAATGATGGACAAACAGCACTATCAGTTTCAAAAGATAAAGTTAGAGAATATTTATTATCTGTTGAATAAAAAATCGTTTCATATTACATTTTAAAAGAAAGAATTAATTCTTAAATTATAAGAATAAAAATTGATGTTATTTTGTAAACCAATCGTATTTCAACCACAGTTCATTTTCGTTAAAGTAAATCTTAATAATAACTTGATTACTAGAGATTGGAAACCGATGTTCAATACACTATATTAATCAATGTTGAAAACGGGACAAATTGGTTAATCTTACATGAATCATCATTGACTTCAATCTGAAAATTATTTGAATGTAAATATTGTAAGTAAGGCAGTATTTTCAGCCAACACAAACAAGATTTTAGTATTTTGACTTCTAGAAATCTTGTAAAAATCAAATCAGAACCTTCGCCATCAATCATAAAATTTTCATCTTCTGATGTAGCAGAAATTTCGAAGTTCCATATATCACCTTTATAATGAGAAAATCTAGTAACTCCGAGCTCAGAAAACGATGCCTTCAAACCATCAAAGGATTGAGATGAGAAACTATCTTCATGTTCAATATATACTGATCCAGTGGTAAAGGCTGAAAATAATAATAAGGAAAATCGAATTGTAGTGAAGGAAGATGGAACATTTGAATTTTAAAAATTTTTGGACTATCCATTCAATGAAAAATTCTTCATGTATCAATGTTCAAAAATCATGAAAAAACTCTTCATGTATCAATATACATGGCTTTTTTTATTAGGATGAAAAAGTTTATAATTTTAATCCCTTGAAATATTCATTAATGATCTTGTGATAAAATCTATTTTTATATTTTTACTAATTCACCTTTGAAATCAAAAATATTAATCATTAAATAATCACAATTGTTTGAATTCTTTCCTGTTTGAGTTAATTTGAAAGATACAAAATATTCGTTTGTTTCAAGTGGAAATTCTTGGATTCCTTTTAGTGTAAATTCATAATATTTATCATTATCTAATACAACAGTTGTTCCATCTTCTTTGATTCCTTCTAACTTCCATCTCCTCAATAAACAACTATCATACGTAATTCTAGATTGTAACGTATAAGATGTTGGTTTTAATTTATATCCTTTTAGATCAGCTTTTATCCATGAATTAGGATAACTACAAGTATAGAAATCAACATCATTTCGATAAGAATTTATATATGATAAACTTCTATTTTGAATAGATGAAGCTGTAAATTTCATTTTAATTTCTTCGGAAATTTCTTCAAAATGAGATTCATAAGCACAAATAGAGTTATCTGATATTGTAAATTGATTGTTAATTAAAGGTTTTTCGAATGATGAAATAGGTTCATTTGAGATTTCAATACTTTCTCGAAGATTTGAATGAGAATTCTTTAATGTTTCGTTATATATAGAAAGAAGAACTCTTTCGAATGAATGCTCAATACAAAAATTATAAATTATGTCATAAGTTCCTCGTGAACAAAATGTAAGTTTGATGTATCTAAATAAGTCAAACAATGTATCATTCTGTTTGCAGATTGATAAAAGTAAAAGAGATAAATGATCTTCGTTGTCGATCTTTAATTCGTCTGAGGTAATGATTTTTTCACAAAATTCATAGCCATTTTTTGCGAAGTGTTCAATGATATCTTTGTCATCTAAACAATATAAATGTGATGAAATGAATCTAATGCATTCGTTTTCTGCTATAATATCATTTTCAAAAACTGCAATTTCATACTATTCAAAAACGTTTTCTTTTGTAATAGATTTGTCTAATTTAACATGTTTTGTATATAATTGTATGAATAATTGATTTCCAAAATGTTTTCCAATTTCAAATATATCATGATAATGTGATTCATCTTCTTCAAAGTCAAGTTTTCCTGTTTCAAGAAACTCTGAAAGTATATCAATTGAATCTTCACATTTGAGATCTAGATTTACTTCATATGATGACATCGATTTATTAATTAAAAATTTTTCTTGGATTAAATCTGAAAAACAAACTGCAGATGACTTCTTTGTTTTGATTATTCGACCATTAATATTGATATTAAATCGTCCACACTCTGTTAGAATGCCAACACGCTTTAATTCTTTGCATGATTTCGTTATTTGAACCATGAGGAAAAAAAAATAAAAAAAATTAATTTTTTTAGTCTATTAAGGGTGCCCTATAGACGATAGACCACCCTCAGAAAAGCACTTTTAAGGCTATTATATTGAGAACTAGAATCTGGATAATCCATTCATTCGAGTTCTAATAAGGTTAATTTTGTGATGTTTACATTATCGTTATAGGGCACCCTTAAACAAAATAAAGACTCGAATACTCTTAAGGTATTGTCACATTCTTTTATAGGCTTAATTCAAACCCAAAAACTTGATACTTGATTAAAAAAAATTGTGCAAATCATGTTAACTTTAATACATGAAGTTCAATTGGATTCATTTTTCACAACAGCTATGATTTCCCAGTTATAGATAATCTCCGGATGATATTAATTTGATATTTCTAAGAATTAATATATTATTTTCGCTCAAATTAATTTCTGAGTTTGATGTGTTTAAGATTCACATGCTTCGATGTCTCCCTCGTCATCTTATTGGATCTAATCGTCTTAGTGTTTGAAGAACTTATATGACCAAATTAGATTCAATAAGATGACGAGGAAGCGAAAGAGGCAAATAGGGGTTTCTTGTGAATGAAAAGAGTCTCTCTTCCATGCGGAGACATATTTCTGCATCTTTTGAGCCGATCTAACACATTTTATTGTGAACTAAACGTTGTATTGGTCGCTAAATCTATTATATAATACTATAAGTTCTATGATCTTTATCTTGTTAGAACCAATCATGACGATACCAGATCCCAAAATTTATAAATATATAATATATTAAAGGTATGAATTATAATAGTGCCTATAACATTTGAAACTTTTGTGAAAATTACAACTGTATCCTCTGGAATGTTGTAAATTTTCGAAGATTATAACAATGCCAGAGTCTAGACTTAGCGGAAAAAGTTCTATGTTAGCAGACTCTTGAAAATGAAGCTTTTTTCCATCACTATCATAACTTTTATAATTTCCACTCTGAAGGATATACCCGCTTACATTAGAGTTTATATTTTTGGATGCAGAATAGCGAATAGAGATGATTTTACTAGATGTTTATGAGAATTGATTTGTCAGTTCACTTCCATCTGTGCCGATATAGAGATTATTGTTATTAATCAATTATTGACGTCGAATTAAATGAGATGTGAATGCTATCAGTGATATAGTAATAGTTTGGTAACCGGATTCATCAAGTGCTTTATTAACAACTTCCATCAGCAGATACATCCAGTTTTCATTTGAATTTCTGTTCATCTAAAACTAAGTCTTTGCATTCTTCTATAATGAGTGTTTCAATTCCTGTGTGCTTCTTTTATATCCGCAATAAATTTTGAGTGGTAACAATTAAGCACCATATTAACTATACATTTATAATATAGGGTGTCCGGAAATATAGTTAGCATCAACCTAAATAAAATAGATAATGCATTTATACTCAAATATTAATTAATGGATTGAGCATTAGCTATATCTGTTTTGAATATGGCCGCTAAGTCTCTTTTAGATAGTGAGATAATCGATTTTTAATTTTTTGGATCTCATGTCTTTTTAACCAATTTTTTGATGAATTTTATATTAGTCTATCTAATCTTATATTTTTATTCTTTGAGAGCTTATAAATAGATCACTGTATTTGCAATTAATAATAATATTTTTACAGTTCAATTGTTTTGAATAATTCTAATATACTTTCCAATTATAAAGAGATTATTAATTTATACGAACATAATGCAAGATATAAATGAGATGTGAATTCTATCAGCGATGTAATAATAACTATGATATTCAGATTTATCAAGTGTTTTATTAACAATTTCTAAAAATAGATTTCATCTTTGAAACTGACTATTGATTTCAATATAATATACTCCAAGGTCGAAAGTATCGTATGGAAAATAAATTTTATGATCAATAACTTCAGATAAATATATTTGACGAAAATTGTCGCTAAATATCGCATAAGCTCCATTTTCAATATCATCAGGAGTCTTAATTGGTGTTGTACTTCCTTTGGATATATTAACATAATCTAGACTTAATGTATTCTGTGTATCGCATAAAGGATGATCTAGAGAAACAATCCACTTAGAAAAAAGATATGCTTCAAAATCGGATTTGGAACTTAACAGAAATCGATCAAATTTAAAAAGGATTGTATAGTTCTTATCATCTTTTTCTATATAACAAAAATTTGCGCCTGTATTGAAATTTTCTGCGTAGGAATTATTTGAAATTTCACAATCTGTAATTTCAATGTTTGATATTGGGACTTTGACTTGAACATTTAATTGTATCCCATAATTAGCACTGCCAGTGTTGTTATATACAAAATACTCTGTTTCTGATAAACTGTCAGTTCTTTTTTCACATAAGATTTGAATGTCATGTATAATATTTCTTTGACATTTTGTAATGTCAATAGAAAAGGTATCATTGTTAATATCAAGTATTGACTTGTAATAAATTTCATCGAGTTTGTAAAATCGCTTGAGAGCATAAATAAATAGAGACATTAATGCGTGATATAGGCAATAACGAAATTCGACTTAAAAGTTATAGATTTTTAGCGCGCAAATCTAAACTTAAGGGTCCATGGCCCGGCCAAGCGAAGGCTATCGTTTAATTTCAGAATTTATATGGCAATGCCCATATCTAATTATAGATTCTGATTTGATATGGGCATTGCCATATATACTGTTTTTAATACATTTTTTTGGATTTCGTTAACCATAAAGCCCTAAAAAATCCATTCAAGGTGAAGACGATAACGATAATTCTCATTTTAGCATTCAATTTTTGAATAGTATTGAAAATGTACCGTTAGCCCTTAAGTGCACTAGACTTTAACTGTGACTGGAACTTCGCGTTCATCATCTCTGAAAAATGTTGTGTCGATTAACTATAAATTATTTCACCACATTTAACAAGTTAGATTACATCGCAAACAGGGTTTTGTGAGTTAAAGATGACATCGCAGATATAACAATAAAAAACATCGATTAGTGTGTTGTTGTACTTCCTTTGGATATTTTAACTAACAGCAATGCCATCAGAAGTGAATGTAATCAGTGATGTAATAATAGCTAATATAATCGGATTTAACAGCAGATATATCCTGTTTTATTAACCATGATCATGATTTAAAATATATGAAAAGAATATATAGTTTCTCTATTCTAATTATTTAATAAAAAAAATTTATTTGGTTGATAAGTAAATTATACAATTTTAGCTTTATAAGTTATTTCCTTAGTATTGCTGCCTTTGTTGGTCTTGAATTCTCGTAAACTAAATGAACAACATCATCTTGTTCAAGTGATGTTAAAGCATCTAAGATTTCCTGTTCACTAGTTTCAGCTTCACCTCTTTTAACTCTAATGTTTGTAATAATTTGAGCAACAGAAACCATTCCTTCGAATGTAGAAAGGAATCTTGTGATTTCGTTACCCAAAACAGTGAGACGCTTTCTCTTCTCACTTGATGTACCAGAGTTAAGGATATCCATATCAATCAAACCAGTTGTTGGATCAGTAGCAGACTGATGCAAAGCTTCTTTCATCAAATCCAAAGCGACATCGACGTCCTTTTCTTCAACAATTTCAGACAATCTCATCTTAGCCCATGCTTCAGCAATTCTGATGCAGGACTGCAATTGTCTTGTTGTTGCTGAGATGACATTCTTTCCACCAGCGTTTCTCATGTCAATATATCCTTGCTCAAGTCTTTTGGCTGCCTTATCTGTAAGCATTGGCAAACAGTTTTCTTTGGCGTAAGCAATATATTCAGAGAGTTGCTGTGGAGGAATAGGTGTAGACAATTCATCGCGTGTTGTATACAAACCAATGATGTGTCTTGCGAGCTGCTGATCTCTTATCTCTGAAACATGATCCAAGACCAAATAAATGAGATCGAAACGAGATAAAAGTGTTGGTGGCAACTGGATGTTTTCAACAACAGAAAGTTTGGAGTTGTATGAAGAATCTCTTGGGTTTGCACATGCAACAATAGCTGCACGAGCGTTCAATGATGTAACAATACCTGCTTTAGCAATTGAGATTGTTTGTTGCTCCATGACTTCGTGCAAAACTGATCTTGCTGAATCATCCATTTTATCGAATTCATCAATGCAGCAAACACCTCTGTCAGAGAGTACTAAAGCGCCACTTTCTAAAACAAACTCTCCTGATTCAGTGTCTCTGACAACTGAAGCTGTTAAACCAACGGCACTTGAGCCTTTGCCACTTGTATACAAACCACGAGGAGCGATCTTATGAGTGTACTGGATCAACTGTGATTTTGCAGTGGCTGGATCACCGACTAACAAGATGTTGATGTCTCCTCTTGTTTTAGAAACAGCGCCGCCGAAAAGAAGACAAAGAAGACCTTTCTTCTGTTCTTCCATTTCCCAGATACTTGGAGCGAAACTTTTGATGAGTTTATCATAGATTTCTGGGTCTTTGCTCAATACAATGCATCTGTCTTCTTTGGCCTTCTTTTGGGCTGCTGTTAATGTGGCTTCGTTAAATCCGTTAAGATCTTCGTTCTCAATTGCTCTGTCGAGATTCTTCTTGATATGAACAACATCGATATATGTTCTGTAAACACTATGCAGTGTTCTAACTCGAGGATTAATACGGGCTGGCATCGCACGCCAAATTCCGGTCAAAATAACTCTGTCACCTGGCTTAGCATAATCAACAAGCTCCTCGAATACAATGGCTCCGACAGTTTGTGGAGTTTCTCCTTGAGGAATTGTTTCGGGAGATTCTTGTAATTTGATATGCTGACGGTCTGTAAAGATTGAAAGGTTGTGCTCCATCTCGAGCGTGTCGTTCTTCTTGCATCCTGGACATTGTGCTGGTGTTTCGACTTTGCCGTTTGCAACTGGAACGGATAAGACGTGTTTGCATGCTCTGCATCTAAAAGTGGCCTGAGAAAGATCTGGAATAACAGGAGAAGAGCGAGTAATCATACCGCGGACAGATACAAGTCGATCAATATCAGTTGGATGTAATTCTCGAATGGATTTTGTCTCTAATAAGTTATAAGGACGTACTTGGACTTCATTAACATGTTCATTATCTGCTGTGTTGATTGCCTGGAACATTTCTTTAATAACAGAATCGAAGATTTGAATCATTTCGAGTGGAAAGGCAACAATTTGGTGGTAAAGGGATTCTTGATGCTTGAAGACATGCTGCATATCAACATTAAGGTTGTATTCTTGGATAACATTCATTTCTCGAATCTTGGTGAAATATAAGCCTTCTTCTTCATTTTCATCAAGTTTAAACTTAGTAACAAACGATCTAATTTCGTTCGCTGCTGTTGGAACGTTAATGTTTGTACCATAGGCGACAGTTTGTGATAAATAAGATGAAGGTTCGGCCAAAAATGAAGATGATGGGATTGTAGCTGGCTCAGAGAAGTTATCATCAACATGGACTTGCGAAGCATTATCCTGAGATTGTGTATCTTGTGTATCTCGGGGTTCAGACATGTTTTTAAACTCAAAAACGTGACGAATTTTAGAAATAGTAAACGTGCGAATGATTAAGGTTATTTTTAGTTTTCAGTTAATTCTATTGAGGTTAATAGAATTAAGACAGTTTAGATAATTGAATCACTCTATTTTTAAAGGTAAATTTTCAATTTTTTTGAATTTTTAAAAATATTTAGATTAGTAAAACATGTTTTTTAGTGCTTTATCTTCCAATCAAGCTCATCTGCTGTGACAGGTCTCGGTAGAGGAATCATAAATTTCTTTTTATCATCTCGCGGCATTGATTTTCTCATATCATAGCCATCTTCATTTAGAGTAGCATAGTAATTAATAATTGTCCGATAAAGTGTGTATCCCATCTTGTTATACATGGTTTGAGCAGAGTGATTCGTTGGTCTGACGAACAAATCAACAAATTGTGCTTTAAAGTATTCATCGGAAGCTTTTTCGAGCAATCCCATTAAAAGAGTAGCTAAACCAGTACGTCTGTTATCCTCAGCGATTGTAACAGCGGTAACATGGCCTTTTTCTTCACCTTTTGTTGAGGTATCAGCCTGACCAATGATGTAGCCTACAATATTACCATCATTATTGCGAGTTGTCCAAGCAAGTTCGGGCCAAAGAATTGTATAATACATATAGAACGGAATTGAGTATGTTTCTGTCCATGGGTCAATATTTACGCGGCTGTAATGCCAGATATCATCAAGACTCCATCGATTAATACTAACCATTTGTAATTTTGGAAATTTCGACGATTATTGTAAAATTTTGTTACTGAAATTTTGCAAATTCATACAAAATTCACAATTTGTATTATAATGATTCAACTCACGAGCTTTTCGGCATCAAAGATAAGCAGTTAGTCTTCGACGGGTGTACAGATTAATTTTCGCTGCATTTGCTTTTTACAGACATTACAAAGAAGCTTAATGCCCTTAAACTGACAGCAGATAGCATTAAGTCTCAACCTGCCGACATTTCGGACTTCCACGAGAAGATTGCGAAGGTATCTCGTGGTCAAGAAGAAAAAACTCGTATTGCAGAGCATGTCAACATTCTAGAAGCCATCCAAGACAAAGTCAATGGCAAAAAGTTGTCATTAACACAACTAGAACAGGTTGTTGTCACAGATAACGATTCTCAACAGATGCTTGATCTTGTTTTACAAGCTATCAGGAATCCAACAACATCAGAAGAAGATGCACTTCGACTTTCACTTATTTACTCACTGCATTTTGATGGCCAAGGCATTGATCAAATTGATAACGCTTTAGGTGAAAGATTTGTTGCCGATTCTAAGCGTTTCTTATTACAGAAGATCAATGAGTATGCCGGCTCACTCAAGCGAGGTGGTGATGATGAGTTATTCGGCAACAAATCTAAGATGGCGCAATTATTAAAGACAGTTAAGAGCTTCAAACAAGCTAATGAGGACCAATACGATCTATTCAAGTCATTGGTTTTCCGATTGATAAAGAAGATCTCAGAGGGACAGCTCAAAGAAGAAACTTATCCATTTGTTCAGAAAAACAACATGTGCTCCGTCAAACCATCTAAAGTTATCATCTTCGTTGCAGGGGGAGTCACATACGAAGAAGCACGTGTTGCAGGACTCTTGTCTACAAAAGATTTCGAAGTCATCGTTGGAGGAACAGACGTTATCAACGCCAAGCAATTCATAGAATACGAACTCTTATAAAATACTTTCTTAAACAGTTATTTATTAAAAATATTCTATTATTTAATAAATAATATTTTAAAAATTAAAATTAAAAATCATTAAAATTCATATAGAAATGACATATTATATTTAAATTGTTCTAAAATATCTCAGATTTTGCAAAGTCATCAAAAAATTAGAGTATATTCATAAATTAGAAAGTTCTAACAATGAATATTGTTTTATAGAAAGAGAAAATATCAATTTTTGAATTATGCATATTTAGTCATGAGAAAAATACTCATATGACTGAATGGTGAAAGAACATTCATTAATCATCTTGTTATAAAGTCTATTTTTATATTTTTATTAACTCACCTTTGAAATCAAAAATTTGAACTATTAAATTATCATAATTGGTTGAGTTCTTTCCTATTTGAGTTAATTTGAAAGATACAAAATATTCGTTTGTTTCAAGTGGAAATTCTTGGATTTCTTTTAGTTTAAATTCATAATATTTATCATTATCTAATACAACAGTTGTTCCATCTTCTTTGATTCCTTCTAACTTCCATCTCCTCAATAAATAACTATCAGACGTAATTCTAGATTGTAACATATAAGATGTTGGTTTTAATTTATATCCTTTTAGATCAGCTTTTATCCATGAATTAGGATAACTACAAGTATAGAAATCTACATCATTTCTATAAGAATTTATATCTGATAAACTTCTTCCACTACATACAGATGAAGCTGTAAATTCCATTTTAATTTCTTCAGAAGCTTTTAGAATGTTATAAGAACAAATAGAGTTATTTGATATTGTAAATTGTTTGTCAATTAAAGGTTTTTCGAATGATGAAATAGGTTCATTTGAGATTTCAATATTTTCTCGAAGATTTGAATGATAATTCTTTAATGTTTCGTTATATATAGAAAGAAGAACTCTTTCGAATGAATGCTCAATACAAAAATTATAAATTATGTCATATGTTTCTCGTGAACAAAATGTAAGTTTGATGTATCTAAATAAGTCAAACAATGTATCATTCTGTTTGCAAATTGATAAAAGTAAAAGAGATAAATGATCTTCGTTGTCGATCTTTAATTCGTCTGAGGTAATGATTTTTTCACAAAATTCATAGCCATTTTTTGCGAAGTGTTCAATGATATCTTTGTCATCTAAACAATATAAATGTGATGAAATGAATCTAATGCATTCGTTTTCTGTTATAATATCATTTTCAAAAACTGCAATTTCATACTATTCAAAAACGTTTTCTTTTGTAATAGATTTGTCTAATTTAACATGTTCTGTATATAATTGTATGAATAATTGATTTCCAAAATGTTTTCCAATTTCAAATATATCATGATAATGTGATTCATCTTCTTCAAAGTCAAGTTTTCCTGTTTCAAGAAACTCTGAAAGTATGTCAATTGAATTTTTACATTTGGGATCTAGATTTATTTGATATGATGATATTGATTTATTAATTAAAAATTTTTCTTGGATTAAATCTGAAAAACAAACTGCAGATGACTTCTTTGTTTTGATTATTCGACTATTAATATTGATATCAAATCGTCCACACTCTGTCAGAATGCCAACACGCTTTAATTCTTTGCATGATTTCGTTATTTGAACCATGATAAAAAAATTGGCATTGAATTTTGTATTTTTGACCATGGGATTTAGCTATCCCCAGATAGCTTCATTGAAGAAAATACAAGTTAGGTCGGGCGTAAATTACTGTAGAGGTAAGAATTCTATTGCAAATATCTTCACAAATCCCAAGATTTGTTCACATTTTATATTATTGCCATTATTAATGATCATTTTAGCGCTAATAGATGCAATTATAGCTATCAAATCCAGTAACATATACGTCAAGATCATAATATCAGCATTTTACATATTATTTTTAATTCTCAACGATTCAAAAGCAATTCATATGAAAATACAACGAAAATGTCTACCAGCCCTGTTCTTCGACTCATTTACGATAATGATAGCTCTTATAATCGAAGAAATTCCAATTTTTTATTTTGATATTTATAAAAGCAAGCTTCAGAGGATGCTGTTTTTCATTATTCCTCTAATACTAAGTGGTATAGATATCTGGAGCGCATACTTTTCAAAAAATTTCATTTTCCCATCTTCAGACGTTTTATATTTACAGAAAATTGCTTATTACGTAATCATTCTACATCAAAGATATCAATTCCCTACACTTAAAAGGTATGGAATTAATATTGTTTTGATAATTTTGACATGTGTAGTTTATTCACTGATTATTCCAATTATCTTTTACTATCATGGAAGTATTACAGCTAAACAGCGTGCAGCCTACGCTTTTGGCCTCTTGCTAATACCCTATCTTGTTAATTTTGATATTGTTATAATTGGCGGGTTTTCAAAGACTTTAGAGTTCCCATTCTTCCTTGCAAAGTTCATACTAATGATTATTAACTCAAATATTCGTCTTCTTCAAATTCATTTCCTTAATCTTCCTTTCAAGAATTTTTTGACATGGTATCTGATTATCTCTTGGATAATTTCAATAGTTCCTGTTGGAATTATTTACTATGAATTCAAAATTTTTGAATATTGGATCTATTTCGAATTTATTTATAATTTGATCATGATCAAAAAAAAAAGGTAGTGGGGCTTCCAGGCGCGTTGCGCCCTCTAGCCCCGAAGATGTTTAGTATAAATGAAGTTTTTATTCGGAGGGCTTCCAGGCGCGTTGCGCCCTCTAGCCCATAAGAAATTTTGCCCAAGACCCAAGAGGAGGACCGAACCCCAGCCGACCAGCCGGTGACAAAACCAAAACCGTTGTTATTGACATCATATTAATGGTGTCACTTTTTAAATGCCACTTTTCTGTCACTTTTCACAAATTATATATGTTTTCATGTTTTGTCACTTTTCACAAATTATATATGTTTTCATGTTTTGTCACTTTTCTGTCACTTTTCGGGTAAAAACATTTTTATTATTATATATAAATGAATTTTACAAAACCGCCGTTACCGTTCTTTGGAAATAAGAGTAGATGTCAAGATATTATATTGAGGTGAGTGGGGCTTTGGCTTTGGTTAGCGGTTGAGAATTGTTAATGTTTGAATTGTGGTTAACAGCGTTGGCTTCCATTAGATAAAAATGAACTGACCAAAAAAGACAGATATTTAAATATTTGAGATGAACCGTTTTTGTCAACGGTAACCCCCTCTATTTTTTATTTTATTTAATAGTTACCGTTGGGAAAAACGGTTTATCTCAAATATTGAATGAACTATAAACGTTTTTTGTTTTCTATATATACTTTTTTGTCCAACGGTAAAACTTTTCACACAACGGTTTTTGAGAGTCGTCGCTGTTGACTTTTTTGTAGAGCACTCAAAATAGTATAACTTTGTCCGGACAAGTAAGGGTCTATCGTCGCTACAGGAAAAGTTACAGGCGTTCCAAGGAAGTATACTTTGAGAAGCCTTTTCCCCCTTATAGAATGAGATAAGACGGTTATTTTACAAAACTGACAACACTTTGACCGAGTAGTTTTTTGTGCTGAACAAAAAGTGTCATATAAACATCTGTCAAAAACCGCTTTTTAACTTCACTTAAAATGCCACGTAAGCTACGTAATAATATACGTAAGAGGAAGGGAGCATTGAAACATCCAATAGTAAAACTGACACCACAACAACAGTTGCAACAACAAATGATGAATGACCCCACTATGTTGCAACAAATGTCAAGCAACCCTATGCTTTTAAACCGAGTTATTGGTGCACAGAGTGGAGGTTTAAGAGCGGCACTTTTAGCGAAAATGGCAGGCTATGGTGGAGCTGCAGACGGAACAGCTTATAACCCTCAAAGTCAAATGAATTTGAGTTCACTCAAAAATCAAATAACAGATGTCAAAAAGTCAAACATAGACATACAGAAACAAATAAGTGAAAACGAAAAGAAACTAGAATATGACAGACAGACAAAGAAACTAAATGAGTTAAACGTAAAGAAAAAGAAGAAAGAAGAACAACTGAAAGAACTAAGTACAGAGGAATATGCGAAAAAAGTGTCAGAAAAAGCAGCAGAAGTAGCAAAAATGGAACAAGATGTTATAAATTTGAAAAACCATACTACTCAATATAAAGTACTGAAAGATGAAGAGATAAAACAAAAAGCCATGAAGACATATATGGATAGCGATGAGTATAAAAAAGAAGTTGAAGCAAATGTAAAGGCAGAAAAACTTTTACAGTTGCAAAACCAAACCGTACAGTATGAAAACTTAGCACAAGAAAGTAAAAATAACGACGCAGCCATGCAAAAGGCAATGAAAAGTGCAGATATTATAAAAGCTAATAATGACTGGTTAGATGCCCAAGCCAACGCTAAAGCAGCCCAACTTATAGGGTCAATAAGGACAAAAATACAAGCGGATGAAGACAGTTCAAATGAAGCTTTAATGAATGCTGACTTTAAGAATGCCTTCGAAGCTCTTCATAGTAAGGTGAAACTAGTGAACGACTTCTCATCTGGAAAGAAACTGAAGTCTGAAGGTTTCGACAAAGAGTTAAGAGAAGTAGCACAAAATATGACGAAAATAACAGATGCAGCAACGAGACAGGCAGTTCAAAGTGCCTATGACGCCGTTAGAGCAGCTGTTGTGGAAAGTCAAGAAAAAGAGTTACAACAGACCAAAACAGACCTAGTAAATGCTTTCTTAAAAATGAAAAGTCAGGTAGGACATTATGCTGCAGATGGAACATATGTGCCAGCTGGTGGAACTTATATACCACCAAACCCTCCAAGAGAAGCACCTGCACCAGGACTACCTAAAACATTTACATCGTCACATGGAAAGCAACACAACAACAACAACCAACAGTTCAAAATCCAGCACCACAACAACAACCAACACAACAACCAACAGTTCAAAATCCAGCACCACAACAACAACCAAAACCAACAGTTCAAAACCCTGCACAACAACCACCTCCACAACCAGCACAGCAACCAACAGTTCAAAACCCTGCACAACAACAACCACAAACAGAGCAAGGACATAAAAGAAGTAGAGAACAAGGAAACCAAGAATTCTTAAAAATGCTTAAGGAAGATTATGGTTACCCAGATACTCTTGACTTTAGTGACAGATATAAAGAAGCTATTAGAAAGTTCAAGGAAGGAAATACTGACCCGAACCTATTTAGCTTTATGGTTCAGCATAAAATCGGATATAATCTCAAACCTGGAAAATACAAGCTCGCAAAGGGATATGATTTAATAGCATATCATCCAAATGACATGAATGAATTTACTCCGAGATATTTGATGTCAGAGCTAAATGATAATTCAACTCTCTTCATGAAACGCGTAAAAAATAGAGACGGAACGAAAGAAGAAAGGTTTATGAGTCCGGATGACTTAGATAGGGAACTTGTTAAAAACGGTCTCGGAATATATGAAATGCCACCAGATGAGGTACAAGAAACTCCACAGGAAGAAGTTCAGATACAACCAGGCATGGAAGAAATAGTTCAGCAACAACAGCTAGAAGAGCCTGAATGAAACGAACAAGTCCCTCCTTCGGAAACTAACTTCACAGAACTAGATGAAGATTTGGAACAGCCGAAAAATCTTGACCCTCAACAAGAGTATGAGGTGAATATGGAATCTTTCCAAGAGTCTAAGAAAAATTCGGCTGACATAGTAGAAGAATATCGAAAAATGTTCACCGACATACAAAAGACTCCAACATCAGATGAAAATATTCAGCATAGAATGGAAGTACTGAAAGAAAATGTACGCAAATACAATAATCCTTTTTACTTACGACCATATAACGTTCAATCTTTGGCTGAACTCGGTGAAAATAAAAGGTTAAATTTCAACAAAACATATAGAAATGAAACATTGTTTAAAGTTCATTCAGAACCTAACCAATATGGAAACAAACCTACTTTTGTTTCTGCAGACTATGGAACTACAATGAGATGGGGTCATAAAGCTAATCCGGATAGGTGGTTCATAAACTTACAACCTCAATTCCAAGAAGTTGTAGACGCAATGGAAGTGAATGGTGAACCAGATATAACTGGTATTTTCAGCGCGGCTTTAATGCCATTGAAAGATATGAAATATGCAGATATTTTGGACCAGTATGAAATGAACATGGCTGAGGGAAATATAACACCTGACGTTCTAGAACATTTATCTCAAAGAACTACACAGAACCATAGAGATGGTATATTGGTGAAGAGTTTAGAAAGAAAGTTAGGGAGAGAGAAGGAAGAGAACCTATTGTACATGACCTTGCAAACGAAAGTTTGCAAAATGTCATAAAAACTTACTTTGCAGACAATGAACTGAGATGGGATGAATATTTAAGAAAACTCAAATGGACAGTACCAAATGAAATGTTAGTATTGAAAAACATGTTCCATGACAAAATAAAACCAACTACAGAAATAAATGACGCAAGCCTGAAACGTTGGGTAAAAGCTTTCCCATTCACAAAAGATATTATTGGTTACATGGAAAGAAAACCAGAATGGCTACAAAAACATATATTTGGAAACGAGCTTATTCCATATGGACAAGCTCTGTTTGAAGAGCTTGAACCGGAAACTCAGGAAAGAGTCATGCAAACAATAAGCGAAGACTCAAATACAAACTATGACAAAATCTTTCTAGGATATAGGTTACCTGAGATGGGCGACCAGAGCCCAAAGGCAAAAAGGACATGGGAAATTTACAACATACTAGGGTGAACATGAGGCAAAGATGCTACAACTTGAAGCAGAGGGCAAGTTACCAAAAGCGACACCAAAGAAGAGAGAAGAGTAGAACAAAGTGAAAGTAGTGAAGAAGTAACTTCATCTAGTGAAAGTAGTGGCAATGAAGGAAAAAGAAGAGTTAAAAACTCAGTCAGGAAAAAGTAAAGCTTGGTACGAGTGGGTTTCTATTATGACACATAAATACAACTATTCTATATTTTTACCCATATGAAATGTTACGCCGCTCAGAATATAACGCCAACAGTTTTGGATGCCATGAACGGAAATGTTTCCGAATGGTATAACGAATGCGACAATGCCATTAGAAGGTCAGAAATAGTTCCTGGAACTTACGAATATACAACTGCTGTTTCTTATGGAAACGTAGGTGAGTTTGGAGAAGGTTCTTCAACAACAGTAGATATTGCTTGCGACAGGTTTCATATTATTTCTATTGACAAACTCATTCTTATACGTGGAACAAGACATTGAAATAAAACCTTCTGCCAAGTTGTCTGACAAGAAAGGTTGCAATGGAATTTTCTATGTCGGATACCAATATGCTCCAGAAGTTTTCATGGGATATAAGATATATTCTAACTCTGACTTAGTTCAAACAGTAACATGGGCAAACTATGAATGGTTCGCTTTGAGAAACTCAGTACAACCACAAGCTAGAGAACAAACAGACCAGTATGCAACTATTGAGAAAATAAGAAGACTTGACCCTAACGTTCCAGGAGTTTATGTTAACTTTTCTGGACAAACTGCAGCAGCAGTAACCAAAGTAAAACTGAAACTAAGAGTTCCTTTGTCATCTTTCCTCATCTTTAGGTTCTTAAGATACTTACCAAACTGGGCAGGAAAAATTTCTATTGAACTTACTCCAAGCAAAAATAACTTAGTCATTGCACCAACACAAGACCCATTCTTGAACATAAACCACATGAAAAGGTAAGAAATCAGTTAAGTGATGATTATTATATCGTTGATTCCTCACAGGGTAATGGTTATTTAATTAAAGCAGCTGACCATTCGGTTGCGTTTTATCCACGATTTCGATTAGTTGAAAGCGAAAATGGAAGATTAGCTAATACGGTTGATGAAGCGAAAAGAGGTATAGTTAATAAAATTGTGAGTTATGATGAAGACAAAGATGAATACACTGTCATTTATGAAGGAGGTGTGGATGATAAAATTCTTTCTAGAAATTTGAGAGAATCGAACCCTACACATTTATCGGAACTCGAAAAGGATTACTGGAAGGATAAAAATAAGCCAAAATTAATCAAAAAATTTTTATGAACTAAATATATTTTATGTCTGAAGTTAATTAGTTAATAAAGTAGCGGATGAACTGCAGAAATATATTTTATCGTAAATGGTTAGATCTAACCCGATATCTAACCTCATTTCTACCCTCATGAATTTTCATGAATTTCCTTAAGACAGAAAAAATAAAACTAACTTTATTTTTATTTATTTTTTTTATTTTGTATGTAAGAACAGAAATGTCAGTCGAAGCACAGACGTTCACGAACAAATCTAATGGCGAAACATTCACAAAAGGCACTTATAACGGTATTGAAGTCTTACGTAGAGACAAGGATGGTTACATTAATGCAACAAAGATGACAAGAGAAGCGGGAAGGTTAAACCATTTAAACAGATTTCTCAATAGTGCTAAAATGCAGGAAATTCTTGAGTTTTGGATGAAAGAATATGGTCAAGCCAAAAGTGGCTCAACCTCAAAACAAGCATTTTATGAGCTTACTAAGGGCGTTATAAATGAATTCAAAGGTATTTACATACATCCTGACCTCGTTCATTTTGTTGCTGAATGGTGCTCTGTAAAGTATGCATTTTATGTCAAAGATATTATGGACTCCATAGACAAGAAAGTTCATGAGAAGTTAGATGAAGAAGAACTCGAAGATACAGTAGAGAATGCAAAACATTTGTTTGAAGAAGAAGTTAGAAAAATGCATGAAAAACAATTAGAACATGAACGTGAGATATTTTATGGTTATAGAGATTCTCCATACGAACTAGACCAATGGGAACAAGAAGATTTAAAGAGAGAATTTAGAGAATATGAACTCGCTAAGATAGCATTAGAAGCTGCAGAAAAGAAGTTAAAAGTTTGGGGTCGTTTTGTACAAAAATATTGTGAGTAAATGAACCATTTATTTTTGTCATAAACGACCAAAAATATATTTTATCGTTAATGGTTTTTAGGTTATTCAATAATTAATTATTTTTGAAGAACTGAAGGTGTCACCACGTCACCATGTGTCACCGGGTTAATTAACTTCTCTTAAAATTACTGACAGCATGACATTTAGACAACTAGCCCGGAAATAAATTTTATCGTTTATGTTTACGTTAATGTTTTCATTAATTTTTTCGTAAATGTTTTCAGTGTCACCACGTCACCATGTGTCACTGGGTTAATTAACTTCTTTTAAAATTTCTGACAGCATGACATTTTGACAGCAGTCCAGGAAATTTGATGCAGTCCAAAAATAAAGTTAGTTTTAAAATTATTTTTATTTTTTTATTCCTATATAAATGACAGCAACAAACAACAACAGCAACTATATCGTTTCTGATGAAAAAGTTATTGATTCATTAGCTGAGGAATTAGTTGTGGCAGAAACTAAAACCCTCAACGAAAGAATTGGTGAAAACAAGATTGATTTACATAACTATCTCAAACACGATGGAGGAAGAGGAAGGAAAACTGGTATGGCTTTATTAGTAAATAAAATTTCAAATTTAACGATTATAGATATTGATATCAATAAATCGTACAATGATGAACTTAAAGAAACGGTTAGAAAAGACATTTTATCAAAACTTTCGGATAAAGATGTTATCGTTAAAACCGCTTCAGGAGGTCTTCACATTTATTGCAACACCAATTTCTTCTATTCAGTTTCGAACAGAATGATTAAATGTTATTCCTGCAATGATTATGATATTGACATAATGACTTCTATGGATGATTCAAAGCGCTCTTTAGTAGTTATGGCTGATTCAAGAGTTCGCAAGAATGCAACAGAACCAATCAATACATACTCATTCATTCGTGGAAGTTACGACTCGACCATAACCAGAACAGTGAATGATATATTAAATGATTTGAATATTAAGGTAAGAGTTGAACAGAAGAATGAAGAAATAAAGAGTATAATGAATGAAAACAAAGATGTAAACATTGACGATAAACTTACCCAGAGCATAGTTGATGGTATTAGTGATTTTGAAGTACATAATGACGGTGGAAACATGAATTTAGAAAAAGAAGTTACATTATTCACACTGTTTCAAGCAATTAATTCGTTACCGGATCATTTGATTAATGAAGCATACGATAACGTTTATAACTTCTGCAATTTAACTGAAAATGCAAAAAGTAATTTTGAAAAAGCACGTAGTAGATATGCACATTTAATGACTTCTCCATTTGTTTTAGTGAAGATTCTAAAACTATATCAAAAAGAATATTATGATGAATACGTTTTACCTTTATTACGTAAGCCAAAAATAACATTTGATATAAAACTTGATGACTCGTTTTTGATAACAGATATTAGACGCAAGGCTGAAAATCATCAGTATAAAAACAGTTCTGAAGTAATTGAGGATTTATCACGTGTAATCCGTTTTGTAGATTGTGCAAACAAATACTTCATTCAAAAGGACTATAATATCCACGATAAAATGAATCAAATATCATTCGTTCTTCAATCAAACATGAAAGAGTCACTTAAAATGATTAAATTATTTAAAGAAGAAGGTAAAACAATAACAGCATGGGATGTACTACTAAATCAATTATCCTCATTAACCGTTAAGGGTGTTTGCTTTAAATCTGATTCTCCAGATGTTTTCTCAACGTTTCAAGGTTATAAATACAACGTTCTCGAAAAACCAGATTACTCAAAAATTGAGATGTTTATGAATTTCATTAAAGAAGCCATTTGTGATAATAACGATGAAGTGTATAAATACCTTCTCGGCTGGATTGCATCAATGATTCAACATCCTGGAATCAAGAATGAAACAGCAATTATTTTGAAAGGACTTCAGGGAACAGGTAAAAACAGATTTACAGACATTATTTCTGAACTTCTCGCCGGTTATTCATGTAAAAACATTACTGAAATAAGTGAGCTAACGGGTAATTTCAATTCAGTAGTTGAGAATAAAATGTTTCTTGTACTTAATGAACTCAAGAATGTAGGTGAAGATAGACTCGCAAACTTCAACGCTTTGAAATCAATTATTACGGATAATCAAATAAGAATTAATGAAAAGAATCAACCCAGAAGAACTACCCAGAACGTTGCAAACTTCATTTTGGTAACTAATAACGTCTACCCTGTCAAAATTGAAGTTGGAGACAGAAGATACGTAGTTTTAAGAGTTAATGGTAAATTTAAGGGTCAATTTGATTACTTCAAGAATTTAATGGATTCATGCACTAAGGAATTTTATGATAATTTACTGACGTATTTTATGCAATATGACCTTTCATCATTTAATGTACGAATCATACCGATGACTGAAGCCAAACAAGATTTAATTGAATTATCAACAAATCCTTTAGATGAATGGATAAATACACATTATGATGAACTGTGTGCAGGTATGACGTGTAAAAATGCTCTATGCTGCAAACCATCAGACATGAAAGACAAAAACTTTCAAATGAGCATTAAGGATAAATGTGATAGGAAACAGAGAAGAATAGATGGTAAACAAACATGGTGTTATGTTTTGAAAGAAGAAATGAAAGGATTATATAAACAGGTTGAACCAAACGATAATGAGGATTCATTTACTGATGATGAAATACCTGTAAATGAAGCTTTATAAAGTATGATTTGAATTTATTTTTGCATTAATCCTGCTGTGATGTCAAAATGTCATGTTGTCATCATTTTTAAGAGAAGTTAATTAACCAGGTGACACATGGTGACGTGGTGACACCTTCAGTTATTCAAAAATAAATTTTCTTATAAAGCTTCAGGGTCTATTTCCTCAATTACTTCACTTCCTTCTTCATCATATTCAATCGTTGCTTCCTCAATTACTGGTAGGAGCTTATTGATTATATCTTTATTCGTTATTGTCTTCAGAGATGAAGGATAATATTTCACAACTACTTCACCTGGAGGGCTCTTTGAGTCCATCTCGGCGCCTTGCGCCTTCTTGAATTCTTTCTGCTGCGATAAATCTAAAACAATGCTGAAAAATTCAACGTTAGAGTTCTTCATAATCGTATAATGTGTATCTTTGATATTTACAAATATTCCTTTCTATTTAAGTAATACTGCTATTTCATGTGGTGTGTAACGTTTTCTGTCAATAATGATAGTGTATGGTTTAACGAACTGACCGTATTTAGATTCTTTCACAAACTTTTTATTGAATATAACGTTCACGTTTTTTCCATTTATGAATTCACCCTTAACAGCAGTAGCGAGAGCATTGTATGAATAGAACTTGTATTCAGACATTATTTTATTAAAATTAAAAATATAAATTATTTTAAAAAATTAAGTTTATTTTTAAATTATATTTTTTACGGAAAATATTTTTTTTTATTTTCCATAAAAGATGTATAAAAAGCTATCTAGATTAGACCATGAAGAAATTAAGAAGTTATTGAAGAATGCTGACATTGAAGTTAGCAAAAGATATGCGACTAACAAATCTTCATTAGCTAAATACCTCAATGATTACAGAGGTGCAGTTACTTACGAGAAAATCAATGATTACATTAATAACAAAACATTTCCTTTAAATGATGTTCAGGTTAATTTATATCATAAACAAGCAGTACCGAAGGAAGTAAGGCAGGAAATTCATGATATGATGAATGTTGATGTAGGTGAAACGAGAAAGAAGAAAAGCGATGAAGAAAAGAAAAATATAGCTGTAAAGTATGCAAAAGCAATTGCACAATTACGCAAAGCAAACGAAGTTATTAAATCTATAGACGATAAAGCTCTTGATGACGAAAAATGGTTAAAGAAGGATGAAAATAATAAACGCAAAAATGTTAAAGCAGGAAATAGAATCATAGATTTTAATATTCGTGAACTCAATGAAGAAAACAGAAATTACCTACATGAACGTTTCGGTAAAATGTTTATTAGGCTTCTGCAGAAGATAAAAGTAAATTCACAGCAAAAATGGATGATTTGTTATAAACTCGATGGTAAATTTACTAATTCAACATTGAATATCGAGAACATCGGAGCTTTGCTTCATCAGTTAAAGCAAGAAAACTTTATAACAGAGATTGAAGCAAACGCAGCCGGAATAATTGAAAAACATTATGATTTCTTCATGACAAATATTAAGAACCTCGAAGAAATTAAAATGTATGATTTAACTGAATATGAAGGATTAACGATGAGCGATATTAAGAAAGGTAAGCCACAGAAGAGAGAAAAAAGAGATGAAAGTAAATTAACAGCACGTCAGCAAAGATTATTAAACAGACTTAAAGAAATAGGAGATAAACAGGATATAGATGATTTTTGGAATGAAATTCTTGATGAAAAGAGAACGAATAAAAAGAGAAGTGGTGAGTTTTGGAAGTATCTTTGCAGATTACCTATAAATCTTGAACGCTATCAAATTTTCAATGAACTTAACAAAAGAACTGCTAAGTTGATGACAGAAGATAACTGCTTCGTTTATGCTTGCATTCAGGCTGGAGTTGATGAGCAGACGGTAGACCACATGCGTGAAGTTATTAGAGTTAGAGATTTTCCACAAAGTAAGATTCAGGAAATTTCTAACGCAACAGGCATAGCATTTAATGTTACCATTGGTTATTTCAATGACTCTAGACATAATGAAATAAAGAGATATATACCAAAAGAATGTGAAACTGTTCGAACTATTGACTTACTTCTTGTTGAAGACCATTACATGTTAAATGAAAGATTACCTATGACAACATATTTTATCATAAATTATAACGAAATTCTCAAATCATTAGGCGGCTGGAATATTGAGCGTCAAATGAAAATATATAAGAAAAGGGAAAATAGATTTGTTATTGATTCTACGCGAACAACTCCTTTATGGGATATTTTGAAAACATTAAGAGAGTGCAATTACTTTGAACCGTTATCTTATGGTGAACTTTTCACTTATACAACAGATTTATATAAACAAAAACTTGCACCGTTTAAAGATTTAAATTATACCCCGAACTACTGTGTTCAGTTAAAGAAAAAGTCTGAAAGTAAAGATAGTGATAAATCAAAACAAAAATTCATTCCTGAACACATTTTCTTCGCTGACTTTGAATGTAGCACTGATGGAGTTCATAAAGCCTTTAACATTTGTTATGATAGTGAAGATGGAAAGATTAGCGAAAGCATTTGGGGTCAAAATTGTGCAACAAAATTTTTAGAAAGAATTCCTGATAAAAGTTTAATATATTTTCATAACCTCAGTTATGATATCAATTTCATTTTAAGACATTTAACAGAAATTAGCGGAACACCAATTATTAAGGGTTCTAGAACAATGCAGATAACGGGAATATATAAAGGTAAAGCAATCATTATTAAAGATTCATACACTGTTATAAATAAGAAGCTTAAACTATTTCCTGAAATGTTTCATTTGCAGTGTGGTGAAAAGGAAGTATTTCCGTATCAATATTATTCAAGCTCTTTATTAGTTAATGATAACAAAACTGGCGTAATTTCTGAAGCGTGTAAGTTTGTAAAAGATATTGAAACGTTCATGAAAAACATAGATTTAATCGAAAACTGCAGAATAGATGAAAACCATTTCGATTTAGAAAAATATAGCTCATTTTATTGCAAACAGGACGTAAGGATTTTAAGAGAAGGTTTTGTTAAGTTCAGAAATGATATATTGAAAGAGTTTGATTTAAACGTTTATGATTACGTTAGCATTTGTTCAATCGCTAACAAACTTTTCGAAAACAGAGTATATTTCCCGAATGGAAATTTATATGACCTTTCAAATAAACCAAGAGAATTTATTTCACGCTGTATTCAAGGTGGAAGATGTATGCTGTCAGATAACATGAAACAAAAGAGCGAAAAGAAACTCATTGCTGACTTCGATGCTGTTTCATTATATCCTCAGCTATGCGAGACTTTATACTTTAGAAGGAATTCCAAAGGTTATGAAGAAAGAAATGTTAAACAGTGAATATTTGTTAAAACATTTATTCGATGATGACCAGGGCGAGCCTGAAGGTGAGAAATTCATTTCCGGATTCTTTGTTTTAATAAAAATAACCGAGATTAAGATTAAAAGGCACTTTCCATTAATAACAGTAGATCCAGAATTAAACCCGGAGCTAAAGGTTCCAAGAAGTTCTAACACATGCTGTTTAATGTATGTGGACCACATAGCTTTGCAGGATTTAATAAAATATCAGGGCATCAGCTGCGAAGTATTACAGGGTTACTACTACGATGAAAAAAGAGATTTTAGAATAAGAGATGAAGTAAAGAAATTGTTTGAATTGAGATTAAAGTATAAGAAGGAAGAAAATCCGCTACAAGAAAATATTAAATTAATTTTGAACAGTATTTATGGAAAAACTATTTTGTCCCCGATAGAGTCGAAAATTAAAATCATTGATGATAAAGATGCTGTTAGGTATGCCATCAGAAATTATAACCATATCATTAAAATTGAAGGTTTAGATGGTTCGGATAAAACTATTTTCAAACTAACTAAAAGCATTTGCAGACACTTTAACTTTTGCCCCTTAGGTGTTAATATCTTATCTATGTCGAAACGTATCATGAATGAAGTATTTTGCACGATTGAAGACTTAGGATTAAAAGCATTTTATCAGGATACAGATTCGATGCACATTTACAATGAAGACATACCAAAACTCGCTGCAGAGTTTAAGAATAGATACGGTCGCGAATTAATAGGAAAGAATTTAGGTCAGTTTCATTCAGATTTTGCAGAAATCACAAAAGATAAACAAAGTTTAGCTTATAAGTCGATATTTTGTGGAAAGAAGACTTACATTGACTTACTCACTAATGATTTAAATGAAGTTGCATTTCACTGCAGAATGAAAGGCGTAAAACAAGATGTTATAGCTTTAACAGCAAATGAAATGTTTCCTGAAGCAGTTCAATGCGTTTATGATGAAGATAAAGATTAATGATTCCTCAGGGAAAATATGATAAAGAGTGAGTTTTCAGTTATGAAATTATATGAAGCCCTTCATGGTCAGGAAATCGCATTTGATTTATGCAAATCAACAGCACCCTGTTTTGAAGAGAAGTTTAACTTTTCAATAACGACTAAAAATACTTTCATAAGGAAATTAAAGTTCTGAAGTCATAAATGATATAATATATTTTTATCGTTCAAGACAAAAATAAACTTTTCATATTAAATTATGTAAGCGTTTGAATTTACTATACGTAATGCATGTTCTTTTTCCATTAACATCATAAACGTTAACATATAATGAACCATTTATGTTTTCATTAATGTATAGTTCTTTATACTGACGACCGTTATAATAATAAAACAAATCTGCATCGATGTCGTAAAATAAATCCTCAAATTCATGATTTCCATAATGTGAAACAGTAATTGAATTTTCACTGATTTCATCAACGAAATTATATTCTACTCCATTTGCTTTACTTCTATTTCTATTATTTGTAGAACTTGAACACCAATGTAGATTATCAATCTTATTATTATTTCTAACTTTATCGTAATGGTCAACTTCCCCAAAACTATCAGGATTATCAATCCACTGAATAGCTATTAATCTATGCTTAAGATATTTTTAACCGTTAAGGGTTAATCTTATATATCCATTCTTTTCTTCATACTCACTGACAGTCTTTCCGTTTTTCTTTCTTCTTATTTGATACGGATTTTGTGTTAATTTCGTAATCTTCATCAGCAACTAATGTTTCCCAGTTATTATTTTCCATCATTTTATAAAAATAAAAAAATCAGAAAATTAAAAATTAACTACATTTATTTTTTTTTACTCTTCACCTCCATCAGCAGCTAAATTATAATCATCAATTCTAACAGCAGGAATGCCAGCTGGTCTGACTTGAATAGCGAAACAAGCATTTCTAAGAAATCCTAATAAAGGTTTGACAGTGTATTTTTCGCTTATATTTGTATCATCAGCTTTAACACCTAATTTATATGTAATTGGTGCCGTTGATGTTTGACCCTGTTGAAATGTGAAATCAGTTTCCGTAGGGAATCCACAGAGGAAATGAGTGTTATCGTATGATTCATATAAATGTTTAACGCTTCCATCATCAATTAACGACCTCATCACATCTTCATTAAATCCTATCATATCGTTATTTGTATTGCATGCATTAGCAACCATTTCATAGAACACAGGACCATAAGAGCTTTCGGGTTCAGCTGGCATACTTCCATAAGCGCCCATTGATAATTGAAGGGTTTCAAATTGAGGATTTTCGAAATTCACGATATAATTATCATTCTTCCTAAATAAAGCCCAAATGCTTTTAACGTTAATTGGTGTATAAGCTGCTGTGAAAGTTGCTGATGGTGAACCTTTACTGAACGAACCGTCCATAGGAATCCAGTCCATTACTTTAATTGGAAAACATAAAGCTTGTGATGTATAATGATCGACTAATTCAGTGTAAATATTTGGATCGAGTGAAAATGCTTTAGGATGAATGAAGCAATCAATGAATTCAGCTGATTTCTTCGTTAATCTTTGTTCAACTGTTGAAACAGTAATTTCACCATTTGATTTAGAAACTGCTGTTATCATATTGAATGGTTCATTCCATGGAACAAATTTATTAGTTGGTGGGTCATAATTATCTTTTACCTGACTGATTAAAGAAGGATTATGAGCTAAAATATCTTCTACCGGCAGTGCTGTTACCTGGAATGCATCGCTACTAAATTTAACCTTTAACTGAATGTTGCCTGCAAAAGCAGGAATAAATCTAATAACTTCTAGAATAAGGAATTTACGACATGGAATCTTTATTTTAATGTCAAAATTAATTTCAGCTCCTGCAGCTAAAGGTCCTGAGATAATTTGACCTGTTCGAACTGTTCCAGAACGTTTCCATACATCTTTATGTCTCGTTTTTGAGAAAACATCAACTTTCTTTATTTGTTCTGTAGTCTGTGAATTAGAAATGATATATGCTTCTTCTCTTGCGTTATCCTGACTATAAATAACTCTTCCATTTGCTAATAACTGATATGCTTCAATGGTGTAAATTGATTCATCAAAAACGCCAAAGAAACCTGGAGAATTAGTATTTGGAATTGATGAACCAGTAATAGCTTTATCCAGGATATATTTACTTTTATAGGTAGTTGTAAGGAATGTGTTATAAAGGTCTAGCATATTTTCACCTGGCGGAGATAAATTGAATGTGACCCAGTTATGATCCTTTGCGCTTCCTGGTTGTGATGGAATTTTTGCATCGATATATCTTCTATTAGTATCACCAATATTAATTGCATTATCGATTACATCAAAATATGAACGAATTTGATGGATATGTTCAGCTGGTGTAAATTCGTTAAGCTGTTCGTTTTGCATGTTTTATGTTAGATAAAAATATTTATTTAGTTTAATATTCTAACTCTTCTTCTTAGTTGAGGAATTTGTTTCTTTTGTTCAATAATTTCATGTTTTACGTTTTTCACAAACTCTTCATTAATTTTGGTTTCCTGCTCTTTTACTGGTGGGTCTGGATTTTTTGATTCCGTTTGCTTTTCAATGAAATTTACAAATTTAGCTATTAATTCTTGATTCGTTATCGAAAGTACATCGGGTTTAGGTTCTGGTTTAGGTTCCGTTTCCTTTATTGTGGGCTTTGCTCTGACAGCCTCACTGTCTTCCGCTTTTGTTTCAGGTTTAGGTTGTATATCTATTTTATCAGTTTCCGAATTCGTTAATGGAACTCGTCTTTTTCTTATATAAATTTTTCCATCTTTACTTGTTGATACATAATATAATGGATGCTGAATTCCTCTTGCATCATTTAATATAATCGATTGTCTCTCAGATTTTGATAGGCTCATATTTAATTCAAATAAAATTTTTAAATTTTGAATTTTTTATCGGTAATCAAATGAGTCAGGGATTAGATATTGAAGCCATCAAAAAAGAAATTCGTGAGCAGATATTAACAGAACTAAAGACACCTAAAGCCGAAGAAAAACCAGTAAAACCAAAAAGGAAATTAAGTGAAAAGCAGTTAGCCGCATTAGCTGCAGGAAGAGAGAAGAACCCGAGAATGAAAGCAAAAAGAGAACGTGAGGCTAAAGAAAAAGCTGAAAAGGAAAAGGCTGAAGAGGCTCATTGAGCCTCATGAGGGTCGAAGACCCTTTTCCATTGAGAAGAAAGAATAAATGATATATTTTTGTTTGTAATAAATGTATAGACAAGTACCTTTAACAGTTGCTTTCAGTTCTGAAAACGAAAATGTCAAAATAAATGGAAATAGAATTACCTTTAAACTACCTATTGACTGGACTGTGAATATAAATGAAAAATATATTGGTTTATCAAATATGTATATAACGCGAGGATTTAGAAAGGTTGAATTTGAGCTTGAAGTTGTTGTTATAAACGATACACAAGAATTTAAGCAAACTATTCACATATATAAATATTTCAAAGATGATACAACATTATATGAATGCATGAATGATTTTAATGAAATTTTCGAAAAGAAATTTAACAAAAACGCTTTAGGATTAAATGTGTATCTTGATAAATTAGGTGAAGAAGGAATTCATCCGCAGATTATAGACTTTCATTATGAATTTATTGAACAAATAGATGATTCACATACATGCACATTTGTTATATACTCGCCGTTTAATGAAGTAGCAGAAAAGAGACAAAGTGATTTTAGGATAGGTTTTAAAATTTCTCAGTATAATGAAGACTTCATGAATGTATTTAATTATAAACCCGGAGAAGAACGAACAGTGTTATCACCAATAATAACATATAATGTATGGGACAGAAAACAAGTCATTTTATATTCAAATATCGCTAAAGGGGTTGAAAATGAATTTATTGGTCATACTAGAGCATCACCATTAACAAATATTAAATATTATAAGTTATCAGGAAATAATAGAGAGTTTTGGATTGATATGTATTCTACACACGATCATAAATGCCCCGTTGTGTTACCCGAAGACGGAAAGGATGTTTTCTTCCTTGAGACTCAGTTACTGAATTCAACTATCGCAACTTTATAAGAAAATTCACAAGGTTAGAAATGAGGGTAGAAATCGGGTTAGATCTAACCTTCTACCCTAAAATTAATTTTATCATTTATGAAAAATTTAGTATATACAGAAATTAAAAAAATTTTGAGTTAATTTATTTTTAAGTTTATTTTTTTACTCTGGGTGTTAAAATCTATGATAAAAAAAAATAAATAAAAAAAATTTAACGTTAATTTTTAAGTTTATTTTTTCAAAAATTATTTTTTTTATTTTGTGAAGTGTCAAAAATTTTAACGTTAATTTTTAAAAAATTATTTTTTATTTTGTGAAGTGTCAAAAATTTTAACGTTAATTTTTAAGTTTATTTTTTTTATTTTGTAAATGTCAAAAATTTTAACGTGTCAAACGGTTTTTTGCAGATTCTAGTAATTTGAGTACTAGGGGGTGTAGACCCTTGGTACCCAATTACTAGATACTAACTACCATTTATAATTGTAATTGATAAGGATAAGGATGGTGATATAGTAATTGAACGAGATCCAAAGGTTTTTGGAGCTGATATGACCTTTAAAAAATATTTAAAAACTTAAACGAAATCTGGCTTCATACATATACATTAGGAATATCCCCTAAGGGTTTATTAGATTATGGTTTTATTCATGCTGAGCATTCAAAGTTGGCCGAATACACAAAAACTAACACTTTTGACCCGAATCTTTTACATATAACATACAGATTTATCGGAGATGATAAAGATTATTATTTGTTGCGTTTTCACCAAAAAGAAAGTTATAATAATTACTTATTTCCACAGCGCCAAAAAACAGATCAAACCAAATTTGAACAATTTTATCTTCTTTTAGAATTAGAATGGGATGATATAACATGGGTTTCCGATTCAAATCCAATCCCAACATTTTATGAACTTTTGCAATATTGGGTTGAAAACCTTGGTGATACACATTTTGTTGATCCATCACTTGAAGAATTAAGTAAATCGTCGCTTGAATTCAGTCAATTAGTTGATGATGTATCAAAGAGTTATATAAGTGAGAACTCACAACAAAATAATCAAAACCCAAACGTTGAAGAAGAAGAAATAAATGATGAGGTAACTGATTTCGATGATCTCAATTCAAGTCCTATTAAACCAAATAAACCCAAAATAGAAATACCAAAAGAGGATGAAGAAAAGAAAGAAGAAGAAGATGAAAATGGAGGAGGAAACGTTACTGAAATGTCGTTTGAGGAATTTAATTGGTCAGATGATGAATGAAACAAATATTTTTATTTCTGTAAAAATGCAAAAAAAGTATTTTCCGATTGTCAATCAATTAAGAATCAGATTACCACCTGAATTCATTTCGGCGAAATATAAACAAATAAAAGTGATAGATGTGAAATTTCTAAAAGAAACTGAACGTTTTGGAAAGAATAAAGAAACAGGTGTTTTAGAAGAGAATTCAAAATATACAAAACCATCTGAAGAAATTCAATTATTTTCAAATATTCCAGAAAGTAAAAACAAAAATTTTGTATGCTTAGCAAATATGGATTTCAATATGCAAGATACTCTTGTCTTTCCAATTAAGCAACAAATGGAATTCTTGGAATTCAAGTTTAAAACTGTTGCTGGAAAAAACTTAAACAAAGAAATGTTATTACAAGAACCTGTTAATGAAATTACCTATCAGTATATTGATCCAGAAACAAAAGAAATGAAAAGTGGAAAAAGAATTGAAGAAACTGGTGAAATTCGTTTATTTGATGAGAAAAATTATATCCTTACACTTGAAACAGATAAAGATTATATTATCAAAAATATTACTGTTTTTCCGGATCTCAATCATCAAACTATAAAACATTCATTTGAAAAGCCAAATGAATTGAATTTTCCAGGAAATAGTTGGAACTTCATCATGTATCATTTATTAAAAGAATATGATGTTGACGAAGAAGATAATCAAGAAACATTTCACAAATATACCTTCAAATTTACAAAAGGAACTATTAAAAGACCTGTGATCAAAAATAAATATAAATTCTGTTCCGTACCGAAATGCATCACTAGAAAAAGTGACAAAAGTGACACTTACTCTTATTTTGCGCGGCAATTTTTCTAAGTTATTTTGTTAAGCTAAATGTGTTATATATCAAATCAGCTTTATAAATATTATAGAAAAGTTTATTTTTATTTTTATTTTTAATTATTATTATTATTTTTTAAATTAAAAGAAAACATTAGAATTATATGGATATATTTAAATTAATTATAAAAATAAAATTGAATATATTGAAGTTTGAGTTTATAGGTATACAAATTTTAGAGGCATTTTGGCTGAGAACTATGGTCTGCGAGGTACATAGATAGAATCAGTACCTCGCAGACTATAGTTCTCTATATGGCGCCCAAAAAAATTTATGATTGTTTTTTATCAAATCTTATCCATATTATTCTATTAATGTTAATTATATTTTATCAATTATATTTTTTAAATAATAAACACAAAATCCACTAATTTAAAATTGGCGCCAAATGTCACTTTTGCTAGTGATGCATTTCGGTATGATATATTTTTTAAATAATAAACACAAAATCCACTAATTTAAAATTGGCGCCAAATGTCACTTTTGCTAGTGATGCATTTCGGTATGATATATTTTTTAAATAATAAACACAAAATCCACTAATTTAAAATTGGCGCCAAATGTCGCTTTTGCTAGTGATGCATTTCGGTATGATATAAATAAATATAAATTCTTTATTATTTTACAATTAGAATATTCAAATTAAATAAAACTTTTCTAATGAAATCTTATATTCATCAACAATTAAATTATAGATGTCATTATAAGTTAAATTCAAATCATTAATGACACCATTTTTATAGGGTGTCCAAAGGTGCGTTTAGCACAGCGCTCTATATGAGACTATTAAAGGAGATATATGCTGATTATAAATATATAATAAAAAATATGAATATATGTATATGATGAGTAAGTTGTATTTTGGCGCCATGCCGGGATATAAAATGAATTTTGAGACAAGAGGCGGTTTCGCGGGAAATTTTGGCGGGATTTTTTTCATTTTTTTAATGAATCATAAAGAAAACATCCTCGCTCTTGCAAAAAAATGCAAAGACTGTAAAAAAATCTACGAGACATTGGTAAAATGCTTCGGTATGGATGCTCCTAGCTATTCCACTGTAACGTATCATGTTAGGATGTATCACTTCATGAACAAAAAGGCGCCCATCATAAAAATTGACAAAAAATCGCCGGATCAAAGAAAAATCAAAGCAATTCTTCAAGCGCTAGATGAAGACCCAAGAGCATCACTCAGAAGGATAGAGGAGATGACAAAGATACCACGTACAACAGTCAGTTATTATCTGCACAATTATTTGAACTACAAACTAGCGTATACACGTTGGGTTCCGCACAACCTTAATTCAGTTCAAAAAAAATCTAGAGTCCAATCTTCGAAAGAGCTCCTCTCTATATTGGGTGCGTATCAATCCAAGAAGTTTCGCTTTTTAGTAACAGGGGACGAGTCTTGGTTTCAATATGCAACAGAAGCCAAAATCATGTGGATCCCGAAGGATGAAAATCCGCAAACATTCCCGAAGAAAAAAATTGACACACCAATGATGATGTTGTCGGTTTTTTGGGGCGTGAATGGCATCATCGCAATTGATATTCTTCAAAAACCTAATACGATGAATGCTCACTATCTAATTGACAATGTTCTTACTCAAATTATCAATTCTGATGAGTTTGAGAAATCCAAACAACAAAAACAAAAGTTTGCAATTCATTTTGATAATTCAAGAGTTCACAAAAGTCATAAGGTAATGAATTACTTGGTGGAAAACAATGTCAAAGTTGTTCCAAACCCAATTTATTCACTTGATATTGCACCCTCTGACTTTTATTTATTCGGCACGCTAAAAAAGAGAGCTGAAGGACGCGAATTCGCGAGTCCAGATGATCTTGAAAATTTTGTAAGAGAGCAATTTGAGCAATTTTCTCATGATGATTTAAAGCGTGTCTTTCAAGCCTGGATCGATCGCTGCGAACGCGTGATTGAATCCAATGGTGATTATATTTAAATAAACTTTATATATGTGTAACTTGTTTATTTCTATTCGCAGTATTCAGGTTTGTGCTAAACACACCTTTGGACATCCTATATTAAATTTAATTGCTGAAATTTCTTTTATTGGATTTATTTTTGTTGCTAATGCTCCACAGCAATTGACTTTTTCGTCTAAGAAATACTGAATCTTAATTTTATCATCAGAAACCCCGCACAAAACACTTATTACATGAATTAAACTATCATGTGGTAAAATTATTTTTCCTGAGTCATCTATTAAATTCATTATATTACCACTATTGCTAATTAACATGTCACGATAAATATGCATAAGTTCTGTTGTAATTTTATCATCAGTAGCAACTGGTTCATAAACTTTCGGTGGTCCATAAACAACTTGAATTCCATCATCGGCTGGTGTCGCTTCTGTTGGAAGTTCTCTTGTACTAAATTCTGAAGGTTTTGGTTTCGGTTCTGTATCACATGAATTTACATTAACTCGAACATTCTGTAATATTTTACTTTTGTCCTGGTTAACACTGTATCCAAATGTTACTTCTCCTTTTGCTGAACTTGTAATTGGTCTATGCCTCATGTTTTTAATCATTGATAAAAAAATTAATTAATTAGATCAATTCATTATAATCTTATGTGCGTTGGGGTCTGTTGAATGCACCGCGCATTGTATTCTGTAAATTTTGATCCATGTTATTATTCACCAAAGTATTTAGATCATCTGGATTTATTGTAACTGTGTTAGTTGGTTGAGGTGGTTGAGCTGTTCGTCTATTTTGATTTGGTTTTCCAAAATGTCTCGTTAATGGTGTTCGTAGACTATTTTGATTTGCTGTTGAATTTACTGTAGCTGTGGAATTCGCTGGAGCAAGTGTTGCAGTATTTGCTGGTGGTTGTATTCCGTAAGCACCTGGTTCAATTATGTGCTGTGTTCCATCTGGTGCAATTAGTGTATATCCACCCATTTTAGGTCCTCTATAAAATTGATTTGCTGGTCCTTTACCTTCTGGTCTTGCTATATAAACTGTTTGATCATTTTCATTTTCGAAAGATTGTGGATTCTCGTAATTAAATGCTGACTTAAACTTATTATCAACATTTGTTGGTTCTGGTGCAACTGCCTGTGGATCAACATTATTATCGAAGCTCTCCATATATTTGTATGTTGCGTCATACCCGAATTGTTTACCTTCTTGTACATTTATGATAGCAACTCTTAATGCACCTATTGCGTGTTGAGCAATAAATGTTCTATATGTAAGATCATTCTTGAATTTAGTAATCATATCACTAACAACTTGCATTGCCGCATTCTTGAACGCTTTGCTACTTTCGAATGAGCGCATCTTTCTTTCAGCCTTTGCCTTTATTTCAGTTTCTTTTACATCTGGACGTCCACCTAATTCACTATTCGTGACTTCAGTCACAAATTGATCAATACCCCAACCACGACCAAGAGATCTATAAGTTGTATACTTAACAAGAGCTGAATACAAGAAATTAGTACCTTGACTTTTAGAAATGGCTTTGCTGAACGCTTTTCTTCGTTTCTCATTCTTATCATCTCCATCATTCTTTGCCCAACCAGCAGCGTTGAAAAGATTTTCTATATAGTCTTTATTGACTTCAAAACATGGTTTAACCAATGCATCATTAAAGAACTTTTTTGCACCAACATCTTTATCCTTTTGTAAATCTTTAAATCTACTTGGTAAACGATAAACATAACTTGAATTTCCATTTCCATCATCAGCAACTCTAAAGTAAGTCTTCTTGAAATCAACAAAAGAGTTTCCTTCTTCTGCTCTATCAGCAGGTTCTGGTATAACTGTATGATATGCTTTTCTTTCAGCATAGTCACTGTCAGTTAATCTCCATCCATTAATTACTTTCAAATTACCTTTGGAGTCAGTGATGAAAACTTCCTTAATTCCATCTGGAAGACCGTTTGGTCCTGTAATATCTAATTCGTGAGCTTGCCGGTTTTTACCATGTTTCTTTGCATATGCCTGCGCTTCTGGTAATGTAATTGCATCATCAACGCGGGCAAATCCTTTATGAAGACCGGCTGCAATATTAACTAAATCATCAGCACCTTTTTCAAACCTGAAATATATATCATATGTTTGTTGTTGGGGATATGCTTTCGAACTTTCTGGAACTTCACCTGGATTCATTTCTGTTTTCTCAAATGGTTCGAAGTTCATTCTAAAATTCGCGTGTTGTGGTCTTGCTCTTTGTTGCTGAATGATATTCAACGGTTGTGTAGCTTGATCCAATGTCAATGTCATTTTGTCTGTAATAAAAAAATAAAATATATTAATTAACGAACTTGATATTTCCTTTAACCAAATCGACGATTAATTTCCCATGTTCACCTAATTGTTGATATTGATAATATAATTCATTTATTGTCATAGGTAAATTCACTTGATATAACATTACGTTTAATTGTTGCCTACTGAATCCTGAAAATATAAATAATGTACTAATGTTTGATTTGATATTTGTACTTAATGCTTTAAAGAATTGGACAGCTAAGAAGAAACTACATTGAATATGTCGGCATTGTGTCAACCATTGATTAAATTTTGAATTAGGTTTTTCAATTAATGAGGACTTAACCGCGTCATCAAGAAAAATCAATGTATGTAAGAAATCCTATGAATAATCTGAAATATTTAATTTCTCAAACATTTCCATCATTTGATTGTCCACAATTTTATCTTCTAAATTCTCTGCTTTCACTTTGTTATACAATTCTTTAAATAACAGTATTTCATGTATGTATTCTTCTGCTTCATCATGCGATTTATATACAATTGGTACATTTATTAATGTCTTTAGGGATTCAAATGTTGAATCAGAAGGAGTTCCAGATCTATTTATATAAATCAACATATGACAATATGGGTCATTCTGTGAAATTTTAATGATTTCCTTAATTATTGCGAGTGTTTTTCCTTTGAATTGTTTTCCTATTGCAGCTGTGATTGCATTATAATATGAATCAGTTCTGGGTATCTTTTGCAAAACTTCTCTTTCCAAAGAATCTTTATTTAAATTTAGGTTATTCATTATACATCTATCAATGAAACAATCATATTGTTCTTCTGGAGATAATATTGGTTTCTCATAAAATCCTTCTTCTTCATACATGTTTAAAATTTTTATTCTTATTAAAAAATGAGAAAGTTTTGGCATATTCGACGAATTCATACAGTTTCAAATCAACTTCAACCCATAATTCGTAGACAATATAAAAAACTCCCTGATCCAATTTACCCACCTCCTCCTGATAACTCTATATTAGAAACAGAAGAAAAACCTAAGGAAATTTAATAAAATATATTTTTATTTCTATAACAACTACAAGAATAATATAATAAAATTAAGTTTTGAGGAACTTATTTATCCATTTCTTCTTTCTTTTCTTCTTCAATGAGTGAGAGACGTGCACGTTCATACTTCCTTCTTCTTGCTTCACGGAGTTTCTCTTGTCTGATCCAGATGGATTTGTTCTGGATGTCATTTGCTGGAAGAATGATTTTCCAATTGTTTGTCTTGAATACTTCATAGAAGAGGGAGTGATGAATTGTGTAGAGGTTATCAAATGATGATAAGATTCCATTATGAACTGAGTATTCATCATCATCAATGTAAAAGACTTCTTGTCCAAATGTCAGATCACTTGGATCTTCAAACCTTTTGATCTCGTATTCCTGTAATGTCTTTTGACATTGTTTGTTGCAATCTTCGTCATATTCACGAATTTTGTTGTAAGCAACTACGAGCTGAGCTGCCCAGAGCCAATCTGATTTGAGTTCGATGAGGAGTTCACGTTTGGTGAATTGGATAATGGCACCAGGAAAGACTCTGTAAAGATCTTGCATCCATGAAGTTGTGTTGTACTTGTACCAGGAAATAATTGAAATAATGAATTCTTCTGTGAGCGCTTCAATGGAATTTTCTGGTTTGAACTTTGTGATTGTTTCACGAGTTTCTATTTCAATGACACTTTGAAGGCTTAAAAGATATACATCTGAGAGCTCATTAACTGTGTGCTGAAGATCACAACCTGTAAGCTTGTAATTGTACTTCGGGTACTCATTTTGAATGTAATCCTGTAATTCCTGTTCTTTCCTTCTGTACAAATCTTCTTTTATAACTGAAACTAGTTGTTTCTTCTCTTCATTGTTGAAGAAATTTCTAATGATTTCAACCATTGCATCAACTGAGTAACCTTTGACAAAGTGAATGGCTTGGAGATCATAGAAGAAGGAGAGAGCTTCTGTGTTGAGGTTTTGAATTGACATTTTGAAACCATTGATCACTCTCTCCTTTTCAATTGATACACCTTCTTCATATTGGATCGGACCATTGTGTGCAAAATCTTGTGGTCTTTTGATTTTTGCTCTTTCAATTGCTGCTTGAACTTGCTTTGGCACATCCATGTTGAGATCTTTTGTCTTCTTTGTTGTGATGTTTCTCTTTGAACCTTGATGTAATGGAGGTGGTGGAGGTGGTGGTGGTGTGTTCTTTCTCTTTGTTACCATTTGTACTTGATGATCTGAATCTGAATCAAATGGTCTTTTCTTATTGAACCATTCCTCTGGTTGAACCCTCTTGAAACTGTTGGAGTCTTCACTGTCAGAGCTGGTGGTCTCGAATGAACGATTTTGGACTTTTTTGTAGTCACGATGCCTCGACGGCATTAATAAAAATGAAGTGTCATACGGTTTTTTCCTCTCAAAATCCAAAATTTTGACTAGAATTGCTTCTCACAAAAGTGCTCGATATCTCAACGTGAAACTTGTAGTACTGCCTGTGTTCTACAACTTTGTCATAGGACTTTCCCTTCTATCCCCACTAGATCTCGAGATATAAGTGCAAAATCATCTCCATTGCAAATTTCGTCACATAATATTTTTGGTCATTTTTGCGCAAAATTTATGAAGAAATGACCGTAAAATTAATGAAATTCATGAATTTTGCTTTAAAAAACTCATGAAATTTCGTGAGTTTTTAAGGTTTACAAATTTCGTCATCATTTATTTTTGCCCATTTCTGAGTGAGGGGGTGTTAAGAAATAGGGGTTTTGTTCATGTTGTATCATGAGTTTTGCTTTAGAAAACTCATGAAGGTACTAAGAAATGACCAAAAATTAATAAAATCATGAATTTTAAGCCGTTTTCTTCATTAATGTTATGAGTTTTTTAATGTTTACAAATTTCGTCATAAAACCCGCAACATATACTACTCTTTATTTTAAAAATTCTTTATGAATATCGTTTACCGCAATTCAAATAGTGTATTTACTTCAAAAATGCAAATATCGCATTGGTGTATAATGTCATTGATATTTTCTATGCAAAGTGAGTTGCGGTAAAAAATGCGGTCATACCTCCATTCAATTTATGGATAAAGTACTCAATTTGCGGCTAACCCCCTCAATCTGCGGTAAAAATGAGGTAAAAGTGTCTCAATTTATGGAAAACTTGCGGCAAACAATTTAAATTTAGCTAATTTCCTATGATTTTGATTCCACATCCTACAACTCTCAAAACGAAAGGTATTTGCAGCGATAATTCCTTGAAAAAAATTCCAAAAAAATTTCAAAAACGAAAAAACGAAAATAATTCCGTACATTTTTTATTCCGAAATTTCTCAAAAGTTTACCATTGCAGTGGATTCCATGCGGATTTACCATCGGTTACCGTATGAACAGGCCTAGAATTACTTATATTGTTATCAATGATATACAACAAAACTAAATCAAACGAATTTTAAAAATTCAAAATATAAGTCCAAAGAACTTCAACAGAAAATTTATCTTATAACACAAAACCTCAGTCAAATTACTCTAAAGAGTAGTTTTTCAAAGATTCTCCAAATTTTTGAAGTTCTTTGAGGAATTTACTCTTTCTTATGGATATTGTCAAAGTATTTTGATAATATTCAAAAGAAGATATTTCAAGTAAGTAGATTATAATGGATTCCAAGCTTATACAAATTGTAGTCTTTTAAAGAGCAGTTGTTCCAAGATATTCGAAGTTTTAGAATATCTTGGAAAAACTGTCCTTTAAAAGGCTGTAGCTTCGGTAATATTACTACCTAGTATTAAGGTCACGTAATTACATTCTTTTAAATGACAGTTGTTCCAAGATATTCGAAGTTTTCAAGTATCTTGGGAAAACTGCCCTTTATAAGGCTGTAGATTCGGTATTATAACTATCTAGTATTAAATTCACGTAATTACAGTCTTTTAAAGAGCAGTAGTTCCAAGATATTCGAAGTTTTCGATTATCTTGGAAAAACGGCCCGTTATAAGGCTGTAGCTTCGGTATTATAACTATCTAGTATTAAAGTTACGTAATTACAATCTTTTAAAGAGTAATTCCTCAAAGAACTTCAAAAATTTGGAGAATCTTTGAAAAACTACTCTTTAGAGTAATTTGACTGAGGTTTTGTGTTATAAGATAAATTTTCTGTTGATATTGTTGGATTTACTGTATATAAATTGTAGATTGATCGCGAAAATCCAAAATTCTGGATATTTTTGGAAGATCCGCGCTTGAAACGAGCGTGTTTGATGATTTTGCATCATCTCTGAGCTTGGATGTTGTAAATTTTGAAGTATAAAAGAGTTATTAGTTGAAATTCATTCGCTCATTTAAAAAGTGAAATATTTTCATTGAAAAATGAAAAATTAAGGCCATTCTAGAAGCCAATCAAAAGTACAATTAAAATAATATGATTCTTGGTGAAAAAATAATCCAAAAAAAATTGAAAAATGAAATTTGGAGAAAAAAATTACAGATTTAACAATATATAAAGGATTTTATAAATTTCTGTGTCAAATAAAGACTATTAAAATAGGTGGAGATTAAAGTATAATATGGTTTGAATTAAAAATTTGTGGAAATCAATGATATAATGTATGAAAAAGAGAGATTTTATAATAAATACAACTGACATGTATAATGAAATTTGATCAGTATCAATAAAAAACACTCCTTTAGTAAACTTGTAGTCTGAAATATTGCATTGAGAAAAAAATACTCCAAATTTGCTCAATGAGTTTAGAAATGTAAAGATTTAGGACATGCTTTACATTTGTAAACTCATTTAGTAAACTTGTAGTTTGAAATATTGCATTGAGAAAAAAGTGCTTCGAATTTACTCAATAAGCTCACAAATGTAAAGCTTTTGTATAAGCTTTACATTTGTAAACTCATTTAGTAAACTTGGATTAAAAAATTTAAATTTAATTTGAATTATGGGTTGTAATTCAATGTAAGATTGTCCTTTAAGTCAAAATAGACTATGAAATCAAATAAACCAAGGTAAATCGTAAAAATCTTTTTCGATTCATAATTTAATAAATAATCTTTTGCTGTATTTAAGATATCGATTAATACTTAACGAAATTTTGAATAACTGCATACGTGAATGAGATAAATGAAGTTTGAGATCTGAGGTAGAAGAATTCGAAATTTCGAATATATGCGAATTTGGTGATAACAATTGAAAAGTAAAATTTAAACTTGTCACAACACATAACAAAACTCCACCTGCATAAATCGAGTATATTGTATATGGTTGGTCTAAAATGAAAAAAGTGTACGTTTAAAATACGATTATTTAAATTCATTCCCAAAAACGTCAATTAACAATTAAATTTAGTGTATTTTAAATATATATACGTATTATATTTTATAAATTATATTAAATTCGCAAAATTTTAAGTTTTAAACAAAAATAAAAAATGTTCAAAATATGAAATTATGCGTAGGATATTAAAATTTACATGTTAGCAATTTTTTTGAATTGCTTTCAATTTTCATATTGAAATTTTTAAGATTTTTTTCTGAAATAATAAGCAAGAATATCAACCTAAATAATATTAAATTCCATGCGTTAATTTCCCCTCAAAAGTCATTGACCGCCTCTCAATCTAGATTTTGTGAGTACTTTATATATTTAACAAAACTGGAAGGTCAACGATTATTTAACAAAACTGGAATCGACCCGATTTTTCACTCTCATAATAGAAGCTTTATTGTTACCATTCTTGGTAACTTCAAATCTTTCATCATTCTGATGAATTATATTATATTTGATGATCCAAATGATTCTAATAAGAATTTTCCAAAAAAACACCTTATCTCTGTTTATGCAACTGTTACAGTTCAAAATAACTTTAAATCAGTTGAACAATTATTACATGCAGTTTCAGCTGAGACAGATTATAAGCTTCAATATTCTATAAGCAAAGAAATAACAATTCTCAAAGACTACCAAAATGAATCAGATTCTTCGGAAATGTTAAAAAATGCTTTATTGTTCGAATTAAATGAGAATAAAGATGAAAATGAATTAGTTAACAGAAGTGTTTACTATGTCAGTTACAATGAAGACATTCGAAACATGATCATAGTTTATCGACGCTGCGATACTCATAATATTCAATTCACATACCTTGAAGGATCTTATACTTTTTTGAAAGTTAATTGGAATAATTATGTTCTTTATCATGAACTCCCATATAAAAAAAAACCATTAGAAAATGTTAAGAGTCATCCCATTATTTAATAATTTAATTACTTTCGGCACAATGACATTAACAAGGAAGAAACAAGATAAGGCAGAAGAAAAATTAAAATATTAAATATTATTATTATTATTAGATTTTTCATTTCATTTTTGTTTACATTAATGATCCAGATATTTCCTTATTTCAACATGATATCACCCCATCTGTTTGTATACTTTCTATATAAAATATTTGGAACTCGCTTTTAGCAAAAAAATCTGAAGGCAAAGCACAGGTTGTTGATTGAATTATTCAAGGGTTTGGCTTTAGTAACTTCCCAAAAAATTTGGGCCGAAATCCGACATTTTTTAATGACCTGCACTATTCCATTAAACATTTCCGGGATATTGATAGCTCCCAATCCTACGAAAGGGATTTGTGAAATCCCTCTGTCACTATTTCCAGGTGCAACTTTATATAATTCCTTTTACTGATTCAAGAATAATCAGTAGAAAAAATTGTATAAAGCTGAATCTGCTTAAATTATTTGGAGTAATCCATCTCTGAGGCTTTGGGCCCTAGTGTAATGCACCAGGACCTCAAGTTTCTTTTGGAATTTACACAACACAACAATTATTTTCTGAAAATGAATGTGTATTCTCTCTCATGTCTTACAATGGAATTTAAAATTAATACAAATTAATTTTAGGTTTCAAAAGATTTTACAATAATCGTCTGCTCAAAAGAATGGATATACCTGTAGAGACACAGATAGATGACATTCTTGCTAGGTCTCTTCGTTTGGAGAAGAAAAGTCCATATTTAGCAAATTATGGTCTTTCAAGCGTTCTTCATCAGAGCAGATCTATTATTAACACTAGATCTTTTTCAAAGGATGATGAAGATCGCGGCAAATACCTCTTGGGTACTGTAAATAAGAATATTGCAAATGTTCCTACAATTTTGAAAGGAATTGACTTAACATCAATTGTATCAGACAATGTAACTCTTTATGCAGAGAAAAACAACGAAATTTTCCAAGACTCAATTGTTAAATCCATCACATCAATTCATAATAGTACAAATTCATTAAATGATTCTTTTATTTTGAAAGCAATGGAAAACTTATATGGAAAGAAAGGATCATACTCAGACGTCGTTGTTCCATACTACGAAGATATCCCAAGTATTACACCAAGTATCACAGAATATCTTAACGAACATCCAATTCCTTCTGTTAAGATGACTCTCCGTCCTCGCGACAGATTCTATGCAGAAAATCTTACAAACCAGAACGAATCCTTCTCAGAGCATATGGCAAAAGCCATTCGAAAGACAACTTTATTCAAAGAAAATTATCAATTACCACTTGCAGACACATTCTCACTTATTCATTGCCTCGAGAAATACGGAAATCATTTCAATGGAACAAAACGCTTTCTTGAGAAGCAAATCAAGAGAATTATCACGGAAGAGGTTAATACAAACTTAAATATTGCAAATCGTGGTCCAACATACGGTATTATGCATACACTTCAGGGGTATATCAATCTTTTACCTCATCCTCAACACGAATCCCCTTGGGCAATTTTATTCTTCGCAATGCGTTGCGGAAAGAACGAATCCGCACTCCAATATGCATCAGAAAACAATTTCAGCCACGATGTCATCTCAGCTCTTGAGTTTCGAGTCACAGGAACCGAAATTACACCTCAAATTAGGACAAACCTTCAAGGATTGTACCAAAACGAGGTCTCCGGTGAAGGACATGACACATTCAAGTGTTTGTGTCTCTCAATTCTCTCAGGAATTGGAGGATATAACGATCCATCAGTTATTTCAAGCTTTGAAGACTGGCTTTGGTTTGCATTACAGCTTGGAGATGGAAATCATCAAAGAGTTGTTACAAAAGTCACAAAAACCATCAGCGAAATATCAGATCCAAGAAATACTTTCTTACCGGGCCAAGCTTTACTCCTTGTTCACCAATTCGATAAAGCTGCTAATTGGTTCCTCTCAACACCCGCAGTTGCCAACGATGGACTTCAAATTTCCCTCGCAATGCACACAGCAGGCCTTATTTCACCAAACGTCTTCAGCGAACAATTGCTCAGATATACGGCAGGCGTTTTCGAAGCAGACGGATACCTCTCCTTGAAGTACCTCAATATGATAAAGGACAGAAAGGAAGTTTCAAAACTCGTGTCACTTTTGGCCGTAACTGCTCGGAACGGGGAATCGCTGTTCGAGCCCACGATCATCGACCAAAGCCGCTTGCAAACACTTCCACCACCAGAATCGGAAGCTTCTGCAGCTTTGTTCGACGGAATCTCAAATCCACAAGATATTATCAACTCTTACAGAGAAAACAACGATGATGAAGAGCAATATGTTGCTATGCACTCACCTGCATCATTGCTGCTCAATCCTGAAGAACAGAAACTCGCAATTACATCTGCAGGAATTGAAGCTGCGAAAAGATCAATGTATCCAACAGCGATGAAGCTTTTGCACATGGCAGGTGATTATAACAGACTTGTAGACCTCTGCTGCCAGCAATTAAGAAGATGCGCTGAAGGATTAGTTGATGACCAACCAATCATCGATGCAATGGAAATAATCAATGAAGTTAATGAAAACACAATCAGTGTTGATGAAAAAAGAATGAGAACTCTGCTAATAATGCTTTCTTTCGCTAAATGCGCTTATTTGACAAGACATGGCGATTATGAACTCGCCTGCTCTTCATTTGAAGAAAGCAAGATCTTCGCTTCTGATCAGGGCGTCATAAACACTGCAGATAACGGTGGAGTCGAAATGGCCAAATCAACTATAGCAAACATGCCTCCATCTGTCAAGGAAGTGATACCAGTAGTACTTGTTCAGGCTGTTGAAGCGTATTCCAAGATCCATGCTTCTTTACCAAGAGGAGGAGGCGCAAAGAAGAATATCGAAGAAAAAGTAAGGATTTTGGCTAAACTTGCAGGAGAAGTTAAACAGTCTCTTCATGAAGATATGGCTAGAAAGTTACTTATGCTTAAGGATTTTGATACAGTATAAAGAATTATATTTTATAGAATTTTTATTAAAAACCCCAAACATATTTTTAGTTTAATTAGCAATATATATCTCATAAGTTTTAATACATTACTTTGTATAGTTTCATTTTGATGATTAAATTTATATTCAATTTCATTGCATTAATAGAATGAAGGATTATAAAGTCTTTATATTTCGTAAAAGTACTTCTGATTATATACAAAACACACATATTTTCTGTGTTATATTTGATTTCAAAATTAAATATCTTATTATTCATAGAACATATAAGATCCTCACATGAGATATACTATCTACATGTACTTCATGCAAATTCTATTCCATAATTCTTCATTTAGCATGATGATTTGCTTCAATTGTTTAGTATCTCAGTCAAATTTTATTGAATAGTTTACAGAGACATAATGGATGTTTATAATCAATTCACTGGGCTTCGAATTGATGGCCGCCCACCCAATGAAATGCGTTTAGTTGAGGCTAAAATTGGAACAATTCCTGGTTGCACTGGTTCTTCTCATTTCAAGATCGGTCAAACAGAAGTTATTGCTCAAATTTTTGGCCCAAGAGATAACAGATCAGGTGATAATGCAGCAGAAATTCGTGTTACTTTCGAATATGCCGATTTTGCAAAAGTTCCTCACGCTTCAGATACATCAATGACAAGGAGAGGCAGAGAGAGCGAAGTTATCATGAAAAGAACATTCGAAGAAGCAATTAAAAGAGAATTATTCCCTCATTCTAAAATTTTAATCGCTATTACAGTTATTCAAGATGATGGTTCATGCCAGAGCGCTGCCATTAATGCTGCAACATTAGCTTTGATTGACGCTGGCATTCCAATGTTTGATTTTGTTGTATCTATGACAGTTGCTTTATATGATGATAAATGCTTCCTTGATGCAGGCCGTGCAGAGTCAAATGCTCGTTTCCCAGTTTTGGAAGTATCTATCTTCCCTTCAACCAGCGAAATTTTATCAATGAACTTAACAGCAAGAATCGAACCACAGGCATCAAAGAATTTGATGGCCGCAGCTATAGACGGATGCAAGGAATTACATGCAATTATGCAAGATGTTGTTCGCGTTGCTTCAATGGAAAGATACGCTCAATCTAAAGGAGTCAGCAACTAATTAGTGTAGAATTAATAGATGTTCAGCTTATTATAATAAAATTGATGTTTATTTGAATTACACAAAGTTTTTTTCATATTTTATTTAAATATTCAGTTATTTTGACCATATTAATACCGATTCTATTTGTATTTTTTCAAATCATTAATAGTTACATACTGTTTACTAACAACATGAAGAAAAAATGTATTTTTATAATCAAATTTTTCAAATCATTGCAAATACACTGAGCACCACATTAGTAAACACGATGTATAGATAGGGAAGAGTAGATGCCATATGATAATCATTCGTGTTGTGCGATTATTGGTAAAAATAGCTGAATCTTAACATGTATTGTAGTTAAACATAGGATATTTGAAGAGAATAGCTAAAATATGACAATATATGGTCATGTTTTGATACAACTCCATCAATTTACTGATCATTGATCCGGAATCTATCAAAACATAAATTTTTAAACGGTCACTTTTTTATGAATCATCAAATTGTGCAATACTGGAGTACTGAAGAGATACCTGCAAGAGATATTAATAAAGGTAGAAGAACTGGAACAATTATAGATGGAAATGTTAAACAAAATGAAGATGGCTTCGAAGATCATATTGATTTTTGGGCTCATCAGTCATCAGGAAAAGTTAATAATGTTCCTCCGTCACCTAGATATCCAGATTCACCTATTACTCCAAGTATTCATCAATTCGCTTCACCAATGGTCTTAGAAGACGACAATCAACTGGAAATCGGAAATTCATTCAATAACGATATAAGCAAATCTTCAGCAAACTCATCGCCATTCAAACCTACTTCCCCATTTAAGCCAATTCAAAAAGTTTATAATAATGAAAGAATTGGAAGACTTCCAAAGAACATTTCGACAAAAACTAAGAACAATGAACAAGTAAATCCCATTTCGAAATCTCCAGTTACAGAAAAGACAGCAAATCAATTACCTAATACAAATACTCCTGTGAAAACAAGTGTTGCACCATTCAATGTCCAAACACCTACAATATCTCTTCAAAAGAACCAAGAAATCGAGAATATTTTACCATTACCACAAAATGCCCCAATTCAGCAGCCAAAAGAAACAAAGCAAGAAAATAAGACCGAGCTTAAGATTGATTCATCTGCATCATATAATGTTGTCAGAGAAGATAGTCCAAAACAGCGTCAACATCGCCCTCCAGATTCAGATTTTATAAAACCAAATCCACAACCAGTGTCTTCACCTATTCATAGAACAAGCATTCAATCTAGAGGAAACTCCAGAGGTAATTCGCCAAATAACTCAGAAAATACTTCGCCAACTCATGTAACGTTTCCGAGTCGAGTTAATGCAAGAAAAACTAGTATGTTTACACATCCAAAGTTTTCTAATCTCAAGAGTAAACCAGAATTTACAGAAAACAGTCCAATTAAGGTAGAACAAAGAAATTACGCTGCATCGTTTACAAGAAGAGATGTAGGAAATTCAATATTTAAATATCGTGAGCAACCAAAAATTAGAAATGAGCCTATTGAAGATTCTCCAATCAATACTAAAAATTTCAAAATAAATCTTCCTGGACCAATGAGATATGATACAAGCTCGAAACAGGTTGAGTCATTAAGTATATCTCCCGTTAAGTTTGGTCCTAAAAAGCGCTTATCATATACAAAAACAAAATCTAGAAAGCCATTTGCAGAAAGAAGGACAAAAGGACTTAGCCAGAAGTATGGATCATCATCTTCATCATCAGATAATGAAGAGGAATCGCAGAGTCAGCAGTACAACTTACCAAAACAAGAAGATTTTCAAGATCATCAAGAAATCGAAGAAGATCGCCAGGAATATGAAGAAGATATTCGCGAACCAATTAGAACTAACAGATTTATTCCAAAAAGATTTGCTAAAAATGATGAAGATTTAAATAATCTTGGATTTAGAACTAGATTTGGCTCTAACAATAACAATTTAAGAAACGAACAAGAAAATGAAGATTTTGAACAAAACAATGAACCACAAAATGAGCAAGAAAATGATAATTCTGAAAATCGTGAATCATTTTTCGATCCACCAAAGCAATCCATACTTAAAAAGCCACAAACAGGATCATTCTTCCAAAATGAGGATACGATGGAAACTGTAGAAGCAAATCAAGAAGAAAAGATAGAAAAAACTTTACAAAAACCGGAACAAATCGTCAGCATTGAACCAGAAGTTAAAAAAAAAGAAGAAAAGCCTCCAGAGCCATCAACACCTCCACCAGTTACTGAACCAGAGCCAAAAACACCAAGTCCAGAACCAATTGCAAGATTTGATCCAGGTTCTTCTCCACAACCAGAAGAGAAAACCTTTGATACTCCTGCTCCTTCACGCCAGATCGTAGAAAGAATCTTCAAAACTCCAGCTCCTCCTCGAATATTTGAAAGCCCTGCGAAACCAAAGCCACATTACAAATCTAGATATTCAAAGAGGACAGCTCTTGAAGACGAAATTGCAACAAGATCAAGTAGTGGAAGTGGTTCAGAATCATCTGGATTACATACACCAGAAAGATATCAACGTCCTGTTTCAACAATGTTGAAGAACTCTCCTTTCTCAGAGAAATTAATGCAGAAATTGGCTGAAATCGGATCAAACAAAGTTCCTTCTTCAGAAAAGCAAAACGAAGAAACAAAAGAAAATCAAGAGAAAGAGGAAGAAAAGTCATTTGTTGAAAGAGTTCCAAATCCAGGTGTAAGAATTGTCACAGCAACACCAAAGAGACAATTGACAAGATGGTCAACAAGAGCTGGTTTCACACCTCGTCTTAATCAAAGAAACACAGTTGATATTGATGAAAATGGAACCCTTGTTGTCAAAAGATTTCCCTACAGTCCATCGAATGTCAACTTTGATTTCAACATTGCTGCAAATAATGACAATAATAATAACAATAATAATAACAATAATAATAACAATAATAATAACAATAATAATGATGATATTGATGATAATAATGGTATTCCATCTGCTCCAGAAAGTCCAATGGCTGAAAAAGAAAGCACAAGAATGCAACACGAAGAATCAGATTTAACTGTTGAAATTGCAAGTCCAAGAGATCAAAATCCAATTCCTGATGCGGATATCAATGATTTCATGGATAATGCAGACATTCCTGATCTTTCTGATTCAGAACCACAATCTCCTGCACCTTCAGCAAGAGAATCAAACATTACTAGAGAGACATCAACAACTGTTGAAAACACTTCTTCTACTTCATCAACAACAAGGAGAAGAAGAAACACATCTTCATCTTCAACTACAACTACAACAACGAATACTACAAATGTTGAAGAAAATAATAATGAAGTAACAGTAAATAATAATGGAGAAGTTCCATTCGGTGAGCATCATGTTGAACCTTCTCCTGTTGTTAGAAGGCCAAGAATAAGAAGACCTCAACTCAAGGAAAGTTACTTCATTTCAAGACGTCCTGATGTTGGAACAGCTGGAAATGGATACACGCTTTATATGGGAACTAAATGCCCAAGGACAGGTGTTACAGAGATTATCTATATTAACTCTGGAAGTAGATATGAATTCGTTTCAAGAACAGCTCATTTATTAATGTACATTCAACAAGGAACTGGAAAAATCACATGTAATGAACAGAGTTGGCTTGTTGCACAAGGTGGACACGGTTTCTTAGGCAAAGGTGCTTATTGCGAATTAGAAAATAATGGCGAAGACGACTTAGTTGTCTTTGTAGATCCACAATAACTTTAATTTATATATTTTTGTATTATATTTATGTTTTTTTGTTGGTTATATTAAATATTTGTATTTTATAAAGCATATTCTTTCGTGTTTATTATCTTTTATAGGATTCGTTATTTTAGTTCCAAAAAAAATTATGTTGGAAGAGCGCTTAGAATATCTTGATCTCTTCCATTTTGTTACAAAACTTGCAGGTGAAGACACATCATTTATTAATATGTTCCGTGATTCTTTATCAAGAGTTCTAAAAGCGAAAGTCCAAAGAATTATACAAAATCTATCTCCAAAAGTACAAATAAAATCAGACCAAGAGTTCGTTAGACGACCAGAATACACAGAATTACTCCAAGAAACAAAAACACAATTTTATGGAATAATAAATTCGATAAAACAGAATCATTTATGGTTTGGACAAGGTGGCGGTATCAATGTCGGCGATCCAGCTGAAGCACTTAAGCAATTTGCTACAAAAACATCTTATACCGTTCAAGATATGGTTATTCTTCGATCAATTCCAATAGAACGAATTTGTTTCTTACCAGAACTCTGTTTATACCATAGAGCGCTCTTTCATGCATGCTTATCTGACGATGATTTTGTTCGTTCATACGCATTTTCTCAGATTTTAGAAGCGCCTCAATTAATGGACGCAAAACAATACTTTGACGTAATGTCTGAAGTTATTACTCTCTGGGGAGCCGAGAAGATTACAATTGAACTCGCCGGAGGTTTACATTTTTTATTAGTTTCACTAGGCGAAGTAATTTCAGATATATTAGACGATGAGATACAATTAAAGCTCTACTCTCTAATAGAATGCGCAATTACCTCTCCAAACTTTTCTTATTTGTTTATTTTTGATCCCCTTCTCAAATGGCTTTCCAAGTCATTTCCCAAGGAAAACATCAAGAGAATAGAAGATGCTTCTCTTGAACTCCTCAAAAACGGCTCTCACGCTCACGCTTGTTTAATTTTCTCATCAATTTCACGCGGATTTACGAAATACGGGCATCTTCTTGAGACAGTCATAGCCACTAAGTCATGTATAGCTAATTGGCCGCATACTGTCCAAGTAGAAACAAGGAGACACCTCGCATCTCTCGCAACTCGCATTCCTAAGGATATTATGAAGGATTTGCTGTTACAGATCTCCGAGATGCTCAGTATACCTAACACTATCTATGTTTATTCTGAGTTTATCACATCATATTTTACAAATTCAAATGCAGATTTCTGCGAGCCTTTGTTCAAAACGCTTCTGAATATCATGGCCGCAAATAAAACACAGGAAATAATAAGAATGTTCGTTGCATTATGTGCTCATCCTGTTAGATTTTTAAATGCAATGACAATTTCACAGGATATGGAAATATTCAAATGCTTTACTGATTTTCAGAAGATAGATTTTTCATTTTACTCAATTTTGTTCAAGGATTCTCATTTGTTGCTTCCAAAAAATAATTCAGATAATATTATTTCAGGAATTTCATCTATTGTTGAAAATGAAGTTGATAATGCTTCTCAACTTAACAATATCATGATAACATGCATGCTTTACCCTTCAAAACTCTTGAATACACTTAAAAATTTCGATTCCCTTATAAATGAAGAGCAGAAAGTCTTTGTTACATCATTAGTTGCTGCAATAGCTGCAGCAGGTAACTTCCCACAAATTTCTGAATACATCCAGCTTATTCCTGTTCATAAATTTACTTGTGACTACTCAGAAATACAAAACTTGGCTAAGAAATATAGTGAAAGTAATATTTTCACTGGTTTATCGGCTTCATTTGGCAGCCAAATCAATATTGACAATAATTTGATTGTTATGTCATTGTTTTTTGAACATATCGTTTATTCTGAAGGCTCACAAGTATTAACAGCATTCAAGCGTGCTTATGTGAAGCCAGCTTTATGGTTTGCTGCTGAATTTGTATCTTTATTTTCTCCATTACTTTCAGAACCGAAAGATTTCGCACAAAGACTCTCAGAAGTTAAAGAAAACAAGGTTGCTATTGTTTGCATCGCTTATTACTTGGCTCAGAAACTTTCTCCGTTATTATTCGATTGTATTGACAAAGAAGACTATTTCTCGGTACCACAAACCGCTTTCTTCCCCAAGAAATTCATTGTGGACACTGATGAAGTCGAATTTACCAAAAAATTATCTGAAAAATATTCTAACATATATGAAACCATCAATGAAATTGTTTCAATAAGGCTTAAATAAATTTATTGTTTGTATTTTTACCATAATTTAACTTAATATTTTTATGAATAATTTAATTATAAGAAAAATAGCTAACAGTTGATATATCTATCTATTCTACTTCCAAATTCATATATTCAAAAGATTTAAATGAATTAAAATGACAATAATGAAATAATCAAATGAAATCGCTTAAAATTGCATGACTTTTATATGGTTTAAATAAACACTTAAATACATTTAGTAATTTTGGAATGACTCACTTAAAATGATAATATTTAAGGCATTGATCCCCAAATCAAAATTTGAATTGTTATGAGGTTATAATTTTGAAAGGGGATCAAAAATTGAATAGTAATGATAAAGATTTTTTTATATAATTGATTGTAATCAACCTTGTTATCAAATATTGTAATGGATAACAATTTGATTGAATTTTCACAAAAAAAAATTTTATTCAATATTTTTAATGTTGTCATTAGCATTTCTCTCTATTTCTCAACAAAATCTCTATACTACTAATGATCAGCAGATTGTTTTTGCTGAGTGTGCAACTATTTTACCTATAAATCAGACAATAAACATGCTTTCTGTTGATTCTCAAAAGTCAATCTGTGTTAAAGGTAGTTTTCTTCTTGGAGCCGAATTATCTTATTCTTTAACATCAGCACTTCCAACTAAAAATGGATGGAATATTTCACATTCAAATTCACACGGAATTGGAACAGTATCAAAGAATGGTGATGTCATTACAAAAATAAAATGCGAGTCTAAAAAGAAAGCATGCAGATTTCAATTACTTCCAATATTCCCATCAAAAAATATCATTAAAGATAAAAATGGAACCAAACTGACAATCATTCAAAAATCATTCATATCAACAGTTACAAATAACAAATTAACTCTTATTAATCAGAAAACTTCTTCCGAAAATGAAATTACAGTTAGAAAAACATTTGCAACTATTGCTAGCAAAAATGTTTTGGAATTTTCATACAAAAAGAATAAAGGAGATATTATTAACTCTACATTAACATCTAACAGCTTAGAACAAGATTCAGAATCAGGTGCTATTGGAAAATCAGATGTGGCACTTTTCTTCCCAACAATGAAAGAAGATAACTTTAATAATAAAGTTGAATTATCAATCGAAAAAGCATCAAATAAAAATGATGTATGGCTTTTACCTGAAATAAACGCCACTGTTCCAACTATGGATGGAATAATCACGCATTCTGATCTTGTTAAAAGACCTATTATTAGTGAATATGAGTTATTTGTTCTCGTAATATCATTAATTGGATTTTCAATTATCATTGTTTATTCAGTTTTCTTCATAATGCGTAAGAGAAAAATGAGAAGATCCATAAATTCATCAAATGAAGTAAATACAGAATCATTATTGTAATTAAAATAAATATTTTCAATATTTTATGAATACTTTTATTTCTTAATTTTTATTGAATACTTCAATAAAAAATACCTCAACAATGCATATTATTAATATTCGTCAAAAGTGACGTGTATCTAAAAAAGTATCGAATCTTATTCTTATAGAGAAATTCCCAAGACAATTTTGACCTGCCAATTAGCTATGTGCTGAAAAATATATCTCAATTTCAAAATTTAGAACCAAAATGGTTAAGGCTGCCCTTACGCCGATATAACATGGCCTTCAATTCAGATGTTTAAGGTTAATTTTCAATGACGCTTCACACCAGTTGTCAAAAATCTGAATCAAAGTCAGATGGGCGTATGTGCAGCCTTAACTATTCAAAATTAAATTAACTCTTGTTATTATGTTTCATATATTTATTCTTTTTTGCTAAATATTTAGAAGAACAATGCTAAAACTAGAAAAATATAACACATCTAAACAAAAATAACAATTTTTAATCGAATTTTGATTAATTTTTGTTATTCTGAAATATCCATTACCTTTGTTACCTGTAAGGAGTTTTGTATCAGTAAATTTTATCAAAGAATTTGGTTTACATGATGGATGACCAGAGATATAAGAACTTCCCCCACTTCCAGGAGTTGTTGAATAATCATCTATTTCTTTGGATGTAGTTCCGCCATAATAACCTGATCCAGAACCCGCACTTCCTTCAGCTGCATATGCCAACCATTTCTTTCCATCTCTTCCATTTTCTCCTCTTCCAAAATCATATCCAAATGTTTGATTTGCACCCAATGATGTTATATTATGCATCCATGCATAACTGCTTTCTCCCTCAATTCCTCCAGCGTTTCCACCTTTAACAAATAACCCGCCACCACCACCAGCAGACACCAATACTCGATTGAGATTATCAACAGCATTAACATAAACAGTTGTTGCACCTCCACCTCCAGGTCCAGACAAAAATACCGTTGTTTCATCCTTATATCCAAGACCTCCATTTCCCCCGCCGCCGCAACCGCCTTTTTTTATATAATATCCGACCAAACTGTCTTCTCCAGCACCACCAACCAACACGTAAAAGATAGTAGTACTTAATAAATTTAGAACGCCTGAAGTAAAACCTCCAAGACCTCCTTTTGCTGTTGGAAAATCACCTCCCGATCCTCCCCACGCCTCAAAAAAATTTTTTCCTTTTGGCAGTGAAATTTTATATGGTGTACAATCTTTTCTAAAAGGATAGTCGAGATATTCCAAAATTTATTTGAACTGGATCTTATAATCAATAATTATATAACAAGATGAAGTTATGTTTTCTTTATAAATGATGTCATTTGCATCTGGTCATCAAGTAATTTATGATGGATAAATTAAATTTAAGCTAATAACATCATCAAGGAAAAAATCTTTTACGGGATCACTCCAACGATACGTAAACTCTATATTACAAAGTCCATGAGTTTACAAAATTTTGGTCTAATAGTGAGCACATTAACAGTAATACTATTATATAAGATAGTTGTTTTGTCTTCAATAGATAATATTAAGCTGAGGTGTTCAAAAAATGGATTTTCAAAAAACGTTTCTTGATGACTATTTGATTATTCATACCAAGCTGGAATGATGCTTCACGCCAGTTGTCAAAAATTTGAATTAAAGTCAGATGGGTGTAAGTGCAGGCTTAAATTATGCTGCAAAGATCTGATCCTTATAATACTATTAGTGCAATAATTTCTCAAATGTCATTATTATCAGAATCTTTAATGAATTGGTTGCGTTCTACAAAGTAAATTGTTATCCAAAAATATAATGGGGAATTAAAAGAATCAGACCCAATTATAATATTTTTATGATGCTTTTTTTCCTTATTCAAATATCCAAGATAGAACTTCAAGAAAAAGTCATTAACTTAGAGAGAGAAATTACAAATAAGCAAAAGGAACTTCATAGAATTCGAGAACAGTTAGATTCCGCGAAAGAATTTGATCAAGATTTAAAAAACAGAATCAATTTCATCGAAAACTCACATATGCCATATCCGCCACAAAAACCTATTGAAAATGAATTCTTTCTTTTTAACAGTACTTCAAAGGAAGGCTTTTTTAAAAAAATTTTGGTTGAAGCTAGAGATACATTACCGTTTTCTAAAGAAATAACATTTCAGTCAAATGATTCTGGTCCATACTCTTCAATTCGTTTTGGCAAACCAGAAAAATACAATTGTTATCCTTCTAGTTTTCATATTTCCATTGTTCTTAACAAAGATAACCAAATTAGCCTCCCTAAAGTCAACAGACAAGGGGAATTTTATTCAGATATTAATTTTCCATTCCCAATTCAATTTTCACAAATTAAAATAACTTTAGAATCTACAATTTCTGCTGATTGCTTCCCTAAAATTTATGCAAAAGGATTTCATTGAAAACTCTTTATAGAAAAAGTTTATCTTTTAAAAATTGTTTATTAAAAAGCTTCTGTTATAAATCAAAAATATTTAATTTGATCATCAATTTTCAAAATCTATGTTAAGGCACTCAATAAAACATTTTATCTAAATATTATTTTCTCCTGAAACTAAACATATAATGAAGTTAAGATTATAGTTTGTAGTTGATATGGACGATTTACATGAGCATACATTGTTTCATTGTTCAATGAAATCGATAGTAGTATTAGTTGCATATGTCACGTTTTTAAGAGCTTTTTTGAATTTCTCAGAATCGAGAGGGGGTGAAAGTAAGATACAAGGGTATTCTTCATTATCAATAAATTGTAACTTATGTTTACGAATAAATTTAGTACCTTCTTCTGAAAGTGTTTCGTCTATTTCACCATCTAATAAATTTTGTGTTGATTCTGAGACATAATTTTTATATCTTTCTTCATGAGATTTCTGAACTTCTGATTCTGAAGCTGGGATATTCATTAAACCCTCTACTTCATTTTCATTATATTTTTCAACTTCTCTTAATTCCTTAATTTTTTCATCTATTTCATCTCTTATTTTTTCCAGTTTTTCAATTTCATTGTATTCATCATCATCTTTAATTCGTTCTTCATAATATTCAGGGAAAACATCAGGTTCTTTAGGTTTTTCTTCTTCAGATGTGAGATATAAGAAATTTATAACATCATCTTTATTCATTTTTCCATCATAATCAAATTCATTTAAAAACTCGGCAAATTTTTGACAATTTCTTAAATAATATTTACTAACTTCATAACCCGCCTCCTCTAATATATCCTTTATTTCCTCATTTGTGAATCCCAATTTTTTAACGTCGTTAGTTTTGACGCTCATTTCATACAAAATAAAAATAAATTATTCAAAAATGTAAGACATTAATTTTTAAAGTTTATTTTTCATTCATGAAAATAATTATTTCTAATTTCTTTTACTCTCTCGTACATACTAGATTTGAAGAATTCGGAACTTTTACCATAATCTCCTAAATGTTTTCTTATCCCTAACGTGTGCCAGTTATTATATGAAACTGAATAAACTTTATCTTTATCTTTACACCTTTCATTACTTCCAATATATTTATATCTCAGTTTTGATTTAGCATTTTCATATTCATTAGCGTTTAATAATTCACAGTCTTCCTTTTTAAATTGATGTTTAAGATATTCAGGATTTAATACTCTACGTTTATATGCTCCTAACTTAGTTCTAAAGGTTTTTCTACAAAATTTAGGAATTCCATCCTCTTTAATGTCATCAATGATTTCCATTTCATTATTTTCAATTTCTTCTTCTCGTTTATGAGGTCTTTGATTATGACTCCATTGATTCCATGAAATTAAATATTCTTTATCATTATATTTATACCTCATTAGCTTATTTTGGCTTTCATATTCATTTAATAATTCACAATCTTCATTTTTAAATTGAAGTTTAACCCATTCAGGATTTAAACAATGTTTAATTAATCGCGGAATATCTGACATCATCTATATATATATATAGCTTCTTTTATAAAAGATAAAAAAATAAATATATTTTAAAATTAATGTTAATTTTTTAATGATTTATAAATAAATATATTTTAAAATTAATGTTAATTTTTTAATGATTTATAAATATATTTTAAAATGTGTTTAGTATATAATATTTATTACTAATTTATTTAATAATGTCGCGCTTTCTTACGAATTCATGACTTAAAAAACGTAAGAAAAAATTTTTATATCATCTATATATAGAAGATGTGAAAATATACCTTCATCTATATATAGACGTAACAAAAAAAGTCACAAAACCCTTCAACATATACTACTATCGATAACCGAGATAACAAATGATCTTGGTGTAACTGAGATCAGTATCTACAATTTTTCATGGTAGTGACTTTGTTTTTCTCCATATTGTTCGCTAAATATTGGATAAAACCGAGGAAAGTATAAATACAAATTCGGATGTCACTTTTTAATTTTTTTATAAAAAAATGGATTTTTATGATGAAATTCGTCAATGCTTTGATCATATTTTAGATAAAACTTCAAGCAAAGAAGAGTTTGAAAGGATAACAACGATATTTAAAACAGAATCCGGAAAAGAATTATATTTAATCGTTGCAGAATGGCTTTCTGAGCATGATGAGATCGGTTTTGAGGCGTTCCGGCAGTTTTCAATACTATTTCGCCTACATTTAGACGGATTACGAAAAGCAAACAAATTTATTATGAATGAATATCTCGATGTTTTATATATACGATGTATGAAATACACAGAAGAGCAAATTGTCCAAATATACAACGTTTTTAATACTCCATTTATGGAAGAAGCTACACAACCATATTTGTATTTTATGATTTCAATAGCTCCAACTATCCAACAAGAAATAGCATCACAAATTACTAAACCAGAAGACATTTTTTCCGATTTACCATACTGCATGCAAATATCTATTGCCAGAGCCGCTGTTTTTAATCCGCAACAATTTCGAAGCTACGGATTGGAAAGACTAGCAACGTTATTGCTTAACAACACACGAACATGTTACAAAGAAGATGGAATTACGCTATGTTCGCAGATAAAATCTCCAGAAAATGCAATAAAATTATTTAATAATGCGATTTCTGCGGCACCATACTTATGTTCTGCACAATCTGCAAAGAAAGGATGGGAAATATGTTTGTTAATGCTCCATAACATGACTACAGAAGACAGATTTCATTCAATCAGAATTTCATTTGAAAACAAAAACATTACAGACAGTGCTCGCATATCCCTGACTAATGAGCTCATCAAACAGATAAGGAATGGTCAAGGAACTATATTCAGATCCCCATCTGTAATCCAAATTGCCGCATTAATTTGTAATCCATCGATTTTGTCATCTCCTGTTACACATAGCGAAGTTGTTATATCTATATTTGCATTCCTCACATTTATAGTGACATTGGAACGCAAGTACAGATGTTTCATGCTTCTTGGTTGTCCTTCAGAAAAAGAACTTAGAAATTCAATAGAAATTACCAAAAAAGGAATAAATGAATCGGAGAAACAAAACAACAGACCAAAAGAAGAGATACTTAAAAACATGAAGAAATCGAATTTTGGAGAGAACATGACCATGGATGATGTTGAAAAAGCAGTTAAATCAACCCAAATTATAATTGCAAGAATTAAATTTGCAATTTCAGAATTTGAGAGCATTCTCAACTAGTTATTATATATAGATGTATTTGTTGTTATAAAATAAACTTATATTCTCAAAAACTGTTTTATTTGCCCATATTGAAGAATTCATTTTCGCAAATTCTCGATGGAACTCTCTCGAATATGCCATCACATTTCGTATAACAATATAGATAATTCCGAAATGTAATTGGTCAAATGGATTAAGGTAAAACGAGAAAATGGAATTAAAATTTGAAAATGGTCATGTAAAATTAGATCTCTTGAATTCGAGTTATCATGGTAATAAAGGCGATAGCTGCAAAATTAATACATATTTCAAGTATAATTTTCCATGAAAAAATGAAATCGCATATTGAAAAATTTACATTTTACATTTTCAAACTCAGTTTACAAAACCACTATATTGGTCAATTTCCTACTTTTCTTGTAAAGTCTATTCAATTTCTAACGGCGCCTATTTGACTTGAATTATCTATATTCATGAAATAGAATAATATTTTCATGATAAATTTAATTTTCATTAATTTCTCACAAAAATTGAATAATATGGTTTCATTTCAATTTTTGAGGAAGATTCTATATTTTTAAATGCTTCCTTTATTAGTATCGTTTGGTATTTCAGTCTCCAAATTCGTTGTAACGTATGGATACTCCGAACTTACGATATCAGAAGAATCGCAACTCGAACTTGAGAAAGGACTTTATCCTTTTTCAAAGTATTATGCGTTTTTTATCAACAATGAAGACTTTCAAGACTTAAATATGATTTATAGTGCAAATTATACATTATTTAGTCCTACAGTAATTCCAAAAAACGGACCAACAGTTTTAAAATTCATAATTTCAAAATTAAATGTTGATAATATTGATTCACTATCAATTGTATACAATGGAGGAGATGTATCATACAATACTTTCAATTTTACAAAACCAAAACAATATGTTCTTTTCCTCAGTTCAACAGAATTTAATTATCGGTTTGAATATAAAGAAGGCTACTTAAATAGTCAAACTAGTCCATACGAAGATTTTACTGAATCGCACAAATATTACGAGAATGGCCATAAAAGATACCTTTTGATAGAAGTAAAGAAATATTTTGGTGCTCAAACAACAATCGTTAATGTTAGAATGGAAAAAGTGTATCCGGAAATTGAAACAACGGGATTTTATAGGCTAGATTCATGTATACTATCAAACAACGATACATTTCAGTTTTATGAGCCAGACTCTATCTTACTAACTGGACCAGGCAAATATGAATTTTTAATTGGTGAAGAAGAGAAGAATATTCCATATCTCACAAGTGAACAAATATTCCCTCACCAATGTAATGACATACTAATCAAAGTAAGAGATAATTGGATTGAATGGGAAAATATGATAAGTACTTATAATTTAAAGGGAATTAAATCAAAGTCTGGAAAGAAAATAGTAAGGTTTGAAATTTATTTTCTTGGATTTGAAGAAAAACAGTTTGATGTAATTGTAAATCCAAGAGAAAATGAAGTATTTAGAGGTGAGTACAATAATAATGTGCTTAGACATCCAGTGGTTTTGATCACCTCTTGGTATCCAATGAATTTCTCTCAACTATGGAACTATACGTCACTTGATTGTGAACCAGAGAATTATGAGACAAAAAATAAATTAGATATGAAAGCAAAATTCATTGGTGTTACAAAACTATGCATTACAATCAAATATTATAACAAGATTTCTCAATTTGTATTTTGTAATTTCTCAAGAAGCGAAAATTTCGATTATTCAAATTTAGTTAACAAAGTTTTCCATTTAGATAATAACAAAATATTTGTCGATAAATGGGATGGTGAAGTAATACTTTATGAGTACTTCGAATATTCAACAGATAAGGATATATATTTTAATGCAGAGCAATATAAAATTATTATAGTTAAGTCGAAATGGGGATTTCAAAATGCTTGGTTCATTTCCCTAATTACGATGAATTCGTATTTGAAAATGGCTCGTCTCCAGAAAAATTCTATTTACTCGGGTGGGATGATCTAATTATAAAAGTCAAACCAAAATCTGGACAGAAATCTCTTAGGCTAGATTCTAATTATTATTGGCATGATTATTATGACACAGTTATGGTCATTTCTAATGATTTTGATCTTAAATTGAAGTTCCCTAACACAAAAAAGAAAATTCTTATCATTTTTGAATCAATAGTTGAATCAACAATTACATTCTTTGATGAAGACAAAGATGGATTTAATTTCACAGAGGTGACTGGAACTCTTTTCTATTTCAATAATAATCATACAGGCGTTTTTTCATGGAAGAATCTCACAGAATTACCACCAAACACAATCAAGAAAAGCAATAATGGATATAAATCACGCTCAATTTATGAATCTGGAATTGAAATATTGATGGAAGGTGATCTTAAAAAGGTCAGATATGAAAACAAATTATTAGAATATTATGTTATGAACATCGAAAAAACATCTCCATTAGTTTATGCATTTGCCGATAATCTTTATATTCAGAATGTACAGAAAGGGCATTTCTATACATTTAATTCTACACGACCTTGTGATATTGTTATATTTGTAAGAGGGCTTCCTGGCGGTTTTTATAATCCACAATATAGGGTGTCCAAAGGTGTGTTTAGCACAAACCTGAATACTGCGAATAGAAATAAACAAGTTACATATATATAAAGTTTATTTAAATATAATCACCATTGGATTCAATCACGCGTTCGCAGCGATCGATCCAGGCTTGAAAGACACGCTTTAAATCATCATGAGAAAATTGCTCAAATTGCTCTCTTACAAAATTTTCAAGATCATCTGGACTCGCGAATTCGCGTCCTTCAGCTCTCTTTTTTAGCGTGCCGAATAAATAAAAGTCAGAGGGTGCAATATCAGGTGAATAAATTGGGTTTGGAACAACTTTGACATTGTTTTCCACCAAGTAATTCATTACCTTATGACTTTTGTGAACTCTTGAATTATCAAAATGAATTGCAAACTTTTGTTTTTGTTGTTTGGATTTCTCAAACTCATCAGAATTGATAATTTGAGTAAGAACATTGTCAATTAGATACTGAGCATTCATCGTATTAGGTTTTTGAAGAATATCAATTGCGATGATGCCGTTCACGCCCCAAAAAACCGACAACATCATCATTGGTGTGTCAATTTTTTTCTTCGGGAATGTTTGCGGATTTTCATCCTTCGGGATCCACATGATTTTGGCTTCTGTTGCATATTGAAACCAAGACTCGTCCCCTGTTACTAAAAAGCGAAACTTCTTGGATTGATATGCACCCAATATAGAGAGGAGCTCTTTCGAAGATTGGACTCTAGATTTTTTTTGAACTGAATTAAGGTTGTGCGGAACCCAACGTGTATACGCTAGTTTGTAGTTCAAATAATTGTGCAGATAATAACTGACTGTTGTACGTGGTATCTTTGTCATCTCCTCTATCCTTCTGAGTGATGCTCTTGGGTCTTCATCTAGCGCTTGAAGAATTGCTTTGATTTTTCTTTGATCCGGCGATTTTTTGTCAATTTTTATGATGGGCGCCTTTTTGTTCATGAAGTGATACATCCTAACATGATACGTTACAGTGGAATAGCTAGGAGCATCCATACCGAAGCATTTTACCAATGTCTCGTAGATTTTTTTACAGTCTTTGCATTTTTTTGCAAGAGCGAGGATGTTTTCTTTATGATTCATTAAAAAAATGAAAAAAATCCCGCCAAAATTTCCCGCGAAACCGCCTCTTGTCTCAAAATTCATTTTATATCCCGGCATGGCGCCAAAATACAACATACTCATCATATACATATATTCATATTTTTTATTATATATTTATAATCAGCATATATCTCCTTTAATAGTCTCATATAGAGCGCTGTGCTAAACGCACCTTTGGACACCCTATATTATAAAGCAGATATTAATTATCTAAGGTCCATTTATCCAGGATATTATATAACAAGTGATTATCATAACATTTCACTTATTTACTCATATTATACATTCTCAACAACGGTTAAACATAACGTGAGCGAGATCAAATTAAGACTTCAAACAAATAATGGTCAAGAACAAAATATCGTCGTTGGAGAAAACGAAACGTATTCCATACAAAGTATTAATCTCATGATCATCCACCATCCGAATGCATATGTTGAATTCTCTCAAATCATTTTTGATGATCCAAATGTTAATTATCAAGAAAAATATAGCCAAGCAGCCTTTAGCAATGGAGCATGGATTGCTATCCCTGTGAGAACACCTCAACCAACAACAATTGTTCCAGCCCGGACGTCTGAAGCATCATCCAGCAAATCAAATTCATCACCATCAGGAGATGAAAACGATAATGAAGAAGAGCCAGATAAATCTAAGTCAACTTCAGGTAAACTTGGAACAGGAGCCATTGTTGGTATAGTGATAGGAATTTTAATTGCTGCAGTACTTGTTGCTGTCGCAGTCATTTTCATCCTTAAGTCTCGTCCTAAAAGAACTGATACAAGTGATATGGATATTCAGTTTGCAAACATTGTATAATCCAAAAACACATTATTAGTTTCAAAACTCAAAATAGTTAAAACAAATTTATTGAAAGAGTTTTATATATATATATATATTGCTTCAAATAGATTATCTTTTCATAGATGTATTAATGCATTGTTTTGAATTAAATGAAATCAATTTCAAACATAATAATATAAATTTGAAGAAACTCAGTATTAATAGTGTAATACTGAAATTTAAAAATGTTCACCATAATAGTATATTTTGTGAGAATATTTCCTTTGAATGTATAATTGATAATCACATTACGAATTAATCGATATTCACGCCCCTTTTATCAGGTATTTTCCCAAATAACGAAATGTTCGTCATAGATACAATGTGTTTTCCTTGAATTGTAATATTATCGTATAAATTGAACCGATAATTGTAACAGAGTTTTGTAAAGTTAGGAAAAATTTAATGAGTGAAGGATTGACTCAGAATTTTGAATACATTGCGGCTCTTATTAAAGATTACATTAGTGAAAATAACTTTTTACGGTTTTCGAAGTAGAAGAAATCCAAAAAATCTTGAAATTTGCAAATTTAACATCAAATGATTTCGTTTCTCTTCTAAAGCAATCAAAATCTACAGTTAAAGCAAACAAATTATATGTTTGTACTCGAAGTGCAAATGTTACCGTACAAAATTATGAAGAAGTAATCAAAATTCTGAAATCAGTTAAGAAACACCTTAAACTTAAATTTCTTGATGGAGTTATTGATTATTTAAAGCAATCTGAAAAGAGAGAATCTGATTATATGGAGAAAATCCAAGCTCTTCAAAAAGAGTTAAATTCCTTTCAAAATCAAATTGAAAAATGCGAAAAAGGATCAGAATTATCAAATGATCCGAAAATTCCACAAAAAATTGCAGAACTCAAGAAATCAAATAATTTTGATCATATAAGCAACTACTTTAATGAACTAGCATACCAAGGAAATAAGGAAATGATATCAATTGCGTGTAATGAAGGACTTTGGAAAAAGACATTTCAAAGATCTGATATTGATGAAGTAGAGAACGTTCTTCATGTTGCATGTGATAAAGGTAATCTCCAGCTTGTTAAATATATGATTGAATGTGGATGCGATAAAGAAGTAAGAGGAACTATGAATGGAGACACTCCACTCATTCGTGCAGCACGAAATGGTCATCTTGAAATTGTTAAATATCTTGTCTCTGTTGGGGCCAATATAGAAACAATGAATAATGAAGGAAATACTCCACTCGCAGTTGCATCGTCACTTGGAAATGTTCAAGTTACCAAATATCTTTGTTCTCTTGGAGCTGATAAAGAAGTAAAGAATGAATTTAGTCAGACTCCCCTCATTTTGGCGGCAATGAATGGGCATGCAGATGTTGTTCAAGATTTTATCACTAATGGAGCGAAAACAGATGTGAAAGATAAAAATGTATATACCCCACTCATTTTGGCAATAATAAATGATCATCTTGACGTTGTGAAATGCTTCATTCACCCTCCAATAAATAAAAAATTAAAGAATAAAGATGCAGAAACTTCACTCATGATTGCATCAGAAAAGGGTCGCCTTGAAATTATGAAGTATCTTATCTCTATTGGAGTTAATAAAGAATCAAAGGATAATGATAAAAACACTCCAATCATTTTGGCATCGCAAAATGGTCATTTGGAAATTTTTAAATATCTTATCTCTATTAAAGCTAATAAAGAAGCAGAGAATAAACTTGGATATACACCGCTCATTTGCGCATCACAAAATGGTCATTTGGAAGTTGTGAGATATCTTATCTCTATTCATGTCAAAAAAGATGCAAAGGATCATAATGGGTGGACTGCACTTATATGGGCATCAAATAATGATCATTATTCAATTGTTCGGGAACTTTGTGAGAGTGGAGCATATATAGATGCAAATTTGTCTCATAAGCAGACTGCATTATCTGTTTCCAAAAATGAAGTTAGAAAATATCTAATTTCTCGTGGAGCCAAATAATATTTTGTAAGTGGTTGACTATTTTTCATGCTTTGAATAAAAAAGGAGTTATTTAATGTATTTCATTTTCAAAACAATAAAATATGTCTAAAAACATTAATAAGTCTTTCTAAAATGGATGCTACACAATATTTAAAGTGGAGAATCACACGGAATTTAATTTAGAAAAAAAGTGTCTGTACCTTTACAATTTGAGAGAGGGTCAAAGTTGCTATTTGTCACTTTTCCACAAGAATATAATGGGGAAAAAGTTATCATATAGTTGATCTCATTCACTGAGGTGAGAGATGCATGTAGTGTAATGTGATAAACAGTGGGATTGCTACTCTAAGTCCTAGGTTCGAGACACATTAGCTTCATTTTTCTCTTTTTTATTGACGTAAACTATTCAATTTTTGTGTTCTCCATTCAAATTTCAGAATTTTTTTTGCAGATTTCACGCTACATTCGAAGTTACCTTTTGTAACAACCACCACTGCCTACGAAAGACGAAAGTGTGTCACGATTTCACCCGGAAATCCGACGGTTGTTTAAGAGTAAGCACTTTTGGCACCTACTCTTTACAATTTTATCAAACTTGTGAAAGCATCTTTGTTTAAATAATATTATAGAATTTATCTAAAATATTGGCTAGACTCTAAGTGATATTCCAATTTCATAAGTCATACTTTTATATGTTTGCTTTTTTTTGGATCCGAACTTTATCTGGAACAGATTCTGTCATGCACTGTGATAGAAATTTCTCTATTAGTGGTGCTGGCACTATTAAAAGGCCATTTGCTGCCCTTCCTTTGCCTGGCTACACTTATAAATTTGCAGGAGAGCAAAAAAATTACTATACAGTATTTGAAACACGTTCTATATTGAATTTTTCTAATGTTGTTGGCGAAATTAACTATAATTTGCATCTAGATAGACAACCGATTAATATTACATCCGAAGATATAGCTTTTTATAACAAATTACGTGAAGAGCAAGCGTTCTTTGACTTCTATGTAGACGGAAAGAAGACATCTGTTCAGTTATTCCAATCAAAACCACATTCAAATCAAATGTTCTATCAATTTGCAGTAAATATCTACGAAAACCCATACAAATGCTACAACTATAACTTCCAAGTTGTTCCAACTAAAGCAGATCTAATTGATTCAATGGCTACACGAAATATCAGTTTCTTTTTCAATTTCTTACCTTTAATTCCTCCAATACAGTCCAAGCAACTCTCATTCGACATCAAATACTTAATAATCGGAATTTCGATTACAATAATTTTGATAATTACAATGATTGTCCAGACATTAATGCTCAGACACAACAGTTCTATACCTCACAAAGAGATCTGGAGGCTTTCCAAGAACATGAATCGTACAATTATTTCAGTAATTTTAGGATTGTACATAATTCTATGGTATGTGTTTGCTTGCATCGGCCGAAACTACAAGAAATCAATTTCCGACTTCTTCTTACAGACATTCATCATTACTTTTATTATTCCTGTTTTTCTTGGTGGAATATTATCACTTTTTATCGGCGTAGACATCTCTATCCTTCATCTGTACCTTACTGTTATCTTTGGTATCCTTGTTCCTTTCTTACTTACTACAATTTTCGCAGGAGGAAACCGCGGATTACCATTATTCCAAAATTTTGTATGGTTTATTGTTATTTCCTTCAGTTGTTTCCTTGTTTGCAACAACACATTCATCACTAGTCTTGTTGTTAGGCTCAAATACACAGCAGATACAGAAAGAGGCGAAATTAAAGAAAAACAAGCACCAACACCAAGTTGGAAATACGCTCTCGACGCAGGATACATTGCAGCAATATCATATGCAGCATTTCCATGCATCAAATACCTCGTGGATGCTTCAATTGTCACTCAAGAGATAAATCCAATCATGATATTCGCTTGTATTTTGTCTGTTTGCGGAGTTTCTGGTTTATTTGGAATATTTACGTCATCATTATATATAAGGCGCCATAATTTGCCATGGATGGGTTCTGTTTTCGGAAGAGGTGTCGCTGCTGCTGTTTTTGTTTCAGTTATTTGTTTGCTTTATTCTATTCCTCAAGTTTCTGGAACTTCTTCCTATCTTTATTTCACTTTTGGTGCTTATTTCGCAGGGTTGTGTGTTTTTGCTGTTGGAAACTTCGCTTCTTTCATAGCTTCAACTGTTGTGTTGGAAATTGCTTTCACTCAACAAAAAATTGTTTAATTATCATAAAGAATTACTTTTTTATTATTTTTTTCATGAGTTTTTATATTTATTTTGATCATGTAGTAAAAATATACATGTTCATGCAAACAATTCTGCTTTGCTTTTTGATATTCAAATTCCTTAAACTAAGTGTTTTGAGCTTGAATGTGTTCGAAACCATTAATAAGTTCTGACAATCAAATCCTGTAAATTTCCTGGTATATAGTATAACTTAAATATTCAAGCTTAAATAACAGAAGATTGAAAAGAATTCGAAAATCAAAAAACCCCAAAGGCAAAACAGGATTTAAATCTCAGGCAATCTAATGATATTGATATGATGCTAACTATATTTCCGCATGGTTACACTAAAATTCTTTAGTTATGGTATCCATTTAACTCAAAATACATGATTATCCAACAAACATGAAATATATTTTATATAACATTCTTATTTTTTGATCAAACATGAAAATTGCAATCAAAGAAGCAAATCATTCATGAAATAAAGATAATATTCATGATTGTCGTTTCTACAAAATAATGAATGTTCAAAAAAGGAATGATTTGAAAACAATATATAGTTAATATTATTCATTAGAAACGGCACCATGTGAAAGAAGAAAATCTGCGATTTCATTGTGATTTTCTGTTTTTACCCAATAAAGAGGTGTTCGCCCATCATTGTCTTTCACATTGACATCTGCGCCATGAAAAACAAGGAATTTTACCATTTCGAAAGAATTTTTCAATGCAGCAGTATGAAGAGCAGTCTGGACGCCAAGGAATCAAGTATTGACATCAATACCATAAGAAACAAAAAGCTCTGCCAATTCTTTATTTTTATTTTGCACTGCATAAACAAGTGGTGTTTCTCCTCCAAAATCAACTGCTTTGACATCTGCATTATTAGCAATGAGATACTCAATGTTTTTTTGTTGCAATTGTTTTGAGTATCCATCAGAAGAGCAGTTGTTCGGAACATATATCCTGCATTAACATCAGCACCGTGCAAAATAAGATACTTACAAAGAGATATTATGTTGAATGCAGGAGAATAAATAAAGCAACCATTGATATCATTCGTAATATCCAAATAAGCAAACAATGCTTGAAGATTGTGGGGATGTACACAATCAATTAAAATGATCTCAATGTCATATTCGTTTCTTAAAAATGAAACAAAATCAATGTTATGACAGTTAATGACTGTTGTCATGCAAGATTTATCTGGCTTTTGATATTTAAGACATTCATTAACGATATCTGGAACTCCACTTATAAATGAATATATGAGACATTTTTTGTTGATTTGGGGACTGAATTTTGATGTTAATAACTTGAAACATTTAATTGCACCAAGGAAACAACAAAGTTCAAGCAATGCGCATCCAATTTGATCAAAAAGATAAAAATCACGCTTGAATATTTGATCTTTATCAAATTCCTTTGTTCCGTGAAAAATATAAACGAATTTAAATCATCTATTATTGCTCTGGCCAACGTGTTTTTCTAATGAATATATAATGAAAATGCATGGATTCATAGTCTTTGAATGATTCTTTGTTTTGCTCAAAATAAACAGATCCATATTCCTTGTAAATAAAGTAATCAAAAACTGATGAGATGTATCGGAACGATATTGTTCATTTAAAACTACAATAAACAATTACTTATCTCATTATAATAACTTTTTTTTCATTTCATTTTAATGGAGGTAACCCGGCCATTTATCTCCTTTCAAATTTTTCTATTATGGAAGGAAAGAAATCAATAACAAGAGCGTCGAAGTTGAGAAAACTTGAGAGGAAACAAATGCATCATAGTATTAAGGCTGCACTTACGCCCATCTGACTTTAATTCAAAATTTTGACAGTTGGCGTGCAGCCTCATTGAAAATTCATAGGGGCGTAAGTGCACCCTTAATATAAATTGCGAATTTTCAGATGTTAATTCAAATTAGTCTTGCAGCTTCAATTCTCAAAGCCAAGACAACATTTAGCAAAATTGATTCATAATTTTGCATCAATTTTGAATGTTTTATTTTAATGAATATGTTAATTCTAAGATTGTAAATGAGTTTTTTTACAAATTCTTGCATCATATATTGATTATTTATAAATAAGAAGTCATGAGGAATACTCATGGTGCTGAATGGTGGCAGTATTCTTTAATTTAGTGTGATAAAAATAGACTATTTTTATATTTTTACTAATTCACCTTTGAAATCAAAAATATTAATCATTAAATAATCACCATTGTGTAAATTCTTTCCTGTTTGAGTTAATTTGAAAGATACAAAATATTCGTTTGTTTGAAGTGGAAATTCTTTGATTTCTTTTTGTTTAAATTCATAATATTTATCATTATCTAATACAACAGTTGTTCCATCTTCTTTGATTCCTTCTAACTTCCATCTCCTCAATAAAGAACTATCATACGTAATTCTAGATTGTAACATATAAGATGTTGGTTTTAATTTATATCCTTTTAGATTAGCTTTTATCCATGAATTAGTATCATTATTAGTATAGAAATCAACATCATTTCTATAAGAATTTATATCTGATAAACTTCTTCCATTTACAACAGATGAAGCTGTAAATTCCATTTTAATTTCTTTAGAAATTTCTTCATAATGAGACTCATAAGCACAAATAGAGTTATTTGAGATTTCAATTTTTTCTCGAAGATTTGAATGATAATTCTTTAATGTTTCGTTATATATAGAAAGAAGAACTCTTTCGAATGAATGTTCAATACAAAAATTATAAATTATGTCATAAGTTTCTCGTGAACAAAATGAAAGTTTGATGTATCTAAATAAGTCAAACAATGTATCATTCTGTTTGCAAATTGATAAAAGTAAAAGAGATAAATGATCTTCGTTGTCGATCTTTAATTCGTCTGAGGTAATGATTTTTTCACAAAATTCATAGCCATTTTTTGCGAAATGTTCAATGATATCTCTATCATCTAAACAATACAAATGTGATGAAATGAATCTAATGCATTCGTTTTCTGTTATAATATCATTTTCAAAAACTGAAATTTCATACTTTTGAAAAACGTTTTCTTTTGTAATAGATTTATCTAATTTAACATGTTTTGTATATATTTTTATGAATAATTGATTTCCAAAATGTTTTCCAATTTCAAATATATCATGATAATGTGATTCATCTTCTTCAAAGTCAAGTTTTCCTGTTTCAAGAAACTCTGAAAGTATGTCAATTGAATCTTCACATTTAAGATCTAGATTTGTTTGATATGATGACATCGATTTATTAAGAACGCATTTTTCTTGGATTAAATCTGAAAAACAAACTGCAGAAGACTTCTTTGTTTTGATTATTCGACTATTAATATTGATATTAAATCGTCCACACTCTGTCAGAATGCCAATACGCTTTAATTCTTTGCATGATTTCGTTATTTGAACCATGAAAAAAAAACTATAAAAAATCCAACAATTCTGAGAATTAACAAAGAATTTAAAAATATATTTAAGGTGGCCGTTTCTGGTTGATAAACCCAAAATCTGGGAAAAGCCAGTGGGAAAAAAATAATCTTGTAAAAAAATCGGGCGTGTCGCCGCCTCCGGCCATGAACATCACAAAGTTAATGTCGCCATTTATGAAATATGCCCTATATTATTTTTCCTTTTTCTTTCCTTTCCTCCTTTTTCCTTTTATTTTCTCCTTCTCTTTCTGTTTTTTTCTTTATTCATTGATTTCCTCTTGGTATTTCGAAATTTTATTCAAATAATTTAATAACTTTATAAACCAATTAGTTTAATAATTTATACATTATCTACCAATTTTACACTTCAAATATTACAGTTTTTTAAAGTGGATCAAATTTCATTTTATTAAGATATTAAAGTTTTGGAATCAGTATTATTTTGAAAAAGCACCTAAGTTATTTAATTAAAATGGTATTATTCAAATATTGAAATTTAAATATAATTTTATTTGCTCAATTTTTTAAATCTGTAAGTACAGTTTTGTTTGAAGTAACAAAAAAATGATATATGCAGTTAGCAAAGTAAATTTACTAATAATAAAAATAGTTTGCTCTAATTCAATTAATTTAAACCTTTGGTAATGATAGAACATGCATAATATTTAAAATATGGATGAAATTCTTTGTATAAAGGTAAGTTGATGAGTTTTTTTCGAATCTGGGTTTAAAATATCTGAAGGTAAACAATTGATCTTAAGTGTTTATGCTATATACCAAGAATTACATTAGATTCATTGTTGACTATTTGTTCAAATCTTTCCCATTCAATCACAGGATACTGAATCTGATGGAAAATCATTATTACTGTGAAATTCGCATTGATATCATATGATGATCCATTGCCCGAGAAGTTCGGTGTATCCCAAGTATATGAGGAACACGTATGTTTTTCCCCAGATTTTGGATAAGGTATGGTGAAAATTGAGAACTTTTGTAAAGAAATTGAGAGATTTTGTAAAAAAATTGAGAGGAAAATCTGGTGAAAGAATCACAGATGTGGTGATACCAGAAGGTATGGGAATTGGATGAATACAGGATAGTATGTTCCTATATGAATAGTAGAAACATAATCCATTATCAAATCATCTGGGAAACAACTTTTTCTTCACCAAAAATATTTTGAAAATGAAAAAATGAAAAAAAATTTATTACCATAAAAACCAGATTTTATTACCTCGGGGAACGTTTCCCAGCACTTTTCCACCAGAATCGGCCACCTTAATATATTTAAATGATATAAGGTTTCAATTCAAATGCAAATCAGATTAAAAAAAAATCAGATTTAGGTCATCAAAAAAAAAGGAAATTCGAAATGTTATTGATTAAAATGAAATGATAAAGCATGTAAAGCCCGAGAAGAACATTTGAACTTAATATAAAAGTTATAATTTAAATATACATCTAAATTTATTAAAAATAAAAACTCTATTAAAAAAAATCTATATATAAAATAAAATTCAAATTTCTTGATCCAAGAAAGATTTGATATTTTCTTTGTCTTCATCATCACAACTATCAAAGATTAATTTGTTATTCACTGCATTCTGTGATAACATTTTAAGGAATTTGTTGTCATTTTCATTCCTTTTTGTTGTCTTAAATGCAAGTTTTATCAAATTAGACAAATGGGGTGTTGAAAATGATTCATCAACAACGGAATAAATCCATCCAAGTAATCCATCAACTCTTCCAATTGCTACAACTTTTGTAAGTATATCAATTATCTGTTTCCTTGTGTTCATATCACTCAAAGTACTTGAATACAAATCCATCAATCTCTCGAGCGCGTTGTTCTTCAAAAGCATCGGGAAATCTTGTTCTTCTTTAATTCCTGACATAAGAACTTTCAAGACATAGTTTCTTTCATTCCTGTAGTTAACGTTTGGCTTCGAAAAAACATTCTCGAAAAGAGGAATTTGGTTGTATCTGAATGCAGGAGTATCACAGATATATTTAACAACTCTCATGTACAAATTATGTCCTGGTTTCATCAAAACAGAACTGAAATGAGCGAAGAAATGTGTCGCCAAATGACAGAACCTCTGATTCTCTTCGACCAATGAGTTGATCAAACTTTCTAAGAAACTTCTGACAGTAGACTGCTTCGACCAATTTTGTTCTGAATTCAAATGATACAACAAACTTAATGTTTCGTAACTTAACTCTCTAATATAAACTTCGTTTGAAGAAAGACCTCTTAAACAAATAGAAATAGCACCGCATTCCATGAAATGTTCAACATTAACAATCTTTTCTTCCAAAATATAATTTGCGAAGTAAATTAAAAATCTAAATCTCGGAGTATCCAAATTAATTTGATGACTCATGTGGAAAGGCTGTAAATATGATACATTCCGACTTAAATTGTTTGTCAATATTGTTTGACCGTTTTCTATTTGTTGGATAACTGTTTTGGCGGTTTCGCCCGTAACAAACATAAATTTATCAGGAGAAATGTTTTGTACTTCAACTAACGAATAAAAAGTGTCATCTTCACTAAGAAAAACTGACAAATATAATATGACACGTAAACTTACATTAACATCAGCTCCATTTAAGATGTTACAGACACCTTTTAGTTCGTTTTCGTTGAAAGAAAGCAAGATTTCTGGATTGAGGAGTTTCTCAGCAGCAGAAGTGTATAAATCAATGACTTCTGTTGGAATTTTAGTTACAGAATCAGGATGTTTTGTTATAAATGATAATAATGCGTGATAAAATGTTTTTTCAATTGTTTTATTGTAATCTTCCATGAAAATCTTCAAAACAATTGATGTCTTTTCGTGTCTCATTCTTTTAATCTCTTCTTTAAATAATTGTTCAGAGATTTTTCTGATCAAAAACTCAGTGCTCCACTCGTATCTCGATTTCTCAAATGTTTCAACTAAATTTGGAATCTGTAATCCTCTGACATAAATAACAGGTAAAGAATCAGCTGGCAAACTTATGTCTTCGTAGAAATGAGCAATCAATCCAAGAAGTTTGTCATCAGATGTGTCTCTGATCTTAAGTTTTGATAAAATGTCAGTTTTGTTTGTCAAATAAACCGTTCTCAAAATATCTTTCATTAAATCTTCATCTTTGATGAGATGTAGATATTTCTTTGGTGAAAGATTGAGGAGATCAATGTCAACAGCTTGGAAATCTTCAAATATCCATTTCCAGAATCCATCAAATTTTGAGAGATCACATTGAATATTTTGAGAGGCTATAATTGGTCGGATTGGTAACTTAGATTTAAGTAACTTTCCGATTAAATTTCCTGTGAACTTTTTATCAACGAAAGGAGCGATTCTCTTCACATTCTCTTGGCTAGATGTTCCTTCAAGGAATTTTATTGTCAAATCATCATCAATTTTGCCATTAATTTCGATGGCAAGTCCAAATAATTTGTCTAAATCATCATTGCCACAAAAAACTTTTTCTCGTAATGGTGACTCAAAAAGTGACATAACCGTCAACTGAGGACACAAAATAACAAAAACTGACAAAATAGAACATAAAACATTATCTGGTTCGAAACGAGTCAAATTAACAAAGCATTCTGGAATGGAATACCATTTGAATGTTTCTAACAATGTTAAAATGTTATCGTTTGGCGGTTTGACACTTATCGTCTTTCTTTCTGAGACCAAACTTTTGATATCATCGAAGTTATGGACTTTCTGGATGATTGGAAGGCAGTTTTCAATTTGAGAACCAACCGCGCCGTTACACAAAAGTGACGCATTTCCACCGTCAGCGAATTGATGAGGTTTTGAGGCCACGAGGTTGATTTTGTCCTGGAGTTCTTTGACAATTTTGTTTTTGAGGGAGAAAGAAACCCAGATTTTTGCTTCCGATTCGTTATTGTCCAAAACTCCTGAGTTAGTGACAATCTTGATCATCTGGTTGAGTGCTTCTTTGCGGATATCAATCAGAACACTGTCATTTAACACAATTTCGGATAAAAGTGTCAAATTTGATACGGGTTTTTGCAAAAGTGATGAAACTTTGATTAATTGGAGCTGTATCAAAGGAGATTGAGACATTATACTCTTGAGGAGCTTGGGGAGTCTCGATTGGTTGTCTTGCAAGTAGAAAGGAATGGCGTTGTCGATCTCAAACAAAAGTTTTATGGTTAATGATTTAATTAAGTCACTTTTTGAGTTAAAAAGTATGTCTAGAGGGGGTAACCTTGATGACAATTTGTTGTAGCTTGTACTTGTCTTAAGGAAAAATGGTAATTGTTTGAATTTTCTAACGGATGAAATTAATAATACTAAATAAGCTTTTGTAACAAGGATATTCTTGTTGCTCACGAATATGGAGTTGAGCTTATTGGTGTCTATGAACTCAGGAAGGATTGATTCGAATAATAAATTGATGGATCTACCTTCTTCAATGAATTTCTCATCTTTGTAAAGGAAATCGGGCCATGGTAAGGACACAACGGATGTGACAAAGTGAATGGCCGCTAAATTGGCCAAAGTAAGCTCATCTGAGATTGTTCTTGTAATTCTGGAGAAATAATGTGAAATAAGGTCAGGAGATTGTTTGAATATCATACAAGCAACTTCTCTGTGACCATCGCGCTTGAATGGTTCGAGTTTGCGAATGAATTCGAGGAAATTTAAATTCTTTGGTGGAGGATCGATATCTGGAATGGAAATACAGTATGTTCGAGATGGATCTTCAAGAAGAATTGATGTTGGACCTGTAACAAGCTTTTCGAGCAAATCAAAAACTAAAGATTTTGGATCTGAATTATCTGCTGTTTTTTGTAATGGAAATTGTGCAAAATTGACAAGTGTCTTCTCAGAAAATACCCAGCAACGCGTTGATAAGTTAGTTTGTTCAAGATTTTTCATTAATGCTGTTAAAAATGCGCGTAATGTCTCTGATTCATCTTGTGATAGGTTCTTCCAGATAGATGATAAGTAAAATTTGGATCCCATGAATGATGGCGAGATTTCTGGATTTTCAAGGAATAATGTGGCCAATTGAACGTATTCTTTGCGAGCACCTGACTCTGGCTTGCTCTGTAACTTGAATATGTGGTTAGAGAAGTCCAATGATCTGAAAATTTCACGACAATGAGTGTGATGAACTTTTGCAGCGTTAATAAGCACTGAAAGAGCCAATTTTGCTTGTTTTCTTCCCATGTATGATATTAAATCGTTGATGTAACGACGTATTATAGAGTCTGCGAGGTAATGAAGCTGTCCAAAATATAAATCACTGCTTTTTGAAAGTTCTTCGAAGAGAACGATGATTATTTGAAATAATGGAACAGATGTTTCCGTTTTTCCTGCACCTGCTGTTAAAATACTGAATATTTCTACAAATTTTGGTGATTGCTCAGCGAACATCTTCGCAATTTCAGGTGTATTTGATAAAATTTGATAGGCCTCAGTAACAGATTCCCCTGTGTCCTGGTGGAGTTTGCCAATAAACTGCAAGAAGCTGTCTCTCGTTGAGGTCATATCAAATTTTTGCAAAAATCTTGGCGTCACTTTTCAAAACACATTTTGTCTTTTTTTGTAACTCATGAAATTAAGCTATTTGATTGTCTATTTTCTACATACAAGCAAAATATAAGCCATAGAAATAGTGGCAGAAATAGTTACGCTACATATCTATTTAAAAGAATATGAAGTTTCATATCAACTAAATGATTTATAGGTAACTCATTTTTTATGCTACAATTCAGATACAAGCTAGCATAAATTTAAACCCCTAATGTTTGCAATAATTAGTGTAATAGATTCAATGAATTTTGCAATATATTTGTCACAAATTTGCAATTACTTGTATTTATTACTCGTATATTTGAATTTCATAAAGGTGATACTCTATGATGTGAAAATATTGTGTAATGAAAAAAGAAAATTTAAATCATTATAATATCAGAGTTTATATAGTCTATGGAAAAAATGGGCCTTCTCTGAATATAATATCCAGGGTGGTTCTGATGTAATAGGGTCCATATTTTTCAATTCTCGGATTAAGTCGTAAACATTAACAGTCCACCCGAATTTTTTGGAAATGAAGCGTGTACAAGCTGCATTTTGCTTCGAATGAGTATTAATTTTCTTCTTTTGTCCTGGATAATAGTAGCCTGCATCTAAAAGTCCGTCAACAAAGCCTATACTGATGTTGGTAGTGCTTACTAGAGCAGCTACATTGTAAATACACAGATTTGTATGCATGCCAAGCATGATGATGTTTTGAAATTTCAAATAGCGCACTTCTGCTGCTACATTTTTAAAATTTTGTGCAACATAATCATACTTTGATAGAGATAAATCGTAATGTGGACGAGTGATGCGTGTGGTTCCAAATCTGGTGAAATTCGGATAGATACAACTATCAATAAATCCAGGTATATAGTTTGAGACTTCGGCATTATTATCGGGATAAGTATTTTGGATTGATTCTGTCATCCCTTTCGAAGCTAAATCTCTTCCTTGCTTGCGTAGTTTAGAATCTTGATTTGACTCGTCGCCTTTCCAATTTAAGTGGAGAATTTTAAACCCTCGCGATCTAACTATGTGTTCGAACTCGTTAATCCTTGGAACTAAGAAAAAAGCTCTATCATTATAATAAGGACACCAATGAGAGCGCCATGCATCAACATAAAAGATTGTATCATTAGGTGGTATTTGTATTTGATAATGTTTTGTGCTATTTTCAGAAAATCTCGTTACATTTAAAGAAAGAGTTCTAAAAGAACTGATTTTCTTTTGTTTAATAAAAGATAATAGTAGCATCATCTCAAACACGGTGCATACTAATATAAAAAGCAATATTTTTATAGGCTTGGTCCTGAAAATTGCAAACTTATCCTCAAGTTTTATTTTTCTGTCACATTTTTCAATAAATGGATTTTCGAGAATTTCTAGGCAATATACAGACAGATATGCTTTGCAAAACAATTCCACGTGTGAGTGCCAAAACAGTAGCTGTAATCATTGCGGGTGGTGGATTAAAGCATGTTGAAAATTATGTTGATGATTTATCCATTTTTGCAGCAGCTTCGGCAACAAATGTTTTAGTATCGAACATCGCACAATATACTCTGTGCAATGCATACAAGAAAAATTTAAATTTTGGAACGAAACTTAAAATTACGTTTGCTTCGAGTGCTTTTGCTACATTAATCACTAACATCAGCTTTCGTCATACTAAAGATATTAAATCACTAGTGATTTCGCCCATTATTGAAGGTCTTTCTACCTCACTATTATATACTTTCTTCCACCATGAGGAAGCTAGCAGATATTTCAGAGCTTATTATCCAGAAATTCATTATCACGTTAAAAATACTCTTGAAGCAACCAACCTTGATAAACCAATCCAATGGTTCTTCAGCAACATCGATCAATCATGATATTAAGCACAAATCTTCATGTGATAATTGTATTTATTATAAATTTAATTGTTAATGAATTATACTTATTATTAAATAAAAAGTTTGATATTTGTTTTAATCTCATTGTTTCAAGTTGATTTTCAAAATCCTTATAATTGTTGATTGAAAGTAGACCATGAATCCATTAAATTAAACCTCTTTCGTTGATAAAATAGTTGTCATAGCAAAATTTGTTTGGAAAATTAATCTTTTTTAATATTATTATCATTAAATCATGGAATATCTTTCATGATACAATGCCAAAAATTAGACAACGTATAGATATATGAAATTATAAATATAAAAATGCGAATTATTCCAATAAATAACCAAAAAAATTATTCACATTTTATTGTATGTAAAAAACCATCCAAAAAAATATATGTATTGTAAAAAGTCGCAGAAAGATTTTAAAAAGTTAAACCGTCAAATAAAGAAAATTAGACATGCGTTACTATATATGCACATTCCGATTTTAACTCTAAATTTGTGGAGTCGTAAAATTCTATATTTTATCAATTAAAAATTCGGTGAAAAAAGTGAATAAAATGATTTAGTATTGGCATAGAGCATATACGACTCTTACTCAAAATTTGTTGTCTAAATTTTTGAAAGTATTTCAAATTTTCCAATGTTCTTTCTATTGCATAGCATAGCCAGATGTGCATATTTTTACAATGGTAATAACACGGTTTCTGTGTATACTACTACTAACAAAGAATATACTTTAGAATTCAATCATATTTACTTTTTAGACGAAAAACCTTATGCAGATGTTACAGTTCAATGTGGCTCAGATTCTCAGACCTTTTACTCAGGCTCATATTCTCCTGGGGCTATGCATATCAGAACTTCTGGCTGCACGATGACCATTGAGGGAGGGTCATATAGCGAAACTATCGTTGTTACAGATATAAAAAATTCGTACAGTGACTGTGAAAGTCCTGCCGTTATCATGGGAGATTATTCTGCTAGCGGAAGTAGCTGGGATTGTGTTTATACTTCAGCTAAAAAGATTTATACAGATTCATCTTTCTCCAGAGCTGCTGATGCTGATGGATATGCTGCTTCCAAATCCACGACCTATTCATCAAGCTACAATTATTATTACTATGGTGTTCTTCAATTCAAACCAAGCAGCTCACAGTCTTTCAAGACATCCACGAGTTCAAACACATATACTATTTTCACGAAAAAATCTTCTTATAGATATATAGTTTTTACTGAAAATGGTATTGATTATGGAAGCGGAAGCGGAAGTGGAAGTGGAACTGATGATACTGACACATCTAATGCCACAAAATGCACAACGTGGCCTTGTGTAGAGGAAGATCCATATAAAAAAGTGAAAACATGGATGGGAACTATGGAAGCTTGGAAATACTGGATGTATCTTGGAATTATTGGTCTTGTTATCTTCATTATTGTTGTTCTCGTTCCATTTATTTGGTGCTGCGCTTGCTGTTGCCACTGCTGTTGCTACGCTGTACAACCAACACCAAACAAGGCAGTTGAGCTTCAAGACAACCCAAGCCAATCAAAGACAACAGTTGTCACTGTTCAGCAAGGTCAGCAATACCAGCAAAGCCCTCAGAACTCAGGTTATACACCTGAAATGTACGCTCGCCGACAAGCATTTGAGATGCAACAGACTATGCTTCCTCCAGAGCAAAGAGCACAATACACACCTGAAATGTTCCAAAGATACATCGAATACCAGAGACAACATCCACAAGAATATTAAAATATTTTTGCAATTTCATTTTTTATAAAAATAATCGTATTTTTTGCAATCTTGAATAATATTTAAATCATAACAATATTTTTAAAACAAATAATGATCCAAATAAAATTATATTTCAAAAACGCTTATAATTTCGTCAACTGTAATGCCAGAATCCTGAACAAGTGGGGAGTCTAAGGTAATTTTGCACTCAAATATGTAATCAGAATGTTGCCCATTCAAAGTAAATTCTAGTTTTTGAGTAATCGTAGTCGAATATTGAAGAAGACCTAATCCAACATTTGCTTCTCCTAACAGTATATCTTCAGCGCCGTATACTTTTGGTGGTACTCTAAAAATTTTAAATTTCAATTCACTTGCCTTTAAAAATGAAATGTTTTGTGCGGTTTTATTGCCTAAATTGCAATCATATGAATAGTTATATATGCTATTCTTGGAATGAGTTAAAGGCGTTTTGAAAATTTCTCCGGCTGGAGGAGTAATTACAATATAGCAATTTGGCTCGAGTGCTTTTGAAGAGTATGATTGATCAATACGAACATGCATATGAACTGGTTGGTTATCGGATGAAGGGGGAATCGTTGCTTGTATTTTGAATCTTCTAAGCGAGTCCATGGTTTTAGTTCCACGATTTAACTCTGTAATTGTATTATTAAGAGCATTAATCGCCTTTGTTAAATTATTAGGAATTTCTGGCTGAATTGACGGAGAGCACATATCAAGTGCAGCTTTCAATTTTTTAAGCTTCATTTGGCATTCTAAGATGAACTGATCATGAAGCTGTACGCTATCCTTGAGCATTTTGTTGGCACTTTTATTGCAAGAACACATGTCAGCAATTAAAACCCTGAAATAACAAGCCAAATGCATAAAATCCGATGATTATGATACCAGGCTAGTTGATTCATTGTCAGTTGAGAATTTGAAATTTATTTACCTGATGGTGCCAACTGCAGCCATTTTAGTGTCGCTTTAATGTATGTATTGGTCTTATTCAGTTATTTTTTCTTGATATTGAAATAAAATATTGAAGAAATAAAAATTACGAAAAGATAGGTAATAATTTTACAAATAGACATGTATGTTTTCATTAATATGACATTGATCTAACAAATATAGCAGCATGCAGATCTGTCTTCAATTCCATTGAATGGATCAGCATTTTCTGGGATATTTATCCCTAAAATTAGTTTAGACAGATCTGAAAATGTAAATTCTTTGCTTATATTTGAAGGGATCGATTTTGATAAATCTTCTTTAGTCATAGGTTTTCCAATTACTTGAGAGATTTCGACAGCCTGATCTAGGTTAACTTTTCGAGTACGACGTTGATCAATTCCTCTAAAGCAAATTTTAAGGATGCCTAAGTCGTCATGGTCATGGAGACACGATATTATATTTATGCAATTATTTAATGTTGCTTTTTGATTGCATGCAAGCATTCCGTTAATAATGACGTCCTTTTGTTGATCTGTTAAAGGAATCTTTAAATCTTGAAATAACGAGACTATTTGAGATCTATTAAGCTTATTAACCTTTTCTATATCGAGTAGATTATATGAATTGATTACCTCCACGATCTCTTCATTTGTTAATGGCATTAGTAAATTTGTGTAAAAAAAATAGTGCGATTGTTTTTGAAAGAAATAAGGTTCCAATTGAATGGGTGAAAAATTTTGTAAAAAATATTTTCCAACCGTAAAAAAGGTTATAAAATCTAAATTACTCCGCAAGGATATTGTAATTCTCCCATGTTATGAGTATATTTGAGTTAAAAAAACTTGAAACCTTAAACAGAAACGAGAAAAATAAATCAAAAATTCGATTCATCAATGAACTATTCATATTTCCCTATTTGGCTCTTATCATTCGTGTATGGTCTTAATAAATTGGCCACTAATTATCCATTCAAATTGCTGAAAATACCAAAAATGATCAAGAGAATGTAAAAAAATAAGAAAAATTGAGATGAAAAAGTGAACGTTTAAAAAATGGATGAATTAACTTCCCTTCTGGAAATTGGTGCTCGCGTTGAAGAAGGTGGACAAAAATTTATGGAAGTTGCAGATAAAGTTCGTCGAATGATTTCTCCAAAAGATACATTTCCCGGAATTATTATAAAATTAAATGATAATTACAAAAGGCAGATAGCAACATTACTAAATTCGTTCGCAGCAGTAATTTTTTCGAAGAAAAATGTTTACAAAGCTGAGCATTTTGTTCGAGCAATTGATGCTTTATCTATATCTTCAATCATTCTTGCATGCAGATATATGGAAACAAAAGATAAAAGCGATATTAAAGATTCCCTCGATTGCATTGAAAGTGCTACATCTTATTGTTATGAACTCGCTTCCCAAAATTTACCATATTGTGGTAGCTATGCATTCAATATTGCTTCACTACTTTATCAAAAGAAATTTGTTTCTGAAGGACTGGAATTCTTTAGATATTCAGAGAAAATATTTCGCACAGTAAAAAACAAACAATCTCACGAAAATACTTGCAAATACATCGCTTTTTGCCTTATAGTATTGGACCAAACGAATACTGAAGAGTTTGAAAAAGCAATATCAGGAGCTTCTGATTCGCTCACTCTATTATCAAATTGGATCAATCGTAGACCACCGGAAAATACTCAACTAGTATATAATTATATCAAAAAGTTTAAGAATAGAGATGAAGCGTTAAATGAAGCAATGCCTTATTTCGCATTAGAGGGAGATTTCAGAATTTTATCAAAAGATCCGAATTTTAATGATTTCTTTCCTAACTTTGAGCCGCCACGCACTATATTATATACAAATGAGAAGGAGACAATGAATTTGTTCAAAAAATGTTATGTATGTTATAATTCTGGTCAATTTCTTCTTTGTGCAAAGCAAAGTGAAGCCTTGCTTGAAAAATGGCCGCAAAAGAACAACTCTGCATCAAAATTAGCTGTTTTGTTTATACATGTATGGATTATTAATTCTTTCTTTGCGCTTAATCGACCAGATTGCGTACTTCCGTATATTAAGCAGCTAAATAAGATATTTTCTAACTATCCATGGATTGTTGGCCTCTCTTCTTTCTATTTTCTCAAACATTGCATTTACAGCGGGAATTACAAGCATTACATTGATCCGCCTCCTTTAGCATTCGAAAGTATTGCATCATGGGATCATGTTATTTCGTTCCATTCTGCAATCGAATGCTTGAAAAAAAATGTCGAAGATTGTTTTCAATTTTTCGAAGAAATTCGCGAATGTAGTAATGTTCTTATCAAGAGAGAAGCTTTCCATTATGTTGCTGGAGCTTATAGACTCTTTGGTATTAATCCGTGCATTTCTGATTTTGAAAATGAATGTAAAACTTGCAAAGAAGCAAGAGCTCTTTACATTTACCACAGTTGTATCGATTATATAAACGATGATGATATTGATGCAGCTTGGAATTTCATCAAACCTGTAAATGTCGATGATTCAGTCCTTCAAGCACTTTATGAAGCTGAACAAATAGCATCTGGACACTGTGCTACAATCAGAAAGATTAAATTATTACAAGCAATTTTAATAGGAAACACTGATCCCGAAAGATCTGCAGATTTAATTACGAGAAGTTGCTCAACAACATTAGATAGCTTCATTAGAGTTAAAGAGAAACTCTTCAAGCCTCCATTTCCATTCATGAGCATTGCTTACTTCAATGTTGCTCCTTTGGAACCATCAATTCTTTTTGCTCTTTATACAGTTGGAAGACCATTAGTTGTTCGTATCAAAGTAGGAACGAAGTATGATGATTTCTTGGATGAACTCGAGAGGATCTGCTCGGAATCAACAAATCTTAGTGGTGATATCGATGGAAGAACATGGTGGAAGAAGAAATACGAACTTGATAACAGAATGGAGAAACTTATCAAGTATCTCGAAACAGAAATCATTGGATTTTGGTCATCATTATTCACTCCGATGAAATATATTCCATCACAAAACTGTTTAAGAAGTGTTCTTCTTACTGCATTATCAAAGATGTCGCTTTCAGATCAACAAGAATTTTGCAAATTCTGTAAGAAAGAATTCCATGAAGATTTGAACCTTGAAAGACCACATAGTTCTGTTGCAAAGCCTCTTTCAATAATTTGCGGAAAATACATGCATAATGTTCCTTGGGAAATGTTATCATGTGTAAGAGAGCGCACAACAAAAATCACAAGAATTCCAAGTATCAAAGTCATTGCAAATCAATGTCAAAAAGAAATGCCAATGAAAGTTAATGCTGAAAGTACATTTTTCATCTTAAATCCTGTAGGAGATCTTGAAAAAACAGAAGAGATGTTTAAGCCAATATTTAAAGAATTAAGATGGGAAGGAATTACTCAGAAGATTCCTCCAGAAGATCTGATCCCACAAGCTCTTGCAAAGAAAGAATTATATGTATTCTGTGGGCATGGAAATGGTCAAGAATATTTCAGATACAGCAAATTAGTTGATGATGAAATGACTTGCAAAGCTTCACTTCTTCTGATGGGATGCATGAGTGGAGCTTTAAACGATGAAGGAGAAATGGATCCGACAGGAGCAGCTAATTATTGCATAGCTGCTGGTGCTTCTGCTTTGGTTGGCGCACTTTGGAATGTAACCGATGGTGAAATCGATAGATTTTTAAGTGCAATGCTAGATTTTATCAAAAACGGAAAGATGGACGTAGAAGATGCAGTTATATCTGCAAGAAATTCTTGTAAGCTACCTTATCTCACAGGAAGTGCAGTTGTTGTTTATGGATTTCCAGCTATATTCCTCAAAAGATAGAGATTTTGTTAATATGTAATATTATTCACTTGTTCATGTATAAATTTAATATAAAAAAAATATTATATTGAAATTTTATTCATTTCTCAAATATATTAAATGTAGCAGTATATTTTCATATATGGCTATAAAGGAAAAACGCTACTTAATCTAACGGATCTCACAACTTCAATACTCCAGATATCAATTTCCTTAGAAAAAATGACATCAATATTTGTGCAAATAAAAGGACAATATATTTTGTAACTAGTCTGATTTTGTGGTATTATTTTTTCAAATGTTATATCATAATAAATTTTGGAATCAAAGCGATAAATTAAACGAACATTCACCTCATCTGAAGTTGGTGAATTGATGATGAGGTCTAATGGGATAACATAAGGAATTCTTAATGAACACTTGGATAGTTTGGTGTTATAACATTGGCGATATCCTTTATCAAATATGTATTTCCTTGGAAATAATATATCATTTTTATGCATTTGAGTGTTCATCAAAAATGGTTTGAATAAATTATGCATATTACGGTATTTCTGGTCATTTTTTGCCCAATCAACCTCAAATATTTTCAAAAATTCTTTGACAGCATCGGGTGATCCATACTCAAGATGAATGTATTTAAGCAAACATGTTGCTTCTTTGCGGTCGTTAATAAGGGCAACGATGGTTGTAATTATTTGGTCTTCATCGAATACAATTAAATTTTCATTTTCAAAGATCTTTATAATCTCATCCAAAGTTAACTTTTTGAAAAAATCTAAATATTCATTTTTTGCATTATGAAAAACTATTTTTGCGATATGATCTTTAGAAATCAAATCTTTGAGGAGTTGATAATTTATGATCACGAAATTAATATGTTCACTTTTTGTTGTAATCTGGGAACTTAAATCATTATTTATTATATCGCATTGAATATCTCTGAGAAGCTGAATAAAATCACAGAGCTCTTGGTTTGTAAAATCCACAGAAAAATGACCTTTTATTAGTAAATCTTGAAGAATTTTAAATGATTTTTCTGATTTAATACCACTTTCCACATTAAAATTTGAAATTGTCTTGTTGCTATTAAACAAATTTTGAAATTTTTTGCTTATTAAATATAATAAACATTTCTCAACATAAAATGTATTACCATTCATATGAACTTCGATTTTTGACTCGCTGTTAAATTCAGCAAGTTGAGTAAGAGCTGGATTATTGATGTTAATGTGCCATGGAGGCATTTTTGGAAAATATTTTTTTGAATGAACCTTTTGACTTCATTTTTAATTGAATACTTTTGAATAGTTTATATTAATTGGGGAAAATATTTTTCAATAAGCCAAGGCCTGACCGTTGATTTTGATGATATTGTTAACAAAATTCAAAGAGATATTGATCTGGATAATTTCTATGATATTGTAGATAAAGATGACATTTCAAAAGTAGATTCTTCAGTAAGCCTCTCAATGAGGTTTTTTAAAAAAGCCTAAAACGACGATAGAAGTATACCTCGGATTTTCAAAATACCAAAAAAGACGATAGAAAATTTTTGCCACCATATATATGATTCTTAATAAAATTCAACTACAATAATTTAAAAGAGAGATATCATCAATATTGGACTGATTTTGATTCTGCTCGTGGAGTGGTAAACAATTGAATTAAAATTTTGAAACAATTTGAAACCTCAAGCTAAGCTGAAACATTCCAGCTAACAGGTATTATTATGAAGATCTTTCCATATAAAATCATAATTAAATTATCAAATTAAATAATAAATTAACTCCTTTCATGAATCTCAAAATCTATTAGAGCTTAACAAATAGCATTCCTAAGTGTGATGTGATCCTTAAAATATTCCGGTATTTTGGTATTAACAAATATGATATAAATTTAAGCAAGATAATGCTTTTAGCATCTAATAAAATATGTAGCTGTTAGAAAAAGAATACATGCATATGGTAAAACATTAATTTAAATTTAAAAAGTAAATTATTTATTCGTAATTTAAAGAGATTTCGCTGTAAAGTAATGTCTCAACATGGAGAAGGAAAATTTACGATAGGTGTATGGTAAATGAAACAGTATTTTTGATATTGTATAATATTAGTAACACCAAATGGAAATACCATAAAGCGAAGTTATATTTTTACTCATCAGAGTTTTATGTTTCAAAATAATACGAAACTGAGGATCTTCAAGTTTTTTGTAGCTTCATACTCTGAAATCGCTTGAAATAACGTATTTTTTGTAAATCAAAATGGAGATGATTTTATGAATTTAAAGTTTTTATTCAAAACAAGCACTTACATATCCATATGAATATAATAATAATCAAGAAATTAGAATATAGTTGATATTCAACAAATTCAAATCTTATTAATTTGAAATGAAAATTTAAAATATGTATTTCATATTTAAATAATCTATCAAATATATCCACATCTTCTAATACATGAATTATTATATTTCTAAAAAACCACTCGTTAAGCCATATATTTTTATTTGATCAAATAAATCTATATGACCTGCATATCTATGTTTTGTTCTTAGATTAAAAAGCCTAAAAGCCATATGGTAAAAGTGTCGCAAACTATTCAAAATTGAATTCCTTTTTGGTCAAACCAATTAGATTTTTTTTTATTTTGGTAAAAAACCAAAATGTGAGATCAGTAAATAGGAAGAAACAGTAATTATTATATATGCGAATTTTCAAATAAAAAAGTATGGCTTTACGAGTAGATTTTGAGAAAATCTGATGAATGCAATAAAACAATTCATTTTACAATAAACATATTTATACTGATAATATATTCCCCTTTTATGTAGATTTATAAAAAAAATAAAAAGTGACAAAATAAATTATTTATACAAATAGGATTTCTGGGAATAAGAGGTTTATTATGTCTGAGTTAGTATCAATTTATTAAATGCTTGATGTCAAAAGACTAAAAAATTGAACAAGTTCTCATAAAGGCAAAGTTCTTCCGAAGTCTCTCATTCAATGAGAGACCTCAGAAGAACTTTGACCTAGTCTACCATAGGTATGCCACCTGGTACACTGGGGCCTAGTTAATGCAATATTTATTGAAAAATGCAAAGTTCTTCTGGTACCCCTCATTTGATGAAGGGTATCAGAGGAACTTCACTCTAAGGTAAAGGACTTACCATTCCTTGGCCTTGAGTGAGCCAAGGAAGCCGTAATTAGTCGAATAGAGTGAATTTTGACATTTCCGCGCCAAAATACAAAAGTGCCATAATCTCATGGTGGACCACAGCTGGAGTCACCGCCGACTATCCACTTGCTGGGATGCTACGCAGCCTTTGATCTGGCCAATCATAGTGCTGCTCCATCCATATCAGCAAGTGATTTCGGCATCAGATTTCCTCTTGGTCTTCCATGAGAGTTCTGCAAGCCAGAAGCGCAATATCCATGCAGCCTAGCTGCTATGATATAGTAGCTAGACTGCATGGATATTGCGCTTCTTGGAATATTAGTTATACGTCATTGCCCTCATACGCTATACTACTGCTCCCTGGTCCTTAACGGTCCAAGAATGTATGATTACTCGAATAAGGCAAAGTCCTTCCGAAGTCTCTCATTCGATGGGAGGCCTCGGAAGGATTTTGCCTTAAAGTACTCCTACTATGGTTCCCTAGTTCTCAAATGGCTAGGGATTCTGTAATTAGTCGAATATGGCATAGTTCTTCCGAAGTCTCTCATTTGATGAGAGGCCTCGGACGAATTATGCCATAAGGTAGTATACTTGTAGTCTCTGACTATTTTCAGGTCAAATAATGTAAATTTACTTGAATAGAGCAAAATTCTGCTGAAGTATCTCACCAAATGAGAAACTTCAGCAGAATTTTGCCCTAAGGTAATGTGCATGCGATCCTCAGCCCACAGAGAGCCAAGGAATTTATTTATATTTCGTTTATGGTGAAGTTCTCGGATGTCCTCTCAAATGATGAGGAAAATCAAGAGAACTTCACCATAATTTGTTGCAGTTGAGATTCTCTAGCTCTTTGCCGGTCAGAGAACGAATAAAAAGTTTTTGTTGTGAGTAGGCTCGATATATGCCTACCCACTGAAAATTAAAAAAAATTTGGAGATTTTTCGGAAATTTAAATATGATAGATGTGAACTATTTTAGGAGTACTATGTATATATAAGCTTACTTTTAAGTTTGGACGAAAATTGGAAAAATTAAAAATATGGAAACATAAGAAATCTCTTTATCTCCCCATGTAGTGCATATTTTCGCGTTCTGAAAGCGGGAAACGCATTTTTGGAATGCATAGATTCCGAATCACACGGAAAAATTAGGTTTTAATAAGAAAAATAGATGATTTATGAAGTAATAGAGTATATGGTATTATAAAAATAAATAACTATTTTCTCGTAGGAAATAAAAAATAACGTATATTTTCAGTGGGTAGGCATATATCGAGCCTACTCACAACAAAAACTTTTTATTCGATCTCTGGCCGGCAAAGAGCTAGAGAACCACAACAGCATTAACTTATGCTGAAGTTTTCTGAATTTTTTTCCTAATTTGAAAAAACTTCAGAAAACTTCAGCATAAACGAATTACAGACAAGTTCTCTCGCTCCTTGCTGGCCAAGTACCACACATACTTTACATTAGTGCAATGTTCTTCCCAAGTCTCTCATTCGATTGAGAGGCCTCGGAAGAACATTGCTTTATTCAAGCAATTTTACAGTCTTTGGCCTATAAAAGACCAAAGACTACAAGTATATTACCTTAAGGCAGGATTTTCCCGAGGCCTCTCATCAAATGAGAGACTTCGGAAAAATAATGCCTTATTCGATTAATTACAAAATTCCTAGCTCTTTAGAAACTAGGGAACAGTAATTAGAGTACTTTAGGGCAAAATTCTTCCGAGATATCTCCTTGAATGAGAGATCTCGGAAGAATCTTGCCCAATTCGAGTAATTACATAATCCTTGGCCCTTCGGGAACCAGAGGATGGCAGTATGAGCCCATGCGGATAATAACGTATAACTAATATCCATAGGAGCGCAATATCTACGCAGCCTGGCTACTATATCCTAGCAGCAAGGCTGTATAGATATTGCACTCCTGGCTTGCAGAACTCTCATGGAAGACCAAGTGGAGATCTGATGCCGAAATCACTTGCTGATGTGGATGGAACAGCACTATGATTGGCCAGATCAAAGGCTGTGTAGCATCCCAGCAAGTGGATAATCGGCATTGACTCCAGCTGCGGTCTTCAATGAGAAAATGACACTTTTGGACTTGGCGCTATTTTTTCAATAGAAAATTTTTGATTTTGGCGGGCAATGTAATTTTACTAATTAGAAGATAGAATATGCATTACAAATACTTATATATTATGAATATCAAATTAAAATAGGAAAATTCATAGGTTTTTGCATTTTGTCAACAAAAGTGAGACAGCCTTCATTCTTTCAACATTCAAAATTTGGAGTTTACATATCGTCGCAAGCGCATAAGTAAGACAATATCCACATTATTCTTTTTATTATGCATAATAGTGATATAGTATGAGAGTAATATTATATGATATGGTGATGATAAAATCCCGCCAAAATACATGGTAACAATTCTCAAATAAGTTTTGACCTTCAATTATTTTGTTTAAGTTTGATATTCAACCATAATCTTGTAATTCTGTATCTTACACCTGTTGTCACGCAGTTTGATAAGGAGGAATGTCTAAAATTTCATTCAATATTTATAGCAATATTGTTGAAATTAATTCCAGCTTTTTATAAGACTGAATAGTGTTATCTCCAATACTTTGTTTTAAACATATTTTTTAAAATTAAAATTAATTTTGAAAGTCTCGAAGTGTAGTTTCCAGGCAAGTGGCAACAGAAATAGTTTAAAAGTCTGTTAATATTACTGATTATATATGCATAGCAGAAATTAAATTTCTAAAAAAAAAAGTAGGGTCATAAAAATCTATCGGAATGTGATCGTGAATTTTAAAATTCAAATGAGTAATTTGCTTGAATTTTCCGAATGTATTTCTTTAAGCTTAGATCAGGACAACGAAGTTCGTCATGAAGCCGAAACTAAAAGCAATGCTTTCCTTAATGAACAACCAGCGGCATTTTTAGAGTCAATTTTGCAAATTATTTCCGATAATGCTTATTCAAATTATCACGCTAAGTGCATTGCAGCCCTTTTATCTATTATGAAGCACCATAACGAGGTGTTTACTCCAGAAATTTCGCTTGGATTTTATCAAATGTTTAGTTCAGCCTTTCCTCAGCTTCTTCATCTAAGTTCTATTGGAGATTTGGAAAAGAATTGGCTCTGCTGCATTTTCGCCTTTATTATGTCAGTTTCTCGCCAACAAAATCCAGATAACAATCAAAATTACACAGAATACATGATGAACCTCGAAAAGCAAGTACCATCGAAATTCATATTTACTGTTCTATCCGAAACTCTTGAATGTTCTCCCGATGTTACGATTTTTGATATCAACTATTTATATCAATTTCTACAGCAGCATACCAACGAAACATTCGATGCCTTTAGCTTATACTTCTCAATCATTGGCAAAATCGAGCCAATCCAAGAATTTCTTGACATTTTCCCATCAATTCTTGAAGTTCTTACTCAATCTACAGATCTTAACTACATGAATGTAGTTAATAACTTTTGCGAGAAGAACTCTCCATTTTTACCATCAGTTTTCCCAGATCTTTCGAAAATAATATCCAATAAAATCATTAACACGGAAGATGAGCAAACCATCATCCATGGCATCTTTATCTTCTACAGCATTGTCCATTATTCATCCCAACTCGTCAGATTCTCAGCAGAGTTCTTAGATATCGTAATTGACACTTTTATGATTATTTTAAATCATTATGACCCAGAAACTGACGACAATGACAGTTCCACGTTACAATCCTTATGTCTCGACATTGCTTACCAGATATCAGGGATTATTGATATCGAATACACCAGTTATCTCTTCCAAAAACTGAGAAATTTCTTTGCGAACAACACAGAAGAATATTTATATGGATTAATGATTCTTTGTTCATCATATCATATTTATTATGAGAAACATGATGATCTACATGACGCTCTCATAAATCTTCTTGCTTCCGATGATTTCAACATTAAATATGCCGCTCACAGGTTATGTTCGAAATTGATTCATTCTGCTGATTTTTCTTCGAAATCTGATGATTGTTTTGACTTTTTCCTTAGTGAACTTTCTCCGGAAACACATCCCGCTATTCTTAAATATGTTATTATTATTTGTTGTGCAATGATTAATGCTGATAAGTTGGAAGAAGAACAATATCCAGTTCTTCAACAAATATTTTTAAATGCTTTTCAATTTGTCAATGATGAAGAATCTCTTTGTTATTTGATTGACAGATTCACGAAGATTGCAAAGAGTAATCCACAAAAGCCGTCAATAGAAGATATATTTGGATTGTATAATCAATTACTTGAAGCTTATGGTGATAATGATAAAATTAAAATACAAATAATTAGATCAGGAACAATATTCATTAATAAATCTAAAAACGTTGGAAATGACGAAGAAGAAATAGAAGAAGATGCCAAAACAGCAGCAAATTTACTTTATAATCTATGTATTGAAAAAATAACAGGTGAAAACAGTCAAATTGATCCACAAAATGTAAGAGAATACATGAAATTAATTAATGTATTATTAATATATGTTGAAGATACAGGAGAAACAACAGAATTAATGTGGAATCAATCATTTGAAACTATTTTTACACCTCTTGATTTTAAGGCATTCATGAGAAATGAATACATTGATTTATCTGCTTATATATTAATTGATAATGTTCCTGGTAATTTTAGATATGCAATAGAATCATCAATTATTGGTAATTACGTTGATTCTTTAGCAACAATTCAAAATCTTTGTAATAATCAAAAATATTTTGATAGATTCTTTGAAAATGATTCGGAATTATTGAATAGATTTTTACAAACTATTCTTGATTTATTGGCATCAAAGTTCTTCGTGTCAAAAATTGCTACAAATTGTTTGCAAACATTGGCTTTCTTTTACAAAAGACTTTACAAACAAAATGCTGAATTATCCAAACAAATTTTGACAATTTTTGTCGAAAATATAATGAAATTAAGTTCTAGGTCGTTCCAATATATTCATTTTGGTACATTGATATCTTGTATTGATAATTTACTTTTAACACGCTCATTTAATATGAAAGAAGTTCCTGGATTTATTGAAGCATGTTCTAATTTAATTATCCAACAATTTATTGATTCGCTTGGATTTATTGATGATTACTTAAATAGAGGTGCAGGTTTTATAGATGAAGGAAGTGTTTATACTGAAAAATCTGCTTTGTTTGAAGATCCTTCCGAACTTTTGTTTAAGATAATAAGAAGTGATACAAATAATTATGTTCGTAATCTTATTGAAACGAATTTACTTCCAAAAATTTTGGAATTGATACAAAACGAACAAATGATGGAATTGTCACCAGCCATGTTAGTTATTTATTTGGGAACAGCACCTGATGCATCATTATTTATCCAATATCATGATGTTTTCTACAGTTTCTTCCAACATCCTCCTGAAAGAAATGAAGAAGGCGAATTTAATCCTTCCGAAAAATACAAATATGATGTGATGTTGACATCCATTTTTAAAGTTTTATTCCATACTTTGCGGTCAATTAAATTTACTAATTATCCAGAGCAAGGCTACGAATTGTTCAATATGATGGTTGAATGTTACAATAATACGGATATCATGGAGGACCCGGTTTCTCTTTATTGCTCCATTGGAGCTTGGTGTCTATCGAATTTCGAAATATATCAAAACAATTTTGAAGCAGTCGTTGATGTAATATTGAGTAAAGAATTTTCACCAGTAGCTGTCATCGAAGCCGATAATGGTTGGATTTATATTTTGCTTATTGCAAATTGGATTATGAAGTTCTATGATATATTCGAAGAAAGTTATCAAGAAGGTTATGATTATTACGCATATGCTTTCTCATTTTTAGAATATGATAAATTGCTATTGAATCAATCATTGCCTATTGTCTATAATGCTGCATTTGAAAGTTTTGCTCTTGCTTTGATACATAAAAGAAATGCTCACACTAGATTTATAGAATTTCTTGATGAGATGAAGGCTGATACGTATGATAGATATGGACCAACCATCGCTCGAAATCTTGAATATAATTTAACTGCGGCAATAAAAAGGCTCCAAAAAAGAGCAAGTGAACAAAAACAATAATAAAAATTCAAAATTGTTTACGTCGTGTTATCAAAAATTGAAAAGAATTCTATAGTTTACACGGATCCATTAGTTTATGGAAGAAAGTATCTCTGTTTTATTTTAATTAATAATAAATATATAATATATATATCATATATATTTCTCTTCACATCTCAAGTATGGAACGAATTTGATTTATTAATTGAATTTGATTTCACAAAAATCGTCAAATTCAAAATCTGTAATGCTGTAAGAAGATGGAAAGATGATTTGTAAGATGAAATCCATTGTATAAAGGTCATGGGACTCTAATCGCTAGGAGGGGGGCACAAACTTGCCCAGTGAGGTGAAGTGAAAAGTGACTGGTTTACATGTCAGAAATGTAAAGTGTCAGATTTGAAACAAAAAATGGATTAATTTATTATTATATGATAGAGAGATTTGGTAAGTTACTATCAAATTTGTAAGTAAGGAAAAAAAGTAAGAAAGGAAAAATTTTTTTTTAAAAAATAAAAAGCCACTCGCTTCGCTCGCGGTTGACAAAAAGAACAAATTCGAAAAATAATTGTATGAAATTACGAAACTAAGCCACTCGCTTCGCTCGCGGCTGACGAAAAGAACAGATTCGAAAAAAGATTGTATGAAATTACGAAACTAAGCCGCGAGCGAAGCGAGCGGCTTAAGTAAACAACATATTTCAGATTATCGATACTAAAGTTTTTTTTATTTTTTTGCTTTTTTTTTAAAGCTTCTTAACTTAAATCATGGAATGTCTCAAAGACAAAAGTAGCATACAGCATGCAAAGCTAAAGAAAGATAATCATAATTAATACCTTAATTTTTAATATTACGCATTTTTAGGTGCAAAATTTAAAAACATTCTAATACAATAGAGCAGTTTCCAAAAGTAGCATACAGCATGCAAAGCTAAAGAAAGATAATCATAATTAATACCTTAATTTTTAATATTACGCATTTTTAGGTGCAAAATTTAAAAACATTCTAATACAATAGAGCAGTTTCCAAAAGTAGCATACAGCATGCAAAGCTAAAGAAAGATAATCATAATTAATACCTTTAAAGTTTAAAATCTTGATTTTTTTTTAAATCAAATATTTATAACTTTAATACATACAGCTTAAACCTTATACTTGTTTTCTCTTGTGAGAAAGCAATCTTACAAAGCTAACAATCCTAAAAAAATAAAGAATTAAAATTTAATAATTTAATCTAAAATTAAAATCAAAATTAAATAAAATGAGTTCTTTGTAATAATACTTTCAAGGTAGGATATATTTTAGTGGGATCTATTGAGTCATCACTAACAGCATTGAGCAATCTATTGAGCATTGAAATACTCTCGATTTTTCTTTGTCTTTTTACATCAATTTCTGCGTTAGTTGCTTTTTCCATGATCCTAATGACACGGTCATCTGCTGGATTTTGATCAATTTTGAGTTTGATAACGAAAGATAGTATCACTTTTGTATAAATTTCTATAATAACATCATCAATTCTGAGATTTTTTCGATCAGGAAAATAGTCATGTTTGAGTGTTCTAAAATGAGCTTCGGCAATATTGTTAGTTGCGTCGCCTTCACGCCTGTCACGAGCAATCCATCTTGATATGTTGTAACGCCATTGTCTGTTAAAGTATTGAGATGCTGTTGGATCTGTGTCGAGCAACTCCAGAACTTGATCATAGGCAGCATTTGCTTCTTCCTCATGTTCTGCATCTAATTTGAAGACTAAATCCTTCATCAAATTATAGAATTGTTCAAATTTTTCTTGAGAAGAAAACTTATTTGATTTGCGAAGAATTGCACGAAGAACATGTACTCCGCACCAAAGTATTTGAGCTTGTGGAATGCTTTCTTCTATTGCTTGAGCTATCTGTGGAGCACAGTCCATGCTAATGTATTCTGGCTCAATTGTTACCCATCTGAGATAGGCGCACACGCAAACTTGAATGTTTTGATAAGTGTCTGGTTGACAAAAGAAATATAAAAAAGGGAAAATGTGAAAATCTTTGATTTTGCCAGTAAATGCATACAATGGAATGTTTGATCGCAACAATTTATAGGTGCTGTCTATATGAAATGTCTTGATACTATGCGCATAAGCTTTGCCTTCAAAAGGCGCGTAATAGAAACACATATTATTGTCTGAGACTTCAAATGCAATGAGATCATCTGGAGATTCTTCTTGTACTGTCTGAACAAAGATTTGCAATGACACAACATCGTCAGGAGAATATCTAGTTTGAAGAGCATGTATTCTCTCTGCAAATCGTTTGATTGCACGTGGTTTTTGAGCGTACATCTCTGGAATGGACGGACCTGTAAGAGGAATTTCAAGATCTTTGAATGCATTTAGCTGTGCTATCGCTCTTTGATTGTCATCTGTTTGGAAGTAATGTTCTAAATATTTGCGATAAAAGACAGACAAATATTGACTTTTGTCATTTGGGGCGGAATGATCATGTTCTTCAACTATTTTGATTAGTTTGTATTTATTTTGATCCAAGATTGCAACATTAAAATGTGCAGGACATTTTGTATATTTGCAGTGGAATGAAATCTGAGATCTTTCTTTCCTGACACGTTCACCATATCCATACTGTGCTTGTATTTCTTGTTTAACTCCAAATTTACAAAGATCCATAACAGTAAAGATAGTTTCTTCTTCTAATTCCATTTGAAATTGAAATGAAAATTAAAAATTCAGAAATTTGAATAGATTTGGTCTGTAATTAAATGAAAATAGCAGTTTGTTCGTCATTGTTTGAGGCAAGAGTATTATAGGAATATTATATGATGGATTTGAGTTGCATATAAAGAGTGCAAAAGGATAAAGAGAGAAATTTTGTTAGATTAAATTATTAAATTTTAATTCTTTATTTTTTAGGATTGTTAGCTTTGTAAGATTGCTTTCTCACAAGAGAAAACAAGTATAAGGTTTAAGCTGTATGTATTAAAGTTATAAATATTTGATTTAAAAAAAAATCAAGATTTTAAACTTTAAAGGTATTAATTATGATTATCTTTCTTTAGCTTTGCATGCTGTATGCTACTTTTGGAAACTGCTCTATTGTATTAGAATGTTTTTAAATTTTGCACCTAAAAATGCGTAATATTAAAAATTAAGGTATTAATTATGATTATCTTTCTTTAGCTTTACATGCTGTATGCTACTTTTGGAAACTGCTCTATTGTATTAGAATGTTTTTAAATTTTGCACCTAAAAATGCGTAATATTAAAAATTAAGGTATTAATTATGATTATCTTTCTTTAGCTTTGCATGCTGTATGCTACTTTTGTCTTTGAGACATTCCATGATTTAAGTTAAGAAGCTTTAAAAAAAATGCAAAAATAAATTGAATACTTTACTGGCTGGGCAAATTTGTCGCCGCCCCTAATCGCTAGTACCTGTATAAAAAAATATTAATATCCGCACGGAATCGATATTGAAAATGTGTGAATTCCTTCGATAACAAAACAAAACTGTCGAAGAAATGATATAAAATATATTATAACAATAATTAAGGCAGTTGTCCAAAGAGTAGCATTCTTGAATGAGAATTCATAAACTGACTAAACACGCATATGGAAGTTGATTGTTTTGAGATTAGAGCAGTTGAAGAATGGATATCGATTGATCTATCTGACCATATTTTGATTGATGAATACATTTTTGAGATTCAATGAACATATGAATGAAACTTAGTCAATAAAAATAATCAAGTATTTCATTTAGAAATGAAATAAATGCTAAGTGCACATCTGACAATGGTCATGATAATATAATGAAGGCGATGTCGTACAGCATATGTGCATCCTTAAAAAGAAGTAAATAAACAAAAATATGATTTTTCTAATTTTGATTAAGAGAATGAACTCTAGCAAAAGAATCAAATGAAATAGTGAAATTTAAAGGTTTTCATTGTAATTTGATGGAATGATGTTGAAGGCATTGTAGTTTATTTTGGAAAGTTTTTCATAAAGGAATAACTGAATGTTTTTTATATATAATTGTTTCAGTTGATAGAGTATTTAGAGATATCATAATTTATGATTTTCAAATTCATTGATGGAGGTGTGATAGAATTCGTAAAACCTCAATAATATATACATTGCATTATATTATGTATTTTGATTGTATATTTTGTGCGAAGAATGTGAATTTATCTCAACAAAATATGGATTTAAAAAAAAACTCAGTTAGTTTTACTTAAAATATTTATGAAAGTTTATGTATTATTATTAAGATATATTTCGTATAGAAAACATTGTAGTGTCTTTGAGATTGTTGAAGAATTATAAAGTTTAGCGAAATATTATATTTTAAACAGAATATCAATATAAAATACAATAATAGATATTGTTCTGGTTGTAAATAAGTATAAATATCTGAGTGAAGAAGGAAAACTTTTAAAAAGAGTATTTCAGTGGACATTTTGATGACATAGCATCTTAGTTTAAGTATGTCATGATATGTAATACAACGGTCTTGAAATATTTGTTAGAATGAAGAAGGAATGAAGAAAAAGGAGTAAAAAAAAGTTGCGAAGAGTAGAAAATGCTTGAAATGTGGAATCGTTTAAGATATATTTTAATTTGATGACATATTGTTTTTGTTGGAATTGATTTTAGTATGACTTTGTTTTGTACTTTTTCTTGTGTTAGAGAGTTACATTTGATTTTCTGTGAATGTGAGAGTAATATATCAATTGCGTATTGATACTGATGAATGTTGGATAGAAAATGTATTTATTGATGTGAATTTTAATCGAATTTGGAAAAAAATATTAAAAAACTTCATCGAAAGTAAGTCATTGGATTTATTAGCGATTTCAGATAAACAACCATGAATTGAACAGTAAAAAAATTTTACTTCATGAAGATGAAATTCATAAAAGGTGACAAAAAATGAAAATAAAAATGCTATCGAATGAATAAAATAAATTGATTTTTAACATATGTAAAGAGTATATTCGAGATTCTTGTAAATTTTTGTGTAATCTTTTAATTCAAGAACTATAAAAATTGAAAAATCATATTGATTTTTTTGAAAGAACGCATAATTTATTTTGATAAAATTTCATTTAAAATAATGATTGTTATATGTCATTAATCGTTCTCGTTTTCTTTGAATTCAATCTCAATTTTTTATAGTCATTGATATTTAAATGGAATGTTGGATGAGACAATATTTGTTGAATATTTTACGATATTACATTGAATGAACATGTAAAGTTCAAAAATATATTTTATGATTCAATCCATCATTGATTCACATGCACTGTCTCTCACTTCATGATACTACAATGATATAAGAGCTACTTCAACCTCTTTAATTACAAAACAACATTACAATTCATATCAAATGTTACTAAAAATTTATTTCTTTCATAATTTCAAGCTCAAGCACAGTTCATAACAAATGCATATGGAAAAAATTCCTAAGTGATATCTTATTAGTTAAATTCAAAACAAAATTACACATGGTTTCTGCTTTTTTTTCACTTTCAAGCTCGTTGTTTTAATATTTAAACTAAAATCAATGAACATACAAAATCGGAAACAAAATTTAACCTAAAAATCTAATTTTACATCCATTTTTTAAAAATTATATAATTTGTCGCTGTTTTATTTTCTACTTTCTGAATGTCATTGTACTAATGATTTATTCTATCGAGAAGACAGTAATGAAGAAGTTCTTCTTGGATGTTATAGATCATGTGTTGATATTGTTATCCCTAAAACTGTCAAAGAGATAGCTGATGATGCATTTTGGTTTACATATTATTGTGAAAATGAAATCAGATCAGTTAGTTTTGAGGAAAACAGCGAACTTATAAGTATATATAATTTTAGCTTTACTCATTCAAAAATTGAATCAGCAGATCTCAGTAATTGTAACAAACTTTCATTTCTCAACGGATCAATATTTGATTCATGTTGGTATTTAGAAACAGTGAAACTTCCTAAAAATATTACAAGTATAGGAGATAGATGCTTTTATGATTGTGAATTAAAATCAATAGAATTACCCGAAAGTTTAACATATATTGGAGATAGTGCATTTTCTCTTTGTCCATTTACAAACATCACTCTTCCAAAAAATTTAACATATATTGGAAATTCTTCATTTATTGGTTGTAAATTAACAAGTATAACAATTCCAGAGAAAATAACATATATTGGAAATGGTGTATTTTATAGAAGTTCAATCCAAAGTATCACATTCAGAGGAAATTTAACACATATTGGAGATTATGCATTTAATGAATGTCCTTTAACAAATATCACAATATTTGGAATTGATCTATATATTGGTAATTATTCATTTTATGAATCCAGTCTAATTAATGTGACTCTTCTCGGAAGTGTTTCATATATTGGAGATAAAGCATTTTTTCAATTGATAAACCTAACAACTATCACTATTCCAGGAAGTTAAACATATATTGGGAATTTTGCATTTTATGAATGCACAAACTTAACATATGCGACAATCACAGGTAGCATCACATATATTGGAGAAGCGGCATTTCGTAGTTGCTATTCATTAACAAGTGCTACAATTCCAGGAAGTTTAACATATATTGGAAATGATGCATTTAATAGTTGCTATTCATTAACAAGTGCCACATTTACATGTAATCTAGCATATATTGGACAATATTCATTTTATAATTGTACATCATTAACAAGTCTCACAATTTCAGGGAGTTTAAAATATGTTGGACTTGAAGCATTTGCTTATTGCAGTTCATTAAAGAGTTTCACAATTCCAGGGAATTTGTATGGTATGGGAGGACATGCACTTGAAGGTACTGAAAACATAATAAATATTACATTTCTAAACTGTCCAGATGATTATAGTTATCTTAATTTTTATTTATGCTATATAAATCATCCTATAAATATTTCCATTCCTAGAAGGTATGTGTCGATAAGCCGTTGTATAGTTATACGCAAAAGTCATTTATATGTAACAAGTCGAACAATTTTACCGGATTCAACTAAATATTTGTTTGGTGAAAAGTCAACATATGTTCATTATGATAACAAAAAAGGGATTTATGATAAAACAACAATTGAAGTTCTTGAATACATCTCTATTGAAAACATCACCATTCCTCTCTTGATGCCTGAAACAGCGAATGACTTTATATATTATAAATCTCATCCTATTCATCTGTCACTTGCCATTATCAGTCTTAACTCACAATCAATTTCATGAATAAAACATTTTTACATATTCATATTATATATATGTGATTAATCACATCTTCTAAACTTCTATTCCTCTCGAATACCTAAAATTATATTTTAATAAAATTCGATTTCTCACATGTCCAATATTAATATCCGCACGGAATACATATTGAAAATGTGTGAATTCCTTCGATAACAAAACAAAACTGTCGAAGAAATGATATAAAATATATTATAACAATAATTAAGGCAGTTGTCCAAAGAGTAGCATTCTTGAATGAGAATTCATAAACTGACTAAACACGCATATGGAAGTTGATTGTTTTGAGATTAGAGCAGTTGAAGAATGGATATCGATTGATCTATCTGACCGTATTTTGATTGATGAATATTTATAGAATGATGTAGTAATTAATATAAATTGAGATGGGAAAAAAAGTTCTAATTTATATAAAATTTAATATATATAAAATTACGATTTAAATCAGATATAAATGATTTTAAGATGGTATAGTTTCTATATATAAGTAATTTCTTACTCGAGGACGAAGTACTTTCCGTCTGTCTTCTGTTGCTTGTCCTTGTTTGAGTTGTACTTGTTGATTCTTGGTCTCTTTGTGTTCTTATCAGAACGGAGAGTGACTGACATCTGTTTGAGGAAGTAGTTCATACCCTTGATGAGGGATTGTGGGCTCTTAGCGACTGTCTTGACACCTGGCTGGCCGTCGAAGACAAGAACGCGAGAAGCGAGGTAAGTAGCCATGATAAAGTCGTGCTCGACAACGAAAGCTGTCTTGCCGGCGTTCATGATGTAGCGCTTGATGATCTTTGAGATGATAACACGTTGTTCGGCATCAAGGAAGGCTGATGGTTCATCGATAAGATAAAGATCTGCGTTCTTACCAAGAGCGAGTGCAATAGCGACACGCTGAAGTTCACCACCGGAGAGCTTCTTGACCTTTCTGTCCATAAGGTGGTCAAGGTTGAGTGGATTGAGAACGAGATCCTTGAAGAGTGGCTGTGTCATTGATGAGCCGATCTTGCCTTCAAGAAGCTGCTGTACTGTGCCGTCGAAGTGTGGCTGGATCTTCTGTGGCTTGTATGAAATCGAAAGTGCTGGGAGTTCGAAAGCGATATCGTCTGGTGCTTGGTTGCCTGAGAGTAAACGGATGAATGTTGTCTTACCGACACCGTTCTGGCCGAGAAGAACGATGATTTCTGAGTCTCTGAATGAGCCGCCTTCAACATCGAGGTGGAAGTCGCCAATGGAGAGGGACATGGATGGGTACTTGTAGTGGTGCTGTTCACCTTCATTCAAGATATCGTTATCGTCGGAAATTCTGAAGACAAGTTGTTCTTCACGGAATCTCATGTTTTCTGTTGGAAGGTAACCTTCAAGGAAGATGTTGATACCTTCACGGACTGTGAATGGTGCAGAGATAACACCGAAAGCACCTGGTGCGCCGTAAAGAACGGAAATGAAGTCGGACATGTAGTCGAGAATGGCAAGATCGTGCTCAATGACAATGACGTAATCGCCAACCTTAAGGCAGTCACGGATAACACGAGCAGCGGCCATACGCTGTCCGATATCGAGATATGAGGATGGTTCATCAAAGAAGTAAGCGCCGGCGGCTGAGAGGCAAACGAGAGCGATAGCGAAACGCTGGAGTTCACCACCGGAAAGTTGGTTGATTTGACGCTCAAGGAGGGCGTTGAGTTGGAGCTGTGTGATGATGTCGTCGAATTGGCCTGTAGCATCCTTGGCTTTAAGGATTTCGCCGACTTTGCCGTTTCTAACTTTGGCAAGGCTATCAACCCACTGTGGTTTCATGATAACGCGCATGTTTTCGTTGATAAGCTTTGTGAAGTATGTCTGAAGTTCGGAACCACGGAAGCGCTGGATAATCTGGGCCCAGTCTGGTTGCTTGGCTTCATCGAGGATACCAAGGTTTGGACGAATCTTGTTGGAAAGGATTTGAAGGGCTGTGGACTTGCCAATACCATTCTGGCCGACAAGACCAAGTACCTGCTTTACACGTGGGTATGGGAGACGGTGAAGCTTGAAGCCGTTTCTTGAATAACGATGGGTTGTTTCTGCATCAAGAGCTTTTGGAAGATTGATAATTTGAATAGCGTGGAATGGGCATTTCTTAACACACATACCGCAGCCAATGCAAAGAGCTTCGGAAATAGCGCAGCCAGTGACTGGAACTTTAATGCAGTTCTTGCCGGATCTGTTAACTGGGCATACACCCTTGCACTCCTTCTGGCACTTCTTCGGCTTGCATCGATCTGCGTTAACGACAGCGAGACGAATAGAATTGTCAGCCATAAGTTAATAAGAAAAATAAACTTTTCAATTTGAGGCCATGAAAAAATTTTAGTCCTCATCAACTATTACTGTTTAGGAAATGGTTTGTCTGTATCAAATATTAAATATTCCCTTAAGAAAAACCAATAATCTCCATTGGAAAGCATATTTCAGATTAAATTTCCCAATTGTTTGGGGATTTATCAGTTGCATCATAATTTATTTTGTATTAGTATACTGAAATGAAATTGTCTCAGATGAAATAAGTTGATGGGCTCGGTCAAATTGAATTGAGACATAACTTTTTCTCAAATTTTCCAATCATTGTTTTTTTTTTTTTTTATGTCGATTATTTATTTATTACTGAGAATCTAGCACATAGACAAGAAGATGTAGTACTTATAATTTTTTAATGTTAGACCCTATTTGGATGTGCGAATATTTCAAAAATTATTCGTAATTGCACTATGATATAAAATATGTATAACATAGAGTCTGCTAGTCTTGGAGATATATAATTCGTCGAAATAATAGTACTGTGATAACCAATTTTTCCTTCTTTGGATTATTTATGTGAAAAGAAACTGGCTTAGAGATGAATGCTTAAAAATTAGCAATTTGATCGAAATTTATATATGTTCCCTTATGACTATGGGATCAGATTCCTTCACAAGATAAAATAAGCTTAAATGGCTAATCCCAGCCTCAAAATGCAAAAACATAAAAATGTATTGTTTCTTATTGCATACTATTAAAGATATCTCAAAATATAATCCAATGTGAACTTAATCCAGGTCTTAAAACAAATAATAACCACATAGATTAATAGGTTTTGAATTGGTTAAGTTGCGTTTCCTTTTTCGAGGCAAAGGGGCGCAATTAGATATTGGAAATAGTTAATACCAAAGCAATATAAGCCCAATTTGAGCAAATATATAATGTAATAGGTAGATTTAAGCAAACTCTCTGTTATAAATCAATAAAATTAAAATCCCAACCATTGAAGGAGGGAAAAAAATAATAAAAAAGTGCCTGTTTCAAATGACTGATAGTTGGAACGCTATTAAACCGGTTGCACAACAGATTATGGAAACAATTATTGCTTCTCCATGCAATGAGATTGTTCATACATCTGTTATGACGCCAAAAGGTCCATTATCATTCGATTCTATATTAGAAAATGTTAAGAATGGAACATACACGTCTTCAAAGGACTGGGACAAAGATTGCAGGACATATATAGCTACAATGGCTGAAACATATAAGCAGCAGCCTTTAGAGCTCGTTATTTTAAAGCACGTTCGAATTACATACGTTAAATTAATACAGAAATGCCAAGCATGCACTACAGAAGGATGGATAAAGCGCGCAAATCAGCTTCGTGTGAAGATTGATGACTTACTTCGCACAGTTCCGGATTGTCTCAAAAAGTATTCGCAGCTAATGCCTGTTCCTCCAATCCACAATACTCAATTACAGCGTAGCGATATAGAAACAATTGCAAAATTCGATCAAAAAATTACAAATAATCTTGAATTAATGCAGCTTCTTCGTATACTTAATGATGATCCTGCGGCCCTCGAGATTACAGGTGATACAGCTAAAGTGGACGTTCAAAAGCTTCGCAATCCAACGCAATTGAAATTATATTTATTCCTCAAAGATAAAATCGAAGGCGATAAAAAGTGAAACAGATTCTCATAATAATTTGTGATTATCGACCTGAAATTTTCTTCGGATAATCTTCTTTTCTCATTATTCTTTGTAAATTATTTATTAAACCATAACTGTGATTTTTATCATTACATCAGTATTTTACAGTAAAATTTTGCCATCTGTTACATTAGTAATGTTATAATGCTAAATGTGAAATAAAATTTATTTGATTTTGCTGAACTCTTGGATTCATTCTTTGTGTTTAAAACTTAGTTGATATTTTGTTCGTTTATTGCTTCAGAATTAATCCGTATGAAAAAAAGAACAATTGAATTTTAAAGTACAGTCAAACAAAAGAATTATAAAGAGAATATTTATACATTACAAATGAGTTAATAAGATACATGGTATATTTAACATAAGAGAAGGAGACTGAAAATTCAATCATCTAGATACCAAACTGTGTGATTCCATTGGAATAGTACACTATACGATGTAAATATTATAGGATTTGTTGGAAGATTTAATTGTTTGAAGGATATTTGGTATAATATTGGAATAAAGTTCAATCAAAATCAGATAATACTTTGAAAAGAATGTACGCAAATGACATTGCTGCAAATATAATTATAACGCTTGGATATTTGTAAGGAATCGAATTTTGAATATTACTCACGCATTTTTGGAAATTTTGGACTTGTGATTCGTATTCATTTAATTCTGTTTCTAATTCTTTGGAGAAATTGTATTGGTTTGTTTCTTTGTAAATGGTTATTAATCTTACAATGTTTTCTTCCGAATTATCTAGTTTTTCTGAATTGTAAGTTCCAATCGAATGATTAAGCTCACAAATGTCTTCTATAATAGAACATAATAAGACAAGATTTGGCATTGTAAGCTTTGACTTGATTCTAGATATAAGAAGCAAATAGTCTGAGAGACGTAATGAAATTTCCTTGTCTGAACGACGAGCTTCAATTAATAGATCATGTAATGAGCTGTTTTCCATAAAATTACCCAAAAGTGACAATTTTTAAAACTTCTTTGAAATGAAGAAACAAACTGTTAGCTAAGAACAAAATTAATGACATTAATACATAGTGCCAGCAACTAATGCTAAAAATGTCAAGCTCGCCCTTCAATGACGCTTAAAAGACTTCTATATTAATATTTCTTTGAATGGAAATTATTTTAATCAAATTACTCATTTGGAATTATTCATTTTTTACAAGAATTTGATAATGTATATCAGAAAAAAAGACTTGATTTACAAATTCCAGAAATTTTAATATTAAAAGAGAAATTCAAATATATTTTTGCATACATCTTGCTATTTGCATGCAAGAATATACAAATATAGATCGTATTTAATGATTGTTTGATAAATTTCATAATAAAACTGCTAATAATTGAATTTGGCATGAGATTGTATGTCCATTAACGTATTTGAGTAAAATTAACAGATTTATCTAGAATACTGAAAACAGGAACTGAAATTACTAGATGATCTTTTTATAAAGTGTATAGATAGGATCTTCTGCTAAATTCGATATTGCAAATACAACTTAATTTGTATAGGCTGTTTCATTTTTTATTGCACATAACTTATGTACGAATCCATTATTTGATATCGTTTGTAAGATAGAGTATTTTGCATAAAAGCTTAGATTCGGTAAATTGTTTTAAATTCCTTCAAAAATTTAGGTCCAAGTATCCAATTCCAAAACTTCGTTGATGGCATTATTTTTTCTGTTGATTTTCAACATTTGATTGTTCATGAAAATTGATATGAATATGAGCAGTGGATTATTCTTGCTTTAGAACACCCAACGATATTTCAAAATGGAAGATCGAAAAGTGACATGGCATTTATTTCTGGAATAAATTTTAACCATTGATTTTAAATGTATGTAAGCGTGATGAGCTAATTCATTGGCGTTATTACGAAGAAAAAGTGTCAACAATTTTGAATACAAATTCAAAAATCAAAAAATCGTAAATTAAATAGAGAATATACTATATAATAAAAATGAGTGGTGATGTTTCATTTTTTTTTAAATTCTGAGGTTGAAATTTTTTTATCCCAAATTTTTCATGAGTACTCAGCCACTAATTGATAATGTTCAAATGAAAACCTATACTCAAGAAAAAGATGCAGAATCTGAAGATGTTTCATCTGTGCATATAGATGTTGACGACATGCCCCATGTTATGGGTTTACGTCCGGCTCCACCAAGGCAAGAGCTGAATTTGCCAACTATTGAAGCCTTAGAATCCTTCAAGAAACATAGAATGTGCTCTGTTAGCAACATTATTTGGTCAATCTTTATTGGTTGGTGGGTTGCTATCGCATTTGTTGTTGTTGGTATTCTATTTTTCCTCACAGGCTTCTTCTATAGACACGGAATCTTTTGTTTCAGAGCTGCCTACTTCATTGTCTTCCCATTTGGCAAAATTGCTCATACAAAGACTACTTCAAGATGTCATTTCCTTGCAAGGGGCTTATGGTGTCTTTTCCTGCCAATATATGGAATTATCTCCCTTTTGGGTGCAGTAATTTCATGGGAATTTGTGTATTATATCCCAATGGCAAAAACATTATGGAAATTAGTGACTGTTTGCCTTAAAGAGAACCCAGAAAACATCGAATTCACATATGCAACAGACAAGAAGGCATCAATTCCATTGATATTATGCAGTCAAAGTGGTTCTTGGTACTACTTCAAATTCACTGTCTACGGATTTGAAGTTATCTACTTGAATTTCATCCCATTCGTTTTCTTATCATTACTTGTTGGTTTTGTCAACTTCGGACATACAGGATTGGGTGATCCAATCCTTGGATCCGTTTTTGCTCTTTTCGGAGCTATGCCAGCAGCTTATTTCATCGGTGTTTGTGTCGATGACTTGTCTAAGACACTTGGTATCATCATTGGTTCAATTCTTTGCTCAGTCTTCTTGGCATTGATTGAATTAATTTTGTATTACTTCTCTCTTAAGACAGGAATGGTTGATATCACACGTGCAGCCATTACTGGTGCCTTCTTAATGAACCTTTTGATCATTCCAGGCGTTGCGATGCTTGCTGCCGGTATCAAATGGAAAGAAACAGTTTTGAACAGGAAAGCACAATCAATCGGTGGCTATTTCCTTCTCCTTGCCATCATTTCTATGCTCTTCCCTTCAGTTTTCTATCACATTCACGGAGGAAGCTCATATAAATGCGATCAATGCACATTAAACGGAACAGCGCCAAATCAAACATTCAATTGCGATTACTGCACAAACAAAGAAATCAAAAACATCGTTGATGACCCCGTTTACAAGAAATTCGGTGCTCCATTACAATATACCATGTCAATTCTAATGCCAGCAATTTACATTATCTCATTTATGTTCTCTGTACGTACTCACGCTCACATCTACGTCGTAGAACATGACGGAGAACACGAAAAAGGAATGTCAACCGTTGTTGCCATTGTTATTCTATGTATTGCCACTGTCACCTTCTCATTGATGGCACACGTTATGACAGATAAGATGCCAGAAGCCTTAGAAAAGCTCCATTTGTCTGAAAGATTTGTCGGATTAATTTTCTACACTTTGATTCCAAATGCTGCTGAATATATCAATGCCATTAAGTTTGCATTGAATGGAAACATCGGTCTTTCTATGGAAATTGGCAACCAAGGTGCTATTTTGACTTCATTGGTTGAAATGCCAGCACTTATGCTCATTTCTCTCATCCTTTACAAGACAAAACAAACCAAAGTCATGTTCACCCTTATCTTCCCACTCATCGACATTTTCAGTATCGTTACAGCTGTTTTCCTTAGAAACGCTATTTTAATGGAAAAGAAGATTAACTACTCTACGGGCTTATCTTTCCTTATTATCTTTACCTTAATCTCTGTTGTTTACTACTTCGAAAACTTCTAAGCTTAGATATATTATTCATTTGTGATATTATATCTATAAAAAACTATTTACTTTCGCTTATTAAACCTACAAATAATATATGTACTAACACTTGACTTTTTATTTACATAAACTGAGACTTTCAAAATAAAAAAAAATATGTTTTATAAAATATAGCTTAAAAACGTCAACAGTAAAAAGCTTATGGATTAAAATGATATCTACTCTTACATAGTAATGTATCTATAAAATAGATAATTTTTTATTAACGAAATGGTAATTTTTGGTATCGTATGTAGGTTACTAGCTATAGTGAATGTAGCAGTGCAAGTTTGGATTATATTTGTTAAATTATGTTAAAAATATTATGGAATAACACTCTATGTGAGTATGAATGGCCTTAAAAGATCGATCATTATTGAAATAAATTAAGTTGTTCATTGGGTTTTATTCCTGTTTTATCTTCTAAGAAAGAAAAATTTTAAAAGTGTGTAAATTGTCTATTTTCAAACGAGAGCTTAAAAATGGTACTGATTTTAATGAAGTTCCGTGCGATTTTGTTGATCTTGCGTGGGAAATTTTTAAAATAAATTGATTCATTTTAAGATGATTGAAGAATTCCTCTCAACACTGCTTTTGTAGAATTTGTATGTTCAAATGGATTGATGTTCCAATTTCCAAATTTTTTAGAAATATCATAAAACCATAGAGCGTTATTAGAAAAATGAAATGATTTTCAGAGAAATGATAAAAATTTGGAAAAAAGAGAACTTTATTCTTAATTTTTGAATTAATTTCATCATAATTACAGGTTTTTATATCGATAACAAGTGTATTTTATTAAAATTAATTGATAATTACATGATAAATTGGATATAACTACATTTTTCAATATCCAAAATTTAAATCTCTACGGTAATATGATAATTTTTTAATTTTTGGAAGCTATATCTCCAATAACTATAAAATATACTCAAGGAAATCAAAAGATGTTGATGATTAAGGTTAATTTTTGAATTCTTCAAAATTTTATGATTAATTTACATTTAAACTGTCATATATTGATAATACCCAAATTTTAGAATAATACACTTTTTTCTATTGAAATTTTCAATGAGCAAAAAGGCTGCTCCAGCACTTACTGCTAAGAGCGGAGTAGAAGTTGTCGAATTTGATCCAAGTACAGCACCACCTCCAAAGCCAAGAAAACCAAAAACAGATAATCAACCTCCTAAGTTTATTAAAGATAAGAAGAAAAAAGATTTCAAGAAAGAAGAAAAACCATTAACTGCTAAAGAATTTGTCGATAAGTACAGAAGAGAAGCTCTTACAGCAAGCTGGGATCCAGCAGTTTTGAGAAAATGCGGCAAAGGTGCAAAAGAAATCCTTACTTCGCTTGGATGCAAATTCAAAAACGAAAACATCCCATTTGCTGAGCAAAAGAAGCGTAGGCAGCATAAAATCAACAAAGGAGAAATTGAAGATCGCAAGTTTTAGATTTTTTTATTGTCATAAAGATATATAGAGCTTTTAAATTAAATTGAAATCATTGATTTAGTAATTTCTTATTAATCGACAATAATTTTTGTCAAACATTCAATATTCAAGACTATAATACTATCAATCCTTAATAAAATATGTTAAAGATCAACCGATACTTAAGTAACCTTCTAATAAGCATATTAAATTTTCAATATTTATTGAAAAATGATAACAGATCATTTTAATTGAGTAGATAGGCATACTTTCTTAGAAATCTCCGAATGTTCCTTTATGATTATCTTTAAATGAGATTTGATAAATTCTTTATAATCTTTGCTTTACTTTCAAAATGATGCAATTAATTGGATCATCTTGTTCTGACTTGCTATAAATAAGAAAAAGACATTGACTGATTCATTCATTGATCATTTTTCTTGGTGCTATTAACGTCACTTTTTAATCCGTTAATAGAAAAAGAGATGGATTCTACAACTGAAATTGAATACAAGAATATTCTCTCTTCCATAGGACAAAAGCCCTTAGCTGATTGGGATGTCAATGTAGAAAATGGTTACATTAAACGCTTAACAGATCAAGATATTCGAACTTCAGTTCTCGAAATAACTGGTGCAAATGCTCAAAGAAACTGGATTACAATGCCACGTGAACAAAATGATAAATTAGGTATAAATCTTCCTATAATATCTCTTGTAGTTAAATATCTCGAAAAATTTTTCTACATAGACATTTTAGTTATGGATGACACAAAAACAAAACGTCTCTTTAAGATTTCAAATACAGATATGAAAGCCCACGTTCAACAGACATTTACAAAAATTCCAATGAAATTAGTTCCAGGATGGAATAACGTTACTTTTGATATAGCCGATTTTGTAAGAAGTGCTTATGGTACTAACTACGTTGAAACATTAAGGATTACAATATATGCTAATTGTAGAATTCGTCGCGTTTATTTCAGTAATAAGGTCTTAAACGAAGATGACATTCCATCACAATTCAGAATACTTCCTACTCAAGCATTAGACAAAACAGAAGTTGAACCAGAACAAGAGCCAGAAGCTGAAAAATAATTATTTGATTTTTTATTATTAAAGATACTGTTTTATAATTAAGGGTGCACCCGTATGTACGTTTATTTGAGAGGAGGAGGATTACCCTCTCAATTTTGAGGGATTCGTTTATTTTTCTCGATGAATATGCAATAAAATTTGATTTTTACCTTATCAATATACTTCATATAATATACACATGTTCATGTAAAAACTTTTTTCCAAAATCCTCAGGAATTAAGGGATTTTTGAATTTTAAGAATTTTTTTTCGAATTTTTTCGAAAAAAAAATATTTTCAGAACAGCCTTAACGGCTAAGATTTAGGAACAATGTTAAGTATCAAAAAGAAGGAGGTCTGATATAGACAACATATATCGTTGAAGGTTGAAAAAATCTCTAATATTTGAGCCCAAAATTTCAAATTTTAATTTTTTGAAAAAAGAGGCCACCCGTATGTACGTTTATTTGAGAGGAGGAGGATTATATTTTTGAAAGGGTGAAACATTATGAATATGTTAATTATATAATAATATGTATTATTATAAAAAAGAAAAAATAAAGCACGTTAAAATTTTTCTTTCTTGATTTTTTACAAAATCTACTTAGAATTATGCAAAATATGACTAAATAATTATAAATTTCAAGTTAAATTTTAATTTTGATGAATAATTTAAATTTCAAAATATCAAGTTCAGTTCGACTATGTATGTAGTAATTCCTCAATAAAGTGCCAAAACCCTATTAAAATATATGAACATTTTCAACATTTTAATGTTTTTATTTAAAAATTTGTTGGAATATGAGCTTCAAACAATTATTATGTAAATAAAAATAATTAAATATATGTATTTATTCGTATTACAACCGTAGTAAGTCGATTCTTCCTTTCTTCTACTGAGGTTTGAATTTGATTTCGAATTGTAAAGAGATTCAAAGGGAAAATACTAGCGGATAAAAATACCTCCATGAAAGGGTCATAATGGACTCAAGTTGTATTTTTTGATATTTTTTGCTTTTCGAGCCTAAATAGGTAGCCAAGATAATGCCTAAAAATAAGGTTCTAAATTCTGAAGTTTACATGATCCTCTCGTGTGCACCCTTAACATTTATATTTAATATTTGATGTAGATTTATTTCTTGAATCATAATTCTGAATATTAAAAAATTAATTATGGGATTTCTCAACGGAATAAGGAAATTGCATCGTATTAAGTTAATTAAGAACAAACATAATAACAAAGTGTTTTAATATAAAATAAATAACAAAAAAATATAATAAAATATTATAATTATCTAAAATTTGAGAGCCAATATATCATACAAAGCCAAACTAGACCAAAATTGGCTTGTTTCCTCATTTCGGAAGATTTGATATAAAAAATATAAGAAATTATTCTTCAGGCTGATATGTTGATGGGTTTTGTAAGAGAGGTAGTGCTTCATATGGATCATATTTTGTTTTCGAAGCCACTAATAACGTATAAATTAAGAAAGTTGCTGTAATTATGATAATAATAAAATAGTGAAGATCATGATATAGATGTTATTCATTTTTGACTTTTGCCTTACAATTCTTTGTTTTTCTTTGATTAAATTTTCATCATCCGATTCATCATTATCATAATTCCTGTCATTTGATCCTTCATCAAATGGATCATCAGCAGCCCAAACGTGATGGTCATCTTCTTTAATTTCTTGATAATTTCCAAAATGAGATTCATTTTTCTCTGGAATTGGATTACTATTTGTATTTTCTATGTTTTCAGGGGCTACAGAAGGTGTCGGCGTTGGATCATCGTCTGAAGTCGAAATTTTGAACAATTGATTTTCTTGACTGTCAATTTCATCATTATCATCATCAAGGTAGTTAGGATTATCATTGTTGAACTCATCTACTATTTTAATAGGGATTTTCTTATTCCCTTTGATGATAAATGAATCTCGAGTATTATTATATTTCAAAACTAACCCTTCTGAATTTCCTTCATTGTATTTTGTCGTAATATATTGGAACGTTCCTTCAACGTAAGGTGAATTTGCGTTGAAAACGAAATAGATCGGTTTATCTGTAACATTATGGTAGAATTGGTTGTTTCCAGATTCTATCAACTGCTGCTCTTTGTCTTGCTTAAAGTAATTTAATGAATAGCCGGATCCTTGGGCTACAACGTTAAATTCAATAAGTTGGCTAGGAGAATGCATAAAGCATATCTTAGATGATTTACTTAGGGAAACGTTTGCTAATTTCGAATCTGAAATTTGGAATCTTTCGCGAGATCTGGATGAATAAAATACAGATTCGCATTTTGGAGAATCTGCTATAATGTCGATTTTAACGGTTGCTTTTTGAATAGATTTAAGACGGAATTCACACATTGCGTTTCCAGAATGGATTGCAAACGGACCATCTGCAGGTTCAATTTGAGTAATTTTTTGGTGGCCGAGTCCATTTAATATGTAAACTTCGACAATGATGCCATTCATTTCAGGGAAAATAACAGTAAGTTCATTTCTATCAAATGTGATTTCTCTGATTTGTTCTTCATCAACGTCGATGTAAACACTGCTAAAGCTGGATACATATGAGTCAACTGTTTCCTTAGTCGAAATTGATAAACAGATTAGCAGAAAAAAATTCATCAAATGTTGATTTTTTTGAATTTTATACTAGAATCAAAATCTCGAGCACAAAAGTGACATTGAATACTTGTAAGTATAGAATTTCCATGTAAACTATTCATTTCTATCGTTTTTTGTAGTCCACATTTCCTCACTCTCGATTTTACTCATAAAAATATTAAAAAATCACTATACAATATATAAAATATATATTTATATGGTTAAAACAATGTTATTTTTGCGAGATTTCATCTGAAATTAAAATTAGGGATTTTTTGAATTTTGAACTAAAATTTGTGATTGGCAATTATTGAATAATCGATTGGAATATGAAAGAAATACTTTAAAATTGAATAGAATGTGCCGATAGAATTTTTCTCACAATTTTAAAAAGTTGTCCAAATCCTATTTTTGATTGAGTTTTTGCAATTTTTATATATCAAGTGACAAGCTAAAAATCAAATTTTTGTTGTACTACTATTAATGCAACTATTTGTAAATTACGTGCATCCTTTGTATTCGAGTAATCAACACCGAGATTACATATTGTAAGAAAATCTTTGGAATTAGATTTTTATTTGAATTTAAATTCGGACAGTCTATTTCATGTTGCTTCGTGAGAATATATATAATTTGCAATATGAAAATGATATACATGATTCTGTATAAATAAGTAATTATGCTTTAGGAAACTGCTCGGCATTGCATGAGATCTAATCTTAATAATTTTTTAGATATGTTGAAATATGTAATATTTAGCTTCAATATCATTTATTATGGTGTGTCTTTGCTGTTTTGTGATATTGGATATCAATGACTCTTCTGTGAACGAAAAAATCATTAAATTCTAAACGTAAGCGAAACTCATTCAATTTATTATTAGAATCAAATCTATTTTAAAATTGAGCTATTTGATAAATCACAAAAGAATACTTTATATTTTTAGTCAAAATTTGTTGATAGGAGCTTATTGGCGCAATCTACTGATCTTCTTGGAAGGAGCGCACAGACCAGTCAGAAGCGCTCCTTCCAGGACCAGAAAGATTAGAAGGGGGCCCTGACCTTGAGAAAGGACCCCCTGCCAGGTCTTTCTCAAAGGAATATTGTGCCATTGTGGGAGACATGCAGTGGCAATGTCTCCCAGAATGACACTTTGTGACCGACAGGAGTGCATAATGCACTCTTGTCGGTCATTGTTTTGCAATCACTTTGTGATTGCAAAAAATTGTGCCATCCAGAGGCAATGTCTCCAGGAATGATATGTGCAGACCGACAAGAGTGCAGAACACACTCTTGTCGGTCAAAGTTCCGCATTCAAGTTATGAATGCGGAACATTGTGCCATTGTGGGAGACATGCAGTGGCAATGTCTCCCAGAATGACACATTGCGACCAACACGAGTGAATGGGACACTCTATTCTTTCAATTTTCCCATTAATATTTTTCTTTTTTTATTAGATCAATAAATAAACTATTTTAATGTTCATAATTACATAAATCCATATGAATCAATCCGCTATTTATTTAGTCTCTAATTTTAATAGCTTTTTTGAATCTTGCAATCTAAATAATTAATATATGCAGGTCATTTTATTTTTTTTCATAATTACATTATATATAATAATAGATTATATGTCCAAATCGAACAAATTGTGAATTTTTACTTTTGAATGGTATTCAAATTTACCCTCTCCTAAGAAAATGCCCCAACAATAGGTGAATTCAATTTCGGAAACTTCAGTGTTACAACCAGAGTTTGACTTATTCATATCCATTTTACTATTACTTAAAATTATTTGCATCCAAAATATAAATATTGATAATTAATCTGTATAAGTATTTTATTTAATATATTTTAGGTTAAATCATAGTATTATCGTTACAATCTGATGTATGATAGTATAAAGGATATGTTCTGATCTTCCAAATACAATTTTTTTTAGTTTGTAATATTCAATTGTATTTTTATGTGTTAACACAATTACATAGATACACAATGCTAGACTTAGTATGATACAATCGAATTATAAGTGTAAATAATGAGAAAAATCATAAAACATCATGTAATCTTTTAATTAATCTCATAAAAAACATAAAATCATATTTTTGTTCTATAATTAGATTTCAATATAGCATGCTTTAGTAGGGCCAAAAAGACTAACGTCTAAAGCATTCAATGATGTTTAGTTTTATGCTTATTCAGATATATTGTCATGATCGGACTGATTCTTTCTGATATAGGACTGAAGTAGATTATTTCTTTTTTCGGAATTGGTTTCAGCAAACTCAACCGAAATTGTCAACTATTTAATTGATCAAGGTGCCAAGAGTATCAATTAAATCCTCCCAAATTTTACCAATTGATAAAAAATAAACGTTAATAATAATTGATAATTTTTCTTAGTTCTAATAATAATTTACTTAGACAGTTATTCTATTGTAATAAAGATGAAATTGTTCAATATGTAAATGGAATGTAGCTTTCTTTATTTTATCAAGTTCTTAGCTTCAGGAAACCAAGAATATATCAACAATGCTCATGATATCCTTGATAACGAGAAGTCAAATGGGGTACTTGAACAAGAAATTCTTCAATTATTAACTTCAAATGAATTAGAAGATAGAGAAATCTTCATTTTATTATCTATTTCTAACAATTATAACGTTTACATCCCTATTGGTGCCATTTTAGATATGTTTAGTCGAAATTCTCAGTTAATCAACTCCGAGATAAGTAAATTATTAGCAAAATATATAACTTCCGATGCATCATTAATTTCCCAATTTCTTCAAATCTCTAATGACTTCATTTCAGATAAGTTAAATACCCTTTCTTTAATAGAATTTGATAAAATTTATTCAGAAGAGATACAATTGTTCTTAATCTCGATCATTGAAGGCAATTATTCATTAGATTGTAAAATACAAGCAGCTGAATTGTTAAATAACAATCCAGATGCATATTTAAACTCAAATATTGAACAATTCTTTCAATTCCTTTTTGAACAAGACATAACAACTGATACAATTAAGATTATCTCAAAAGTCGTTGGACTAGCAGAAATCGCCATTGAAAGTGAAGATCTATTTCACATTTTGTTAAATCTTTCAATTGAAGTTTCCAATGATATTCCTTTATCAAAAGAACTCAAAATTCCAATGACTGAAATCGTTGGTGCTTTGAATCAAGCATTTCTAGATATTAATTTTGAATATGATTTACAAGCATATGTTTTAACATGTATAAGACTATCTGTTCCAGGTGATGAAGAATTAAATGATTGGACAGAAAATTTAACAAATTATTTAGACTTATTTGAAAATAACGAAGATTTACGCGCAAAATGTTTAGATGCAATCATGTATCGCGAGGATCATATAGAATTTGCTGTAGATGTCTGCAAAGAAATCATAAATTCATCAATAAATGAACAAGTCATCGTTTTATGGATCTTATACAATATCTCTGGTAGATATGATGTTGATATACCAGATCCAATCTTGTTTGATAACGTTTTATGCTATGCGAATAATATTTCCTTCCAAATTTTGAATTCTAATTACAATCCTGACTTGATTCCAGTGATATCTGAGTATTTACAACAGAATAACTTTGTTTTTACAATTACTATTGCGAATGAACTTATTAACTGTGAAGAAGAAAGTTATTTTCAGCTGATTCCTTTGACAATACAAGCTGTTTCGAAGCTTATATCAGAAGACAATGATGAAACAGCTTTGAATCTAATTGTTACTATTCATTTATTGATAGAAGTTAATTTAGATATTTTATCTGGAATAATCAATGAGTTAATTGAGTTTATTCATGAACTAATACGAATATTTCATGGAAACAATTATCTTTTCGAAGAAATTGTTTCAATTATTAAGGGTGCACCCGTATGTACGTTTATTTGAGAGGAGGAGGATTACCCTCTCAATTTTGAGGGATTCGTTAGTTTATTTTCTCGATGAATATGCAATAAAATTTGATTTTTACCTTATCAATATACTTCATATAATATACACATGTTCATGTAAAAACTTTTTTCCAAAATCCTCAGGAATTAAGGGATTTTTGAATTTTAAGAATTTTTTTCGAATTTTTTCGAAAAAAAATATTTTCAGAACAGCCTTAACGGCTAAGATTTAGGAACAATGTTAAGTATCAAAAAGAAAGGAGGTCTGATATAGACACATATATCGTTGAAGGTTGAAAAAATCTCTAATATTTGAGCCCAAAATTTCAAATTTTAATTTTTTGAAAAAAAGGGCCACCCGTATGTACGTTTATTTGAGAGGAGGAGGATTATATTTTTTGAAAGGGTGAAACATTATGAATATGTTAATTATATAATAATATGTATTATTATAAAAAAGAAAAAATAAAGCACGTTAAAATTTTTCTTTCTTGATTTTTACAAAATCTACTTAGAATTATGCAAAATATGACTAAATAATTATAAATTTCAAGTTAAATTTTTAATTTTGATGAATAATTTAAATTTCAAAATATCAAGTTCAGTTCGACTATGTATGTAGTAATTCCTCAATAAAGTGCCAAAACCCTATTAAAATATATGAACATTTTCAACATTTTAATGTTTTTATTTAAAAATTTGTTGGAATATGAGCTTCAAACAATTATTATGTAAATAAAAATAATTAAATATATGTATTTATTCGTATTACAACCGTAGTAAGTCGATTCTTCCTTTCTTCTACTGAGTTTTGAATTTGATTTCGAATTGTAAAGAGATTCAAAGGGAAAATTAGCGGATAAAAACTACCTCCATGAAAGGGTCATAATGGAGTCAAGTTGTATTTTTTGATATTTTTTGCTTTTCGAGCCTAAATAGGTAGCCAAGATAATGCCTAAAAATAAGGTTCTAAATTCTGAAGTTTACATGATCCTCTCGTGTGCACCCTTAACGCATAGAGTACTCTCATATTGGGGGAGAAAAAACTAGTTTTTAATTGAAATTTTATTTTTTAAAAAATTGTAGTGGACAAAGACAGTATTGATTTCTTTGGATTGAATTTCAATTGTTCAAATTGTTTCTTATCTACTGTCTCCATATCCGAAATAATGCATTTCTTAAATGAAATTTCATTGATACTCCTAATTTTATTTCTTTTTTGTTTCAAAGAGTAATCAATCTGTTTCATAATTATCATGAAATAATGTTACAAAACTTTTATGAAATGGCTTCAAACTTCATGCTAAATGAAACATACATTAATATTGGCTATGATTTAACGTCTGGATTGATATGCGATGATAACTCTGTTGATTCTGTTTATCATCAAACATTATATGAAAGTTTCGTTCAATCATTAAAGCAATACGAGATTAATGATGATAATTTGGCATATGCAATGAAAATTGCTTCATTTTTCGTCAGAAATGGAGTAATTGAAAATTTCCCTGAATGGATTATTAATATATTACAAAATCCAGATATAGACGATATATTTTTCAAGTATTTCGGAAGTGTTTGGCTTTATTTCCTTAGAAATTTAGATTTATCGGATAATATCCAAATTTTTCAAGCAGTTATGACAAGATTAACTAATGAACCTCAAATGTCCAATTATTCTCAATGCGTTTTTATTACTTTTCTTCAATTTATTAAAGAAGATATCCAAAAGGCTACAAGCTTGTTAGAATCAGTTGGAATGGATATCAACTCGTTCATAAGAATGATGCTTAATATTAAAAATTTCGTCGGTTGGTTTGATATCAAAATATTACTCTCGACTTTGATGCTTTTCCGTGATAATCAAGTTAACGAAGATGATGATGATCCATTGATATACTTTATTATATCATACTTCATAAGAATTAGCGAAGATCATTTACTTGCATTCAAGAACCGAAATAATGTGCAAGAAATATCTGTTGCTTTTTGTGTAGAAGATCCTTTTTACAAAGAAAACGAATTAATTGATATTGACATCATTACATTTTTTGATAAGTATATTAGAGTTTTTGGAATTCCTGAAGTGTCACAAGAGTACATACAGAATCTTTATGACACTCTTGTCAAAACTCACAATGATTATTTTAATTTATAGAATAAACTATTTTTTGTTTGCTTTTATTCATGTAACCACAGAATATTACCCCATTTTTATAGGAAATAATACTTATCGATAAGCAAACTTCGAAATTTATTTGAAATATATTATTTTTATCAAACTACTCTAAACATATTATCATGCAAACATTCCCTTTTTGATTATTTTGAATCTCTTATTTTCAAGACTTACAAACAATTTATTTATAATTTACAAACAAAAACAAATTCTAGAGTGTTGATTTCAATTCTTCTATATCATAACTATATTTGTATTTTTCAAAAACTTTATCACTCCACTTTCCGTTTTCAATCATATATATCATCTGCTCTAAAGCAAATGTGAAGGTATAAATCGGAAATGGATGATCGTTAACAATTTTATATGGCAAATCTCCATTCGCATAAATCATATAAATGTTCAATGAATAGCAAACACCGACATTGGGTGCATCTAGTTTTCTATGGCCACAAATAAGAATATAAGTATTTTCATGTATGAAAATTGCATTCATTACCATTGATCCAGGACAAGTAATCAAAAATTTTGTCTCTGCCAACAATTTGGAAATTTCAATAACATTATAAACTTTTTCATCTCCAATTTGACCAAATTCATATTTTCCTTTATATTTTTCTTTAGCAATATTTATCAACTCATCGATATTAATCAATCTTCCCCATAAGCCATTTATTCTGTTCAAGAAATTGAACTTCGAGGGCTTTATTTCATTCAGATGGAGATTTTCAAAAAACTTTTTTCTCAAGAGTGGTAAACCTTCGACTAACAACGCATTAACACCTTCTTCGGCAACTAGGATATGACATTCACTTACATAATTCCATGCTTTTGTTAATTCGAATACTTTGTTCTCATCAAAATTCAGATATTTCATGTAATTTCTAGCATTTTCGATTCCAAAATTCACTAAAATTACACCATCTTCAAAATAGTTTCCTGGAATAAGAAGCAAGGCGCTTAGCATGTCGCATATAAAGTGACCAAATTCTGTGTGGTGTGAAAATCCAACAATGGCTTTTCTATAGCATTCATCGCCTTTTTTATATAAAATTGTATCTTTTGAATAAGAAGGGACAAAATTGATATATTTTTCATCTTTCATCACTCCATATGTTGATATATAGATGCTATCAAAGTGGAAGAATAGTCGTGTTTCTCGAATAAGGGCTATTGGAATGAATAAAATTGGATCTTCACTTAATGTTTTTGGCGAAATTTGTTTTGTGACCCTTTCAATAGGATCTTTTATAACAACTTCTTTAGAAAAATTAATATCAGGCATTTCATTAAAATTTATTGTCATAATCTTTTTAGGAAAATTATAAAAGTAAAAATTCGTATCTGTAATGAAATATTTTGTGCCAGTAAGCAGTATTGCATATAGAATTACCAATAATGTGAGATTGGGAATTAGATGCCTTTTAAGTCCTCGATGTTTAAACCTCATATAAAAAGTGACATCTAACTTGATTTCTGACTATGTTATTGAATACCAAAGAAGTGATGGAAACTATTCTTTCTATTTATGCAGAAATTCAATCATTTCTGCCAAAATCAGAAAAAAATTACTGAAATTAATCGTATTACAGTATTTTTTATTACAAACAATAATATATAGAGAAATTATATTGATTCACATATATTTGCTTCACATTTATCATCTTTTGTGAATGAAATTCGGTCTGTCTGCGGAAAAGTGGGAATATAGTAACTGGATTGTATAGATATCGCAGTTTTAAGAGGATAATTATGCGAGGTGCAGTATTTTCTCTTTTCTGGATTATTAACATTTGTTCCTAAGAAAATTGGAGTTTGATAAACTTTAAAATTATAAGTATTGGCAAGTCTTATTAAAACACTTTGCAATGACTCGTCATCAACACATTCTCTCATCCACATCTCGTGATTTTCTGTTAAATATAGAGAAAAATCTCTTCTGAGAGCAATTGCTGCATTTTGTGGACACACTTGAGCCGCAATTACCGATGAATTTGAAGATTTAAAGTAATCAAATAATGAATTAATTCGTTTCATATCTAACCATGTATTATCGAATATTAATAAATGCGTTTCGGCACCACTTGATGATAAATATTTCCTCATTGATTTGAGAGTCATTCTACATATATCTGAACGAGATCCGTGTAATGGAAGTTTATCTTCGTGAATTATTCTATAACTTGACATAAGAGTTTCGTTAACTTCTGCTGTAGTAAACATATATATACTTATTTTTGCGTTTGACATTGCAATTTGATTAATTTGTTGTAAATTTTTTGATGAAATTTCATTGTTTGTGGTAATAGAACTGATAAATAGTGCTTCACTATCGATTTCATCATCCCAAAGTTTCAGATGTTTGGCATCTTCGCTTTCTTTAATATATGAATTCGAATAAAATATAGAAGTAACACCTTTTGTTTGAAAAATCGGACCTAGAATGTAGAAAAAGCCAATTGTTACACTTAATGTTACGGTGACTATACTAAGCTGATGAAATCGTCTATAACGTAACATTAAATTTAAATTTCATTATGAGAAAAATAATTTCCTATGTATTTATCAATCACTTACTGGCAAGCTTTTTAATTCATTTTTTGAAAAAATTAAAATTTGAATGACAGAAATAGCGCATAGAATAATAAAAAATTTATACTAACGCTAAATAAAGATGCTATTTCAATGACAAAACATTAAGTAATCAATAAAATATAAATTAGAATTATAATTGAGCGACCATTAATAGCATTTGTTTTGAGTTCACTAAACGAACGTGTATAAGTTAAGTTCAGATATAATGATTAAAAATTCTGATTTCTCAAAAGGGGGACACAACCAAAGTCCCCCTGAAATTTTGCATGGCCTTTTCTTCCTATGACACATCTTCACCAGGAAACACTCCAGAAGGCTATCAAGGACGTTCTTGAGGGCGCCAAGACAAAGAAGCGCGGATTCCTCGAGACAGTCGATATCCAGCTCAAGCTCAAGGGCTACAACGTTTCTAAGGATAAGCGTTTCGTCGGCTCCATCAAGCTCCCACACATCATCCGTCCAAACGTTCGCATCGGTGTCCTTGGTAACAAGGTCCACTGCGAAGAAGCTCAGAAGCTCAACATCCCAGCTTACGATCTTCCAACACTTACAAACTTCAACAAGGAGAAGAAGGTCGTCAAGGCCTGGACAAAGCGCCACCACCTCTTCCTTGCTTCCCCAGATGTTATCGGTCAGGTCAACAAGGTCCTTGGTCAGGTTTACACACGTGCTAACAAGTTCCCAACAAACATCAAGACAGATACAGTCGCCAAGGTTGTTGATGAAGTTAAGCGCACAGCTAACATTCGTCTGAAGAAGTCCGTCGCTTTCGGTATCCCAATCGGCAACGTCAACATGACAGAGCGCCAGGTTTTCGAAAACCTTACACTTTGCACAAACTACGTTGTCACACTTCTTAAGAAAGGCTGGCAATCAATCGGCTCCATCGTCCTCAAGTCTACAATGGGCAAGGCTCACCGTATCTACTAAATAATTTTTGGTATTTAGATAACTTGCACTTTTTCTATTTTTGTAGAAAGCCAAATCGGATAATTTTTTTTTAATTTGGATTTCGGATTAGAATAATTGCAAAAATATATTAATGCATCAAAAGTATGAAAAATAATCAATGCGTTGATTGTAAATGTGAGAGATTTTGATCAATATTTCTCGAAATGTGTTTTCAATTGAGACATAAGTTGGTGGGATAAGATTGTCTGAATTTAAAGTTGAAGTGCTTAACTCGTTAAGTTTCTTTAAGGAATCACCAAACAATAGGGAAATATTACACTTTTCAATTAACGTCTTTTAAAAATCTTTCTTTGATGACAAAACTTTCGAAATCAACTCCAGCAAATTTCTCAAAAATTCATATCGTTGACTGGAGCTTAATCGAAAGTATAGATCCCATGGTGTTAAAAGTTACTAATGATAGGAAATCAATGAAAAAAATTGTGAAAAACTTTTTAAATGCAAATGCTTTATTTAAAGATCCATCATTTTGTCCTCCAGAACTAGTTCTGAAGTATTTTCAAATCTTACAAGTATCTGTTGCAGAATTAATCAACGAAAATAATCAATTACGTGAAACTCTCAATGAAAAGACGCAAGAAGCCAGAAAAACGAAACTTAAGTTACAACAAAGTCAAACAATTCAACTTCAAGAAAAAGCTAAAACTCAAACTCTTCCAAAAACAATATTCCAGTGCCCATTTTGCCCTAAAGCATATTACACACAGCATTACGTTCATAAGCATATTGCGAAAGATCATCAAGAAGATGTTAACAAACTCACAAAATCTGCACCAGTACCAACGAGAAGGAAAAAATCTAAGCAAAGTAAAGAAGATATTGATGCTTTAAGAGGTGAATTACAAGCAATGTTTGACAAGTTCGATACTACTACTAGACAAGAACAAGAGGAACAATATGTTCGCTATTCGAAGAGATTCCGTAATTTAGAACAAAAGATAGATAATTTAGGTCAAAACGATAAGTTCAAGAAACCACTTATTAAAAGAAAGAATGATTTAATGAACTCTTATGCAATTTATTCTTCTGATCAAAAGGGAAGCGATTCATCATCTAGTGAGTCTAATAACAGTTCAAATAAGCGCACAGATAGCCATCAAAATAGTAATAAGGTTGAAAGCACAACTCTTGGCGAAGGAACAATCGATAAGAGTAGGGGTAATTTTAGCTAAAAGTGACACGCCTGTAAAAAGTGACACGCCCGTGAAGGGTGTGATTACCGATCGGTAATTTCGACAGTTTAGAATTTAAAATTTTTTATGGAACTGTTGCGAGTTTCATAAAGAATTTAAGGAATATAAGCAAAGATTTGAATCAAAATCTTAGACCTAAGCCGCTCGATTCGCTCGCGGCTTCCGCGAATTACAGATCAGCAAAGATTTGAATCAAAATCTTCGAACTAAGCTGATCGCTTCGCTCGCGGCTTTCTTTATTATTTTAAATTTGCATATTTCCATCAAAAGTTCATAAGGTAAAAAATTTCGTTTATATTAAAAGGTAACTAAACTCCTTTCGCCGATCCGATTTGCTCCATATTTAAAATATAGCTTGCATATGTAGAAGAAAAGCTAATTTTGAAGTACGCCCCAAATCCACCAACAGGATTTCGAGCTACTAAAAAGGTACTTTTAAATGTGATTTTTTTTATAAAAAATTAAATTTATTTTAAGATCAGACTAAAAACTAATTTTATGGAAAATCTATATCGACAAATTTATTACTTATTGGGTATATAGATTTTTTGATTATGGCGATTATGTCTGATATGCTTCCAATAAGCCAAAACACATTTCATACTGATTTCTATAAAAGGTATCTTTATTATAGAAGTGTAAGCTATATCTGTTTGTTTTTTTATTATAACAAATTCAAAATTCTCTTATAAGGATTAGATGAAATCTGTATTACTAAATCATTAGCTAAATGAAGGTTCAAATAGAAAGTAAATATCAATTTATATGATACTGAAACCAAATAGTTCTTTTAATAAAAGATAACACGCTGAAAATTATTGAGTATTTGCAAATCTCAAAAATCTATTGGTGAATTTGGCTCAACTTTTAAAATTATAACATCCATATCAAATCATAAAAGCAGACAAAAATTAAAGCCAAACCTATCGGCCAATTTTTTTTTGATATTTTGATTTTTGAGGTATACTTTTAAAAGTGGATTTAAAGCACTTATGAAAAAACATTAACTTCTGTCGTTATGATTATTGATTTAGACAATAATGATTTTAATCTTTGATTATCAAAACACTAAAGTCATCTTTTTAACATTTGCTTGGTAGCATTAACTCAAGTCTAAAGTACTATTTTATGTGGCACTCTTAGAATTTTTGTATTCATTGTACACGCTGAAATAGTACCATTAAAGTTATGGCGGACTTTCAAAAAATAGTTTGGTCACCTTTTTATATTATTGCAAAATAAAATCTTCATTATCAAAATAATATTAAAAGATAATATAATATAATTTATAAACAACTATTATTTAATAAAGTTTAATTGCCAAGGTCCATCTAATTTTTTGATTTTTAATGTTTTATGAATTTTATTTATCATGTATATATCTAATGAAGATTATATATGTAGAAGATAAGTACCTTAATATGTACGTAAAAATTAATGAAATTTATTTTGAATGTAGAACCGAGCAATTTTCAAATTTTGTGCTTTTTTTGAATTTTCTCGATACCAGATAAGTTGTGTTGGCTAAATAATATATGGATACAATGTGTCTTATAGATGAATATATGCACAAAGTTTAAGAGGCCATTTTCTTTCAGAAACCGAGATTTGTGAATTTTTTCAAATTTTGTGCTTTTTTTGATATTGAAATTTCATTTCATTTTTTTGATGCATATCGATGCACCATGCGAACTTAAAGAAAGGCTATCTTATATAGATGCTATGAAAGCTGTCATTGATAACGAATGCCATGCAGGTTGTCCATATCAATTAAAAAAAATCCAAATTTAGGGGGAACAAAATTAAAATTCAGGTGCAGTGCAGATAAATGTGAAGCATGTATCTCATTTCTAAAGGATGATGAAGAATATATCCTAACAGAATATAATGGAACACATAATCACAATCAAATCAAAGATGAGACAAAGAAATACCACACATTATCACAATGCTATCGTCGGGTACTTATTAATTTTATAAAACAGGGGGGTGATCCGAAAATGGCTCAAATTGAATGCGACAAAAAACTTGATCTGGATGATCCACTTAACAGGCCATCTTTTTTGAATGCATCTTCAGATCAAATGAAAACAATTCAGGAAAAAGGAAATAAAAAGATCAAAGGTATTCAAAAGTACGATGATAATCAATTCAAGTCAACTCAATTATTTAAGGGTATCAAAGAACAAGAGTCACCAAAAGATTTAATTTATTTCGATGTCGATAATTACAACAAACCAAAGAAATTAATCTTTTATTATGCTTCTTTCAAATTTCTGGACATAATCAAAATTGTGAAAGAGCATTTTATTGATGCAACCCATTCATTACTTGAATTTAAAATGTTGTTTTACATGATATCAGCCAAATTTCCAAATACACATGCATTCCCAATTTTTCAATTTGTCGTTTATCCAAACACTTCAGAAAATATTGCATTCTGTCTCAAGGCATTTTTTAACTGGGCAAAAGTAAAACCAAAATATTTTATGTCAGATTGTGCACAAGAAATCGAAAATGCGATTATCAACTCTTTTCCAGAAGTTATCCTTCATTGGTGTGCAGTTCATGTAATGAGGGCGTTCAGAAAAAATTTGAAAGATTATGCATTTGAGAGTTCAGACAAATTGATATTAGATACAAAAATGAACTATCTTGCATACGGCAGAAATGGCAAGAAAGAATGGATTGAACCAACGTTCAAAAAAATTCTGGAAATAGCCGAAAAATTCCCAGAATTTTCAAAATACATACAAAATCAATGGATATCAAACCAAGAAAGATGGACAGCCGCTGAAAGAGATGAAAATTTAGCTCTCACAAATAACATTTCAGAATCGATTAACAAAAAAATTAAATATTACTACTTTGGCGGAACAATTTTCATGAGATTTGATCGATTTGTGATGAAATTAATCGATTTTATCGTTCCTTCATTTTATTACAGAATTTCTCAAGATATAAGGCTCAGAGACAAAATTCCAAATCCGTTGCCATCTGAAAAAAAGCCAAAAAAGTCTACAATCAGACTGGATACAGAAAAATGTATAATGCTCACTGATAAAATTAAATCGTTAATAGTTAACTCATCAGCAAACTTAAATACGCTTCAATTGGGTTTAGATGACCTACTTGATAAAGTTGTCAAGGCAGCAAAGGTTCAAAAACGAATGACCCAGTATTTTTCGAAATTAAGTATCCCAATGGAAATCAAGCTTAGTATTCTCACGCAAATTACAGAATTTGGATGCAATACCCCTCAATTCATTGTTGAGAATGCCAAGTCTTTTCAAGATAAAATTATTACAGATTTCCACCTTCAAATTTATACAACATTATAAAAATTTATGAATAAAAACTTGATATAAAATAACATTTTTATTTTTACTAAGAAAAAAAGGTTTTTGATAATAAATTTATTTTATTTCGAAAAAGTAGCAATAATCGTAAAAGGGTATTGATAGGCTTGCTAAAGTAACTAATTTTAGCTGTCAAATACTTTTGTATTTTGAAGTAAATTAGTATAAATTTGTTTTTACTTTTATTTCGAAAAAGTAGCAATAATCGTAAAAGGGTATTGATAGGCTTGCTAAAGTAACTAATTTTAGCTGTCAAATACTTTTGTATTTTGAAGTAAATTAGTATAAATTTGTTTTTACTTTATTTCGAAAAAGTAGCAATAATCGTAAAAGGGTATTGATAGGCTTGCTAAAGTAACTAATTTTAGCTGTCAAATACTTTTGTATTTTGAAGTAAATTAGTATAAATTTGATATTATTTTAACTCCCTTTGAAAACCTCAATTTTCCATACAGAGGGAACGGGAATAGCATCCAATATTCCCTGAGAATGGTTGCGCATTCTCAGTTCCCTCTATATTTCGAACGAAGCTCTCATCGGTCTTTTTTTTAATACTAAACGTTTTTTTTCCCTGTCACTTTTAGCTAAAATTTGGGTTTGCCCAATCGATAATCCATCAGATTCTCTAGAAAATCAATTTGTAATAGAATCATCACATACATTCGATTAAACCTCTTTATTTGTTTGTACGAATTTCTTTACTTTTTTTTAAGGGGGTATGTTTGAATAGTTGTAAATTTTTTAAAAAAATCACCTTTTCTCCATATCGCGGCAATATTTTTGGACAAACATAAGTGCTATGAGCACAGTCATAGTCAGAGTAGGTACTGACAAAGTTTCGACGATCACACTATTCTACGTATGTTTGTCAGTTACTAACAAAAAAATTACTTAAAATTGAATCAAGTCATTAAATACAAAACTAGAGTTTGCGAAAATGGTAGAAATGATCATTGCTACTATTTCCCCATAAAAATAGGAGAACAGAATTTTAATACACAGCAATAACGTATGTAATTTAGCATGAAAATTGTAAGTTAAAGCTGTGTATTAAAATTCTGTTCTCCTATTTTTATGAAGAAATAGTTGTAATGTTAGTTTAAAACAAGAAAAATTATGAAATCAAGATGACTCCAAAATATCAGATAGGGTCATTGATACACCATCAAAAATAAATCTGGATGAATATGGAATTAAATGTGCATCAATTTTAGTAGATATTACCAATATTTTCATCAAAGCTATTTGAGAATGCGCAAAAACGCCCAAGTTAATGATTGCTCAATGATACCAAGACCAGTAAATACTTTGAGTAACTTTTTTTTGAAAATAATTTTTTAATCTGTTAAAAGAGCATAAAGGCATATACATTGATATTAAAAAGCAACGTAAAATTAATCTCAAGCTTTATTGACTTCATAAATAAAATAAAGGTGATAGGGAATTCTTTCTCTCTAAAGTACTCACAAAATCTAGATTGAGAGGCGGTCAATGACTTTTGAGGGGAAATTAACGCATGGAATTTAATATTATTTAGGTTGATATTCTTGCTTATTATTTCAGAAAAAAATCTTAAAAATTTCAATATGAAAATTGAAAGCAATTCAAAAAAATTGCTAACATGTAAATTTTAATATCCTATGCATAATTTCATATTTTGAACATTTTTTATTTTTGTTTAAAACTTAAAATTTTGCGAATTTAATATAATTTATAAAATATAATACGTATATATATTTAAAATACACTAAATTTAATTGTTAATTGACGTTTTTGGGAATGAATTTTATCAAAACATGCCTGAATCCGAAAATTTGAAAGAACGAATTACACAATCATATATTTAGAATTCAAAATACAAACTTAAAGATTGTATACGTTTAAAATTATTCAGATTGTGTTTGATTTCCACTCATTCTGTTTCTTTTGAACTCTAACACTAACATTTCATGATGATTACATGATCCATTTATCCATGGTTGAATTGTTCCAGATTCTACCAGAAAATCAATCCAAATTTCTCAATGCATTCATGTTGATTGGACAAAATTTAAAATTTATCAGCCTGTTTCCAGAGAAACTCATATATTCCCTAATGAAATATAATTTTTGCTACATTTATTTCAATCAAATTTCAAAAAATTGACTGCAGAGCTTGAAAAGGTGATGAATCATGTTGTTATTAGATGTACATATTAGATTTACTATTTCCAAAAAAACGCTCAAATTTGAATAGTTTTTAGAAAATTTGGAATTACACTCCTTACATTATATATAATTAAATGTTTAAATTTTATTTATTTTTCCCTTTTAATTTTATAACGTGCTCTATCAAAACTAACCTCTCAATTGAAGGCCACAAAATCTAAGTAGTGAGGGTACACAAATTTTGTATGGAGTACGGTTCAATTTTTGAGAGCCTCACTACTTAGATTTTGTGACTACCTTAGAATAATGAGCCATAAATTAGGAAAATAATTTCTATTGCATATCCATATCCAGTATTGGTGTACAATTATCCAAGTGATAGTCACACAATTTTGAAAAAAAACATCTTTTGAATGATTGAATGAAAATATCTAATAAAAAAGGTTCTTCGCAATTTATTTTCAATCACAACCGAATATGTACATTTTAATAATCTATGCTTTATTGGAAGAATAAAAATTACTATCATTAAATTCTGAAAAACAAATAAATATATCCACAGCCTATAGAACAATAAAAAAATTAGATTAAACTATAAAACAATATCATAAACTATTGAAATTATTTTTAAAGTTTAACCGTTTTCAGCGATACATTTCACAGAAAATATTGAAAAGTAGTAATTTATGCCGACCAAAAAAAGACATCGATTTAATGTATGCACTAGTATTATAAAGAAATACAGAACAATGAAAATATTTTCTCAATATTTATCGCCAATAATTACAAGTACAATAGGATAAGCAATTTTCAAATGAATTGATCTCGATGCTAACGTGCTAATTCAATAGGATTATATTTTTTGAATTGATACACAAGGCGATGTTAAAAACAATTGATACTATTAAAAGAGATATACATTTTTTCATCATTTTATTTCATGTAAAATGAAATGTTCGAAAAATTGTGAGTATTGAAAATATTAGTTTGTGAAATGGAGCAACCTGCTGAACCACACGTAGTTCAGAAAGAGACGCTCGTTTCAGAATCCACCTCATCAGAAGAGCCAAAGTTTACAGTCGGAAAGCTATCTTGTTTAACAGAAGTTTTCTTACCATGTCTATGGTTGTACGCTGCTTGCGAAGGTTCTTACGGAAACACACTAGCCCATCTTGTATTCATTCTTTTGTATGCGATTGGTGTCAATTCCGTTCACAAAATGTCCACAAAATTCCATAGATTACCCTGCTCTATCATTTTGTTCTCATTAATCTACTCATTAGCATATTTTATCACAGAAACGACTATTTATTACTTGCCGAAGAACAAAAGACCAACCATAACAAAAGCGATGAAATGTTTTGATTTCTTCGACAATGTTGACAAAATAATGTTCAAAACAACATTTGTTATTCTCCAAATGATCATTATCTTTGTTGATTTCATTTATTTAGCAAGTCGTACAACATTTGGACTTGCGTGGTATTCCCAGGCCCGAATTGTCATCATGCGCCACGTGATGATCCTCATTCGTCCACTTTTCCTATTCACGCAGTCCGTGCTCGTTGCCTCCACGAATTCCATTTATTTAACCTTTATGCCTGTAATTTTTGCACTCAAAATTATCTCATTTTGCTTACTATCCTGCAATATGCCTAAGTTTGTTAGCCATATCTACTGGACTTTATATGTTATCGGTGATATTGGTTTCATTGCTTACAAAGACCAGAGTTTCCACGGAACAGCCACATATGCATGGGTTCCAAGATGGGCTGTTGTCTCCGCTGCAGGTGTAAACCTTCTATTAATTGGCGCTATCATTGGATGCAACAGATACACTCATTCTTTCCCAATACGCTTACTAAAGAACGTCAAAGTACCCGGATGGTTCTTACACATTATTCCATACATCGTAATTGTTACGTCAGGCCTCTTCTGCATATTAGAAGACTCATGGCAGTCATACGGTGTTCTTGCCTTCGCCAGCTTCACGTCATTGTTCGGCGTTGACTTCCTACAACGCTCCTCCCGCTTCGTTTTGACAGCAATGGCCGGTGTTTACTGTGGTCAGACGTTATATTTCTACATTAAGAAGCAGCCAGGCTTCCATCCGAAATACAACTTCATTATATGCGTATTACAAGCCATATCTGCTGTATTTGTCCACTGTACATCAAGCAAAAAGGTTAATCTTGATAATGAATCTCCAGAACCAGAACACAAGTGGATGAATAAGATCATTCAAAGCGTTATCGTTACAATATTCCTTGGTAATGTTATTCTTAACGCGATCTTCTCTTCAAAGTTCAATTTCTTAACATATGATATTCCATTAGCCTTTATCTTACTTCTTATGATCTTTAAGCTCTTTTACAGATGGGCATGGACAATTCTCAACTTAATTACATTCGCTTCAACTTCTATTTACTTCATTGCTCCATTATTGAAGAAACCATTGAATATTCCATGGTTATTCGATGGATCAGTTACTACAGAGCCAAGAAACATGCTTTCTAAAGTATGGCCGTTCTTAATTCTCTTCCTTCTTACTGCAATTCAGAGATATTACTACAGACCACCTCCAAAGATCGTTATCAAGTTCTCCAAGACTGTTGGTGTCTTCCTCGCATTATGTTTGTCATGCATTTACATTGATAACTCCATCTTTACTGTTTTATATCAATTATTGATCGTTGCGAACCTCTTTTTATACAAATGGAACTATGTTTTGATGGTTATCAACACTATTCTTACATCATTACAGATCGTTGTCCTCGCAGCGTTCGGCTATGATGAAATTAAGAACAAATTTACGAATTCTGGCTTTTACTTCAAGTTCTTTGGTATCCAGACAAAGCCAGATGTCATCAAAGACCAAATGAGCCCCATCATCATCCTTATTATGTACACTTTCTTCGGATCAATCGCGAGAAAATATGATACAACGGAAGATGGCAAGATTCCTAAATGGATAACACTTATAATCGATAACTGTTGGGCCATTATCCTCAAATTCTCATTCTACTTCTTCTGGTCCGCGATCTTTTTGATGGTCATCGTATCAAAGGGTGTTTCCATCGTTGGTGCTGTCATGCTCATGGTTCTTGGTATCGTGAAAGTCTTAGGCTGCAGAACGAAACAAATTGGTGTTGTATTATACGCTATATTTATTATAGATGTATTATTTGTAACAACGGTCGCTATTGTCAATGCTCCTGAGAAAGTTACAAAGGTTGTCAACCTCATTGGCCCACTTTGCGATACAGTTCTTGCCAAATTTGCGAATGTTTTAGTTTGTTTATGCGCATTCATCAACATGAGCCACTTCGATACGAAAGAGATCCATCCAATCATCACAAACATCGGTGATTGCTTGGCTTCCATCTTGATTTCCGGTGTAGAATTCACATTAGTTGTCATGGCCATACAAGAAAACAACATTTTGAACATCTTTGGTGTTGTTTTGGTCTTGATCATCCTTTTGCACCCAAGAATGTCGTTAAGAGGTGCAAGAATCATAACAATTATTTTGAATTTTGTTTTAGGATATGTTTTAGCACTTCTCATTGTCAAATTCAACAAGCATAACACATGGTATGACTACTTGTTGTTGACAAATATCAAGATGATCGAAGTCTTCTACATATTCTTGACAATGTTCGCTTTTTCACTTTTCTGCGAATTCGGAACCCTCAATGTATCAGTTGGCCGATCATTCTTAACAGCCTACTTCCCAATGATACTCTCCGTGGCCGCAACTGTCATATCTTTCTATGCTCATACTTATTTAACGATGGTTCACACAATAATGCTCTGTGTCAACCTTCTCTTCTCATTCTACACCAATGACTTCCATTTGCGATCGTTCACTGTTGTTATTTGGTACGCATTTGCCATCATATTAATCAAATCTCTCAGACCATTGAGATTTATCCCACAAACCAACTCTGTGTTCGATCAAGCGATGGGTACAATGAAAGCGGACAACCTCCAATGGTGTGTATGCTTCTGGTTGGAGTTCTTATTAAAATGTTGCTTGGATTCTCCACTTTACAACGAAGTCCACGCGAAAGAACTCAAGAGAGCGGAGTTCAGAAGAAACAGAGCTCACATTATTGAAGAAATGTTTGAAATCGATCACAAGTATTGCGATCAAAACTTCAAACACACATTGGAAGTCCTCAAATCTGGCATTGTCAACTTGAATTATACAGATGGAATGGATGTCGATGCTGATTTGATCAAATTCTCTTCAAGTAGAGATCCAATTGAAGAAAACAAAGAACAGCAGAAGAAAGAAGAAGAAAAACCAAACGAAGGAGAAGAAAATCCTGTAGGTCCAGATGGAAATCCTGATCAACCTCCAATGAGTGCAACGAAACAGTTTTACATGACAATATTAAAGTTCGTTTTGATGTGTCTTAAAACTGCATTTTTGTGGGTTATTGACAAACTGATTGTTTTAGTCAGTAACTTCACAGACATCAATTTAGAACCAGGTGTTCACACACAGTTCTTAGAAAGATTAAGAGACATGATGAATGAAATGGTTGAAACATTTGTTAACACTAATGTTTTGACAATTCCTCAAGCATATTCTGGTTTTGTTCAACAGATTCCGATGAGTTATTTATATCATTTCCAGATATTCCATAAATTACAGATCAAAACAATTGATGAAAAGAACAGATTCCCATTGTTTTATCATTACGTGAAATTATGTTCAAGACAGTTTATTCCTGCATTGTTATTAGCAATGTGTTTCTATTATCCTATGGAAGAAAGATCAATTTTCGCATTGTTTATGTTCTTTTTGGCTTTGATTTGCGTTGCTTTCAACGTAGAAACATATATACCATTTGTAATAACATCAGGAATATACATGTTCATGAGATGTCTCTTAAGATCATATGCATTAGATCCTTTAGTTGAAACATTCATTGGAAGTTTAGAAGAAAATCACAGGAAATTAAGAGTTTCTGTTTGTTTCGGTTTGGATTTGAATGTTGGTGAGAAAGCATATCTATTAATTGTATTTTGTTTGGCATGCGCAAGTCAGACATATGCTTTTACTCATCCATTCCAATCACGACGTCCAAATCAACACAAAGTTGTTGATCCTGAAGTTGCACAGCCGAAATTAACATTTGGAGAGAAATTGTTAAGAAGAATCAACATGAAATCATTTATTCAATACAGTTTCAACAAAGTTGTTTTGTTGATTGATGTCATTGCATTCTGTATTGCTTTGTTCTTCTATTTGAGTTGGACTGTTTCTTCAGATGCAATTTCTTTCTTCTCAGGATCAGCAACAATTACTTATGATTTCGTTTTCTTCTTAATGGGTAATTTCATCTTTGTTTTGCTTAACCAATGGGTTATTTTGTCAAAACACAAGTTGTGGTTGTTCACTTTCAACTTCTTATATGGTATCTTCACTTTCATCTACATGACTTATTTGATACCTGTTTTCACAGATAATTCTTGTTTCGAGCATTCAACATTTTGGATTTTCTACTTCTTGAGAATTCTTTCTGAAATTATTTACTCGTGCAACATCATGTTTGGTTTCGCTAGAATGCCTCCTTCACTTGGAAATCCAAATGCTTTGTTCACATACATCAAACTTCTAACAATTACAAAGACACCTTTCTTGTTCGAGTTCATACAATTAACGAAATGGCTCGCGTGTACAACATCATTGAATATGTTCGATTTCATGATTATCGGACAATTGAGATCAAAACTTTCGAAACAAGTCGCTTTGTTAAAGTTATTCCCAGCGAATTCGAAGAAGAAACGCCATACATTAGGTATTTTTTTTGTTATTGGTTTGTTCTGTTTGTTGTTTGTTCCTTTCGTTGTTATGATGTCTTCAAGTTCTACATCAATTCCAAACGGTGTAAAAGTTGCAACAGTTTCATTAGGTATTTATGGATTACCTGAACTGTTTACAGGCACTGTTTTACCTGATGATACAACGTTGATGACTGATTCGATGCAGAAACACGTCATGACAATGAATGATAAGACTTTGGAGCCTTTCTTCGCAAACTCAAGAAAGGAATCACAGTATTTCACGTATCCAAGTATAACTATGACTAACTGGATCATTTCAGAGTCTTCAGCAAGATTCGCAATGAATACAATCAAGAACACATCGAATCCAATATTTATTCCTTATGTTACATTTAAGTTTACTGTTCAAACACCAACAACAAAGAAGAATGTCGACCAAATAACAATAACAAAGAACGGTAAACAACTTAAACCTGAAGTATTGGAAACATTGTACAAAGCTCTTGAATGTACAATGAATCTTGCAACTCCTGAGAATTTGTCATTTTATTTGGATGATTTAGTTCCTTTGTTCTTCATCATTCCTTTGGCAAAGGATGCAAGTGTTGTATCGAATTACTACTTCAATACAACATTCACATTCGAACAGTCTACAAATGGAAACTTCTATTGGTCAATCTCTACAAAGAGAACTGCAAAACAACCTGTAGATGTCCAGGAAGGACCAATTGGTTCCGTTGTTTTCTCAAAGCCAACTTACGACGCTGTCATCTCGACTTTGATGTCGAAGACAGGTGGTGGTTTCTACGGCTTGTACGTCTTCTTCACATTGAGCTGCGGTAAAATGGTGAGAAGCTTCATCAACTCTTTCTTCACTGATTTGTGGATTGATAAGATGGGTAAGCCAGAAATCTTCTTGAACGTAATTTTGGCAATCGAAGCACATAGAAAGGCTGGAGATTTGAAGTCAGAATATGCAACTGCTATGATGTTGTTGAATACAATTAGATCTGTACACAACTTGGTGAAGATTGGCGGAACTCTTCCTATTGATCAGGAAGAAGCAATTAAAGGAAGAGGTGCAACCTTCATCTAAGAATTTAATATATTATTTATACATTTTTTTTTTAAAATCATTGTTTTATTTTTAATTATTAATATTATTTTTTTATCTTTACTATCTCCTAAATATTCATTTCAAAATAATCGTTTTTGAGATTTTTTTTGGACTCTATTGATAACGGATTGGTCTGAGATCTTACGTTACTTATCCAAGAACCTCTCAATTTTTTTTGCAAGATTTCAGGATTTTCTAAATAAGTAACTCATAAAAAAATTATGATGTTCAAATCCGACTCTTTCTTTTACATTCTATAATCAATCAACAGAAAGGCGAATTGATTCAGATGAAATTAAGTGGACTCATGTGATTTCATTAGGCATCCCATCAAAAAATTTCCCACTCTCACAGTCATTTTGTCTTGGTTTACGATATCGTTCCATCCAAGCGCATTATATATACAATTAATATCGATTGGTAAAATATTTCACAAGATGATATGAAAAAACAATCTGAATAAATATATTTACATTTCAATAAAAACATAAAAGAATGAATTAGGAACAGGTAATTTAAATGAATCATGTTTACAAGTAATAAGTTCACAGTCTTTGAGAACTGTTGGACTTAAGCTACTAGATTCAATTAGAGTCTGCCTAAATGAAATCGATTTATTCTGAACAATCATTCCACAGTGAAGGTTTGAGCATCCAATGAAAGCAGATTGTTCAATATTCTTCACGCATAAAGGAATATTGATATACTTGAGGGATGTACAATATGCAAATGCCGAATGCCCTATGCTCGAAATGGAATTGTCTGGAATTAAAATACTCTGAAGATTCCTACAGCCATAAAATGCATATGGTGAAATGGTTTGCACATTCTGCAAGAAGCTGAAGAAATTGATGGGTGAGGCAGGAGGAAAACAAATCAATGAAGTTCGATTTTTGTTGAAGAGACCTCCATTATCTACAACAAAGTATGCACTATCTATGCACTCTATTTTTTTGAGAGAACTACATCCTTCAAAGATGAAATTTCCTAAATTCATTAATGCACATCCTGCTGGAATTGTAAAGACGATCAACAATGAGCAATCGCGAAATACACTGTCAGAAAGATTTACTGTTGATAATGGAACAGTGAATGATGAAATAAGAGTCGAATCGAAGGCATTTGAACCTATCGATAAGATAGAATTCGGAATCTTCTGGATTTCGCGTAGTTTATGCATATTAGAAAAGCAGTATTGATTTAATTCTGTCATCGAACTTGAATCCGGAAACACAATCGTCTCTATTGATTGTTTGAAAACGCATAGATTCCAATATAAATAAGAGTGGATGGTAGATTCAAAATTGTTAATTTTATGCAATCAGCAAAGCAATACATTTCAATTCGAGTAATTCTTGCAGACAGAGTCAATGTAGATAAACTGGAGCATCCTCGAAATGAATTTATTTTAATAGAAGCATTCTGATCGCATTCATTGAAAATAACACTCGAAAGAGATGTACAATAACTAAATGCATTATCTGATATAGATATTAGATTTTTGCCGAAGAAAACAGTTGTAATGGAACTGCACCCTGAAAATGCACCATCGAGAAAATTTGAAGTTGATATTGGAATGTCAATTGAAGAAAGCAAAAGACAATTTGCAAATGCATTTTTGCCTATCTCATTAAGATTTGAGTTAGATTTGAAAACAATTTTTCTTAGAATAGGATTATCTTTGAACGCATTCTCATTAATGATTTGGACTTGTTCTGGAATGGTATAAGAATCACTTTTGTTTAAACACATGATGAGTTTTGTTTTGTCTAAATTAAACATTATTCGCTGATCATCTATAGTAAGTTGTGCTCCTGAATCAAATGTGAAATTTACAGTGAGTGGAAATGCAGATCCACCCATATCAGTGATTGTTGATGGCAATATAACATTCTTCAAATTAGGACAGTCAAAAAATGCATTTCCACCTACTTTTTTATATCCATATGGAATTGTTATTGATGAAATATTTGTACCGTAAAAACAATACTCGGAAATATAGTTAACTCCATTTCCAAAAATGATTTCGTTCAGCAACTTGCAATATGCAAAAACACCATCAGCCATATATGTAACTGAATTCGGAATTGTTATTGATCTTAAATTAGTTCGTGAAAATGAATATCCCCAAAGATTTTTTATTTTTGGAGGAAATTCCACCGTTTCAATTGAAGAATAAAGGAAACAACAATATTCAACGCTAATTACGGATTCTGGAATGACAATTGATTTACTTTTATTCGCAGGAAAATAAACAATGGACGTCATATCATAATTATATAACACATCATCTTGAGAACAAAATTTTGAGTTCATTGGATCACATCTAATATCCTGCATTGTAATAGTGGCTTGGAAGACAGTAGCAGTTATGGATGTAAGAGTTCTTGGTATATATATTGAACTGATCTTGGTATTTGCGAAACAATAACCCCCAATTTTTTGCAAAACCGATTCCATTGGAATTATAACATTTTCTAAATTTACTGCATTTGCAAAACATGAACTTCCTAGTTCAATAACTGTTTTTGGTATTGAAATTGTTTTTATTCGTGTATTGGAAAAAGCAGAAGGCCCTAAATTTTTCAAATTATTAGGTAATATAATATTTGTCAGTGAAATGCAATTTAGAAATGAATATTTTCCAATAGATATTAATTTTTCGCAATTTGTGAAATCAATAGATGTGAGTTTAGAACATTTGAAAAATGCACAATCATCAATAGTTGATAGCTGCGATCCTGCTGGAATTGTGAAAGTTTAAAGCGTGCTTTGACTTCCATTAAGTGCAGATGAAGGACATTTATCACCATCTGAAATTCCATAAATTCGTTCACAGTTAACTTTTAGTTCAATGTTAACACTTCCAGAAGTTGAGAAGAGTAGCCGATCGCCATCATTATATGTTTCTATTTCTTACGAAGATCGAGTATTTGTCGTCGATTTAATTTTAAGGTTAGGGATAGCTTCGATTTTAAGGTTAGAGTTATCTTGAAAACACCCAGGATTCCAATATATTATTCTCAAATCTAACTTACACAGCTGTCATCTCGACTTTGATGTTGAAGTTTTTGTACAAACTCCAATGCAAATCAGATTTTTTTTGTTTTTGATATCCATAGCTTTAAGATGTTGAATTTTTTCTAATTTTTTAAGTGCTATTCTCAAATTACAGTAGATATATATTTCAGCAATATATAAAAATGTTTATCATTTCAATGAAAATGTTTTGGAAGATTTGATTCACCTCTTCCGGGTAAATTTAAGAGAATGAAGAGAATAATTAATCATCAGATGGGAAAAATGATAGTTCTTGATCACTGGAACTGTTGATATAAAAGATGTTTGATCACCTGCTTGCTCTCGATAACCAAAGGTGTTGGTATCAAAGGATGTTTGATCACCTGCTTGCTCTCGATAACCAAAGGTGTTGGTATCAAAGGATGTTTGATCACCTGCTTGCTCTTGATAACCAAAGGTGTTGGTATCAAAAGATGTTTGATCACCTGCTTGCTCTCGATAACCAAAGGTGTTGGTATCAAAGGATGTTTGATCACCTGCTTGCTCTTGATAACCAAAGGTGTTGGTATCAAAGGATGTTTGATCACCTGCTTGCCCTTGCTCACTAGCATAATTATGTTCATTTGTTTTGATCTCAGGTTGTACTTCTATACATTCAACTCTTTGAATATTTCTGCGATTTTTAGTATCAATTCCATGAGCTGGTCCAGCTTTGATGGAATTATCAATGGGATCTTGATAGAAATCGCCAATAGCTCCTTCACAGTTAAATTGCATTTTAAATCTATTCCATGCAGCTGCTGATGTCAGATAGTAGTGATAGTGAGTTTCCTGGTTAATGGTTATAGCATATGTGCTGCATCGATTGAAATAGATGACGAAAGTTAACTTTTGTCCATTATAATCCAATGTGGCATAAACATTTTTACGACCAAAATCGCAAAATTGTCCAAGGAAGCTGAGATTACCATAAATTTCACTATTCATGAATTCTTGAGGAATTTCATTACCATTAACATTGGTTTTTATCGGGTATGACTCGAGTCCATTTATTATTTGTTCAAAGGTCTCCAGCTTGCTTGCAGCATATTCTAAAAACGATCTCTTGTATCTGACATGAGTAGAGTTGAGAGAGATTCCGCTAAACAGGTGAGAAATAATCCCGATGTGAATGATGGGTATCAAATTCTTATGTTTAATTCTCTTATTGGCAATTAATTTCTCTACTTTATCAACTTTTTCTGGTGTTACTCCCACAAGATTCTTAACAGAATGAAAGATTCGATTTACTTCAGCTTCCTGTCTTTGCTTGTTAGGTTTCTCCGTATAGCCACGGTCTTTTAGGAGACTCCTTTTGTACTCGATGCTATCCTTCTGCATCTACAATAATAATAAAAGCGGTTTGATTCAAAATTTTGAAAACATAAATTCTAGGAAACTTTTTATTTCAAATTTTGAGAAGGAATCTTTTGTTAAGTTTACACAAAAATTTTGAGTTTATTTTAAATAAGAAATTAATTTATAATAATTTTACATCAAAACAAACCGATAACTGTTATAAACATGACTAAGCTGCATTATATATTTCTTTGTTGATTTTTATTATGTGCAAAAATAAACAAATAAAAGCTTTTTTATACATATATAACAAGCCTGCTATTGAAATTATGTATAACGATTCACGACGATAAATTTAATTTGAATAGTAATCTGACAATGAGATATGCAGACTCAAAAGTCGAGAAATAATGATAATTATCATTGAAATCATATTAATTACTGTATAAAAAAAAGAATATAATATTATTTTAAAAAATGAATATTATTCGAAATAATGAATAAATAATAATTATTTGAAAAATATTTTGTTTGGATGATCATTCGAACTATCTATAAAATGTGCATATTTACCCTATCATTTTCCTTGGCTCTTTTCAATTTTTATGACAATCCGAAAAAATTCATCAATATAACAAAGAATAATTTCAAAAAAGTTGAAAAAGTTGAAAAACATCATATGTGTATTCGAAAATAACTGTCTCCAGACACACTTGAAATTTCTCATTATTGTTATTAAAGGAAAATCTCTTTTCATGAATTCTTCCCATCGTGAAATCTTTTTTAGTTTTGGTATATATAGATGAAGAGAGGGAAAGAAACGAAATAATAATAAAAAAAGTTTTAATTTTTTTTTGTTTAATTGGAGTATATATGTTAAAAAATAACTTCTATTAGTTTACTAACAAAATATTTATACAAATAAGCTTAAATTACAAAACAAAAAAATATAATAATTATTGATTCGACCATTTTTCAACGTTTTCCTTTACCTGCTTGAGCATATCTTCCAAATCAGGTAATAGCATGGCCAGTGTCTCGAAAGTCGGTACCAAAACATCGTTCATGAATGGAATTTCGGAATCTCCCCAGTGAATATTTTTTCTTTCATTTCCTTCTTTGTCGTAAACGATGTCTTTGACTTTGGAGAGGTCTCCTTCGGCAAAGAATTCATCGGGGAGTCCCTTCTTATCAGCTTTATCTCCATTCCTGTTTGCAGAACCGAGATCAGCGCTTTTAATCAAGATTTCGGTTGTTTTCATCCTTGTTTCTTTGTCTTCAAACGAAAAATTGTCGCTGTCGGCCAATTTTTTCGCTTCCTCAATGAGATCGAAGTGCTTGGACATATCGGTTGCCAGAATAAAACGAGATGCTTCAGATAACAACTCGTTTTTCGCATCTTTTTCAGTTAAAAATTCGAATTTTTCAACTGATTGTCGTAAAAAGTCGACACTTCTCATTTCCATTGGGGAAAACTTCAAAAGACATTCATAAGGAGTGCCTAGCTTGAGGTTTACGAAGCCATCGTGAAGAGAATCATGCGAAATTGCGGCAATGTATAGAGAAAGTCTTTCAATAGGCAGAAGAACTTGGCCATATGATGATTTGCACATTTGTATGCATTGTGTTAGCACATCTATCGAGTGGTGGTAATCGTGGAACGTTGCGTTACAATTTTGTAAAATTTCACGAACGAACTCAATAAATAAGCCAATATTTATGTTCAATGCCTTCGAAAGTCCATCTTTTTCTATGAACTCTGCTACTGCAATGGCTAATTCTCGTTGATTAAATTGAGATGAGTCAAAATCTTCGCTTAAAAAGTCGATTCCTGTCTTTAAACTATCAGGAACACTGTTTCCTTCGATGTTTTCAAGGCCTTCGTTGTTCATTTCGTTAACTAATTTTTCAGCTCCAGCAATTTGGGAAACACGAGCTGCTGCATTAGCTGCTTTAGATATAGCATTGACAATCGAGTCAGGACCGTAAACACAGTATTGAAAAACTCCAATTGTATTTCCTGATTCTGAAATTATTGGAGAACAAATGAAATAAGAGCCATAGAAGTCAGCATAAGGAGTCATAGCTCTATTCTGAGTATTAATATTTGGAATTTGATGTTGATTGAAAACCGGATTTCCTCTTTCATCAACTTCTGGCGTTGGAGGAACTGAATTTGGCATCTCCTTCTTCTCGCATTTGTTGTTACTCTCAGCATTTGGTTTTTCAACCTGATTATCTGTTTGATTTTCATTTGCTTTAATTTCTTCTGATTTCGGTTCGTTTAGAGGATCATTATTGGTTGGTTCTTTATTTTCTTTATTATTTGTGTCTTCTGTATTATTTTCATTTTGATTTGAAGATTCTTGGGAATTCTGTTCGGTGTCTGCATTATTATCATTATTTTGAACATTGTTAATTTGTTCTGCTGGCTTTGGATCTTCATCATTTACAGGAGATGAAGGTTTTTCAGCGGCATCAGGAATTCGGAAGATTTTTGGAGAATTCTCTTTGTAAGAAAGAATTGCGTAGTCACTACTTTCGTCAATTGGGTTTCCTGCGCCAGCAATTTTATCAATTCCGCCTTTTCCGTTAGAAAGGAAGACAGAAGCACTCAGAACACCTTTTATTTCACTAAAGCAGTCAAAAGCAAGATCAACAGCTTCTTGTTGGGAAGTAATTTTTTCTGATTTTGCTTTAAGTATCATATTAGGGCAAAAAGAGGCAACTCTCAAAGCCAGAGCATTCTGTATTGCAATACCACAGAAAACAGCAAAAGCCGAAAGTTTTCTGACGACCAAATCTGCAATTTCTCCAAATTCTTCCTTACTTGACACTGAAACAGCTCCAAGAGTCTCATTTGCAGCAGAAAATATTGGAACAAGGATAACCTCGCTTACATCTCTATTTCCTTTTGAATCTACTGCTGGATTAAACAAGGGATCACTTGTATCATAAAATTGGACCTTCTGTTCGCTAATGCAAAGTCCCATTAATGAATCATTCATGCCAGTAATGTTCAATGACAGCTCATCCCCTCCGTATCCGCTAACTAATGTTTTTCCAAATTTTATGCAAACGCTGACGACCTTTTCGAAGTTGTTCGACAGCCAGTTCTCAATGAAAACAGCCACTTTATCTATTTCTGAGAGCTTCAAAACCTCTTTTGCAAAAGATATTAAATCAAAAATTGGTTTTGAAGTGTCCTGAGTGGTTCTTTTAGGTAACGGATGCAGTTTGAAGGAATATGCAATGGAAAGAACCGCAAAAGGAGAAATTCTTTCCATTGTTTGCCTCTGATCGTTTGAAAAATATCCTTCGCTGCTTTTTCCTCTTAAAGCAATGGCGTAAACTATTTCATCGAGTTTCTCTATGTGTATCATGATTGGTTCCGCTGCATTTCCGTCAACAGATGAATGATAATTCGAATGAAATTTTACATTTCTTTCTGTAATCGAAACTTTCGTCATTAAAGCGAATCCGACCACTCCAACTTTGTTCTTCCTAACTGCCATGAAATTATCCTCTTTGTAATCGTATCTGAAAAAAGAATTTTCTTTTTCTCTGTAGCACCAAAAATCGACGTCTTTGGCTTCAAAGACTGTTTTGTAGACTGATGATAAGCTGTTTATGACGTCTTTTGTCTTTCTAACGATAGATAAATTATTTGCTGTGTCAATTTGAGTGGAAGAGACAGCTACGCTGGTTCCATATAGCGCAAACTTCTTCATAAAGAATGTAGCATCCTTTATATCGTCGTCAGTAAACGTAGGCTCGCCTTTATTTCTTGATATTTGAATTACTGCAATTGTATCGCCATTTTTCAAATACAATGGGAAAACTAACTGTGGAGAACGTGATTCAACTTGTAATTTTTGTCTGGCTATTCGGTTTTCAATTGATGCGACGTTTAAAGGCATTTTTGCTTGTAATGCTGCAGGAATAATAGTATCATCACCTTCAAGTCTTGTTTCGAGTGTATGTGAGTAAAAACTATTTGTATAAACATCGTATTTCCAAAAAATTGTTCGATATGCGTTAAAAACTTGTGCAAAAACAGGCTCCATTGCGAGATTAAGAGGTTTGTGTTGGCAGTTTTCCATCAATTCTTCGAAAATATCTTCATTTAACAGCCTTTTTTGTGATAAAACGAACATTTTTTGTTCTCGAATATCTGTAAGAGGTGGAACTACATCATAATACATTCCACGAAGCTTCTGTGTCCGTTTGCATTGATTTACAAAGGCAGGATCAACAACCCCAATGGTTGTTGACATTTACAAGAAAAAAAACGTGTTTTAATTGTCAATTATAAAGTTTACAAAAGATTATTTGTCAAAAAATATATATTAATGTAAGGAAGCATATTATCTATAATTAAGCTTGTTAAGTATTATAAATATATGGCATTCCAAACGGGAACCGCGGTTGGTTACCATGGATTTCCGTCACCGGTCACATTTTAAAGATTTTTAAAGCCTTATAAAAATATGCTTTGTAAATCATTTTTTGTAAATCGGCAAAAATTTGGTAATTTTCTTCAACTAATAAATCTGCGAATAGCATTTATAATACAAGAACAATCTTTTAAAATGCGTTTGATTCATTTTTGTATAATTTCATATAGGCACATATATTCTTCCGGGACTTTCCGTGATTTTACCGTAAAATCATTAGTTTACACCAATTTTCCCGTATTTTGAATAGTTTACTGCACTTTTTCCGTAAAATTGAGTTACGGGAATCCGCAAAATTTCCGGACCTCATTTTTCATAGAATATAATAATAATATTTGATAAAAAGATATATTATTTATATTTTTGATTTTTGAATTACGGAAAAAGTGAATTGATAACTTGATTTTTTTATGGTTAATTTTTCAAATGATATTATGAAGATCTAAAATATTAAAAGTAAAAAATTGAATTACGGAAAAAGTGAGGTCAAAAGTGAAATAAATTTGCAGAACAATTTTCATTGAAATAAGCTTTATTTTTCATTATTAATAACAATGCAAAAAATATTTATCACGGGTTCAAAATTTAAAATTAAATATTTTAATAATTTACATCTTATTCTTTATTTTATATTTAACCCGTGAAAATATCATTTAAAAATTGAATATATTCAAAAAGCTTTATTTTTATTATGATTGCATGGGATCCTCATGTATATGATGAGTGGATTCCATTTAAGAAGACGAAATATCCACCAACTCCTGAAACATTGGAAACAAAGTGTGGAAAAAATGTTTCACTACGATCGGCTATTATGAGAATGAGCCTAATCAATCAGACAAAGGAAGGCTCTTTAAATACTATGCCGAATGTAGTGAAACATTAGTTCAAGGGCAGTTCGTGCGATGCATTAAAAAAAGCAGGAAAAATGATTTTAAAGATCATAAGTGCAAATTTTTACTCCCAATGCCCAACTACGTTCCTGCTGAGCACCAAGTTGAGAATACTCAGCAAGCAGTTGGCTCTGGTAATGATCCTTCGTTAGAAGAGATCATTGCCAGGCTTATTGCGAGCCTAGATATAAGCCTTTATGCCACAATGAAGCCAGCATTTAAAAGCTTCCTAGAGAGCTTCGCCAAATGGCTTAAAAATAAAGTCAATCGCGAACAGGGCATCAACTTTACAATCCCAGACATTGAGTTCACACGGCGCGGTGTCAGAGAGGCATTGATTACTTTAGGCAAAACAGACTCCTCTCGGGGCCTAAAGTTCTGCGAGGAACACACAGCAGCCGTCATGGTCTATTCTCTTGTGTGTGCAATCCAGGCAAAACAGATCGCCACCAATTCTTCGACACAACAATTTCGACTAATTGGACATACGAGGACTACCATACGTGGTTTGATTCTCTTAAGGTTAATAAAAACCACGTAGCTGGAGTAGTCGGAGATGGTTTGCCAGCCCAGGTTAAAGGACTCTGCCACTGGAGGCCAGAAGGAGCCCTTTTCCCTGGCTTACAAACCGTGTACATTCGTTGCCTTAACCACGTCTTGAACAATGCTATTGTCCACGCACGTAAGCAATGTCCATTGTTGAATGAACTGATGAATAGAGTTCACCAGATTATCATTATCTTTAAGAATCACGATATGAGAGCGAGATACAAGATCAGGGTTCCATCAATCCCGAAAACTCGCTGGCTCTACATATATGATACTCTATTTTTCATCTTTGATAATCTGGAAACAATTAATACTGCTTTACGAAGTGGAGATCTTCCACTATCCCTTTCCAGAGCTACACGTGAACAGTTACAATGGACACGTGATGGAATTCCTCCACTCTTTAAAGATGCTTTAATGATATTCAAGCCATTAAAGCAACTTCAATTATGGCTGAAATCCAACAAGTCCATGGGTGCTTATGCATTCCTGATGATACAACAGTGCCAAGGATGTTGGATGAAATGGCAGGAAGATTAACGCCAGATGGTGAAGAGATTCTCCGATCAATCACTACAATATTCAAAAATGATATGAAAGAATATGGTAGAATTGATTTGCTTCGGTTTGCTTTCGGCTTTACACCGTTAGCAAGGAAGATCATCAGAGACAAGAAGGGTTTTGGAGGAAAGACAAGCTATCCACCTATAATGCAGTTGAAAGATGTGCAAGTCCCAACGATTCCTTCCCTGAGGATCATCAATCGCGAGATCACATTTGAGAAACTCGGCGAAATCCTTGAAGAAGAACGAACAGAACGTGTTGACGAGGTAGCGAGCATGGAAGAGAAAGAAATGAAGAATCCGGCAAGCAGAAGAGGAACAAATGCTTAACGACGATCATGCAGCCGAAACAAATGCCGATGGTTCGAGGAATTCCTTGGTCTGGGATGTTGTAGATGAAGAGATAAAAGATCTATACACATTCATGATAACAATCCTCAGACAAAGAGCAATTGCCGAATCAACAGTTGATCCAACGATCAATAAAGACGATAGAGCCAAGGAATTGAGTGATGCTTACGATTTCTTCATAGAGCAAGATGATTCCCATCTTATAAATGGTCATCATCTTGCTCAAAATGATGGCAAGTTTTGGTACATGAATGGCATAAAGCAACTAAAAGCAATAAGACCAATTGGAAAAAGGATGATGTCACTTTCGTGCAGTGAAGCAGATGTAGAACGTGTAATATCTGAATTGCGAAAGACAAGAAATTCAATGAACGAATCATGCAAAGAAGAATATGTAGCATGCCGCTTCTTCATCAAGTTGAATGATGATCAATTTGATATTTGATTTTGTTTTTTAATAAAATTTATTAAATAATTTGTTTTAAAAAGTATTATTTTTATTCGTAAAGATATTAGACAGAAGGTGGCCAGCCTAATGTCTATCAATCTTTAATATTAGTAGTAATTTCCCGCATTTCTGAATGATGATTGATTAGCTTTGTTGTTATTGATGTAAAACTGGATAAGTATTAAATAATTATATTAATCTTGGCCAGGGGACTGCTGATGGCCAGTCAGCAGCGGCCACTATGAATCATTATAATTATTTAATACCTAAATTGAGGTAAAAAGCAATAAGACTTGCCGAGCCTCATGCCCCTACCTCATATAAATAGAATCACACTTTAGTGAATCAACATCTATAAGAATGAAGTGTTTTGAAGCTGAAATAATATTGAATAGAAATTAATTTTTTCTGAAATTTTGAATGAAATTATGGGAAATAAAAAAATTACTAAATATTGTATTCATACAAATATATTATTTTAAAGGAAAAATAGATGCTGATAGAAACGATGAAAATTTTTGAAAACTTTACAATTAATTTATGTTCGTTAACCACAGAGCTTGCAATCCAAAGCTCACGTTAGACAACAAGAGTCATGAAGTCTCATACTAAGGGATATCCAACATATATTTTAATAATCTAATGTTTGTGACAAATATTCAACATAAAATTAAGTTTTCGTTTCGTTACAAGGCATTCATACTTTGGAGATATCATATTTAATGTACAGAAAAGTTAATATTAAACAATACATGCTAAAGAATTAATAAATAAGATAATAAAATAAATTTATACGTAATTACTTTCATTTAATATGCTTTATGCTGTATAATATTGATTAAGAGGCATTAAAAGGTTCCATAGTCTGCTTTTATAGGCAAGATTTTTGATAAAAATTTTAAATTTTGAAAAATGATGAGAAAAGGAAAAAAAAGGTAAATGAGAGCAAGAGGAGGGAAAAAAAGAAAAAGAAAAGAAAGGGAAGGGAAAAATAAAAGAAAGAAGGACATATAAAAATTTAGATGCGCATTCTTAATGCCGAGGCGGCTTGCCGCCGAGGCGCGATTTTTTTAGGCCTCTACGGTAACCCGGCAATGTTTTTTTAAATCTTGTACAGCCCTATATAAATAAGTCATACACGAAATTAAGAATGGAAATAAGCTGGAGAGCGGGACTATTTGACGGAAATTGCGTTTTTGACTCATGAAGAAAGTTCACAGATAAAAAAAAATAAATAAAAATAAGTTGATTGTGTTTATGAGATGCTTATTCACCTAGTTATTCACCTAGTCAAAAAATTTATAGGAAGTGACTTGATTTTCAAAAAATCATTTTTATCATGACAACTCAAACTTGTTTCGATGATGATCCCCGCGTTCAGGAAATATATCGGGCTGGCAATGGCGGTAATGGTACTTGCTGGATCTTAAAGATAGATGATCACTATAGAGTTCTAAAAAGACTTTTCAATCGAAGTGGAACTAAAATATCCGAAATGTTTAAGAATGAGCTGAAATTCCAAATACCACTCTCTCCAATATACTATGATAACTCACAAAATCATCCTGGCGAACGTTTTGACTGGATTTTGATGGATTATATTCCAGGTAACACTTTAACGAAGTTAATCAACGGCGGTTACGTTGGCAATCGTGTTAAGAGGTTATACATGCTCGAAATTTTCGCTGCAATTGCTTACCAGTTGACTTTGATGAGAGAAAAGGGAATAAAGCATTGTGACCTTAAGCCAGACAATATCGTTGTTGATGGTGATATGATTCCTCACATTATTGATTGGGATGATTCTACAACCAGATTTTCGTTATCTATTAATGAACGTCACGGAACAATCCCATTTGCTGCTCCAGAAATCTTTTCCGCACAGAGAAAATGCGAATCTGATATTTTCTCATTCGGAGCTATCATGTTTAATATGATTACAGAATGTTATCCATTTGCCAGCGCATACATGACGAAAGCAGGCTTACAATCTCTTGCTAGCCAATTCCCTTAACTCCAATTACCTGATCTCGCTGATGCATTGGACATGCTTGCAGATTTCGAACAAATGGATGATTCAGAAAAAAGCAGCTCCTGATCAATGATTGTTTCATACGTTGAGCCTATCCTCATAGAGTATATCAAAGCGGGCGCTAGAGATGACTATATCAATAATGAAAAATTCCAAAATGATCCGTTCAACAGAAGAATTTCTGAGTTGATTGAATTATGTTGCAAGCAAGAATACGACAGTAGAATCACACCAGAGGATCTCCAGGATAGAATTGATAATCTTGCAAAAGAAACTTTAACAGATCCAAATGAATTGGATCAGTACAACAAATATTGCGAGTATTTGTTTTCACTCAAGCAAAAGGAATATGGCACAAAAGAAATGATCGATAAAGCTCAAAAGTTGGGATTTTACGAAAATGATGATACACTATCAAGAATCATTAAAGCAGAAAATCCAAGCTTTAAAGAGCCAAGATCATCTGTCTTTGCCGCTTTCGTTCAATCATTAGCTCCAACCAAATAGATAAATAAATATTCTTTTTTTTTCTTTCTTTTCCTTTTTGCACTTTCAACATCATACCGCTTCTTTCTTAAATGCATATTTTAAAGTGACACTTTCAACAATAATTTATATTTCAATTATCGAAAGATGTATAGATTGTTATTCTTTCAAACCGTTTCAACATTTATATGGTAATTATAGGTAATTGTTTTCTTTATATATGAATATACTGGAGTATGCTTGAAATTTCTCGAATCACAAAAGTAGAATATTCAGAGCAGTCATTTATCTACATGATTGCTCATAACAAAGTAGAACATTAGATTTACTACGTGTTAAAAACGAAATTGCTAACAATTACTTTATCTTTTCCAAAAAAAGTACCACTATTATGATAAGGGTTCCTTACGTTTATTGATGTTCATGGCTGTTTTGCAGTCGGTTGAGCATTAATAGAAATTGACTAAAACAAATGAAGATAGTGCATCAAATCTAATGGATAATGATCAGATTTTATAAATTTTATTTGAAATCCAATATAAGAGAGGCTGTATGGGAATGATCAATAGTAAAAGGGGATAAATTTGTTACTTAAGGTCAATCATGTATAGATTTTCAAAGCATCGATTTTACAAATATATGCCTTGAGATAGATATTGAAATTCTATCATAAATCAAGTTGAAAAGTTAAGATTCGATTAAATCAACCTATAATCGCCAGTTCTTAGAATTGTGGCTACTCCACATGTGATTATATATCATATTTACTATGACCTTTCTTAATAGATCTCTCAAAAAAAGCTTCAAGGATGCACTAACTTTTATTTAATTTTATCAATAAAAAAAATCTTAGATCTTGTAAATGAATGACGACTTAGATCTTGGTTTCCATGAGATGGAGCAGGATATTCAGAAATTTGCATCTGAACTACCCTATTCGATTAAATACAGAATCCTAGGCCTTTTGGGAACCAGAAATAAGTAGTAAGAATACTTTAAGGCAATTTTCATTGTCCAATTCGAGGAAATTGACATCTCTGAACCTTTGATGGTCAGGGAGTAGTACTATAGTCCAGGAGGGCAATAACGTATAACTAATATCGCCAGGAGCACAAATAATTATCGAATCTGATTATATATCTGAAATTGCTTGGTAAACAAGGGAACAATCAAAAGTCACGTTTTTATTCAAATATATTTGAGTAGTTTTAAATATTTGCTAATTTTTGAAATACTGTGTTCGGGTGAGGAGTCTAGTGGTATGATTCCTGTTTTGGGTACAGGAGGTCCCGAGAAGTTTCCACTGCAATCGTACGTGTACTGTGGCAACACAGCTATAACAGACAGTTTCACGCCAACCGCGAAAACAATTTTGAAGCCTGAGGAACAAAATTTAGATATCGTTTTGAAAAATATTGCAGCGTTGAATCCAGAAAATTACTCCGACTTAATCAGGAGCCTATCGAAGATGGAGTTCAGATTAGATTACCCAAAAGAAATAGAGAATTACTGGATTTCGGAAAAATTATTTAGCCAATCCATCGCATCATTGCCCATCAGTTTGTTAGTCGCATCCATGTTCTCACCTGAAGACCGTGACTTGAGTACAGAACCGTTCCACTGTAACGCTGATGGCTGTAATTTCCATTGTGACAATTGTGAAAGAATGGTTGAACACATCAGAGAGCACCATAACACTGACCCCATGATCAATACATTTGAAACAACAGAAGACACATTTAGAAGAATAACGGCCATCAAAATAGACAAGACAGGCATCGAAGAACTTAACCCTCTAAAATACAGATGCTCGTATTGCGACGAGTTATTCACCGAAGCAGAAGATCATGCCATCCATATGATTTCACATCTCACAGAAAAATTATCACCAGATATATCTTTCTTTTTCAACGACATTTTACGCCTTTACAAAACTATCGACAAACCAACAGTACAAAATTTATTTCCAGAAACACAAGTCGCAATTTTTGACACACTTGAAGAAACAAACAGATTCAGACTTATCGTAGGAAGAGAAGCCATAGAAACAATTGAAGAAGCATTCCCTCCAAGTCCACCAGGAACAGATCGGAAACCATCCATAATCATCACAGACACCTGTCAACTCAGGTTTGTACCATGCATGGATGAACCACCAAAAGGAGATCTCAGAATTTTGACTCTACTTTTAAGAGATTTCAGCGCACACAATATCCCGATTAAATCACTGAACAATAAGGAACTAATTGCTGATAAAGACATCGATTACAGCCCAGATTTTGTCGAAGGAGCTCTAGCCAACGCAGAAGAACATGATACAACGAACAGCCAGAACAACAATGGAAGATACATTAACTCAGCCGAAAAAACTTACAGAATTTTTAATACAATGTGAAGACTACTTAACGAACATCAAAACACTTGAAGACTTAGAACGTTTCTACACAACGATTAAAGACTACAGAGTCAACAAAGAGGTTATCGCCGAAGATACACCAATCTTTGTATATTTCCTAGTAGAAGAAGGGAAATTACCAAAACCAGGTCTTAGATGCCCACTTGAATCATACGAAGGACACGAAGACAAGGCATTCGAATCACTGAGAAAACTTTGCGACCACTTCAAAGGAGAAATCGCGAAAACGAGCTTTGACCCAAAGGTTCACACCATAGACATCTGGGTTGAATTTTTGGCCCAAGCCTATGGCACAGGCACGTTTGTCTACAAAGATGAAAACGGAAACATCGACCTTGATACGCACATTCAAATGCCCTTATGCAGACTGCTCATACACGAACAACGACAGATCAAAACTCATGGACCACATGAAAACGAAGAAACACGCCAAGAACGTATACATCGAGAGATACGGCTTCTTTTGGGGTATTGTCATAGAAGGAGTCAACCGACCAAAAGGAATCGTCTACCCGACACTCAAAGACATCAAAGAACACGCTTGTCGCAAATGTCCAGAAGCAGGATGCAACACATATGTAACAGAATTGAGCGACATCAAAGAACATCTAAAGAAGAAACATAAGTCTACAACAGCAGGAGTAGACGGAGAAATCGCGCACACTGATGCTACATACTGCTGGATTACCAAAGAAGAACTCGACGCATTACATGCCGAGAGAGCAAGAGAAAGAGCAGAGCAAGTAGACAACACTCCAGTACAACAGATAATTAATGCTGACAACAATGAAGAGAACAACGAGAACCAAGAAGACAACGGAAACAACGAAGAAGCAGATGCCCTCGACCCGCCAAATAACACAACAGAGACAGAAGATGAAGCGGTTCATGCCGTCATCATCAATCCACCAGCAACAGAAGAGGAAGAGGTAGCCATCATCGCCGAGGCAAGAAGAAACATTCCAGAACTCCAACAAGCAGAAGAGAGAGGCTGCGTTACACCGAAAATGACATCACTCGTCCGATTAAAACTATTGAAAGGAGGAGGAGAACTTTTCAACAAGAAACTCACTCCATTAGCCACAAGATACGCAGCTACAGGAAATACAGAAGCAGACAAAATCAAGGTAGATTACTTGACACTAAAATGCAATGCCGCCTTGAGAGAAATGATCTACACCAATAACCACAGCGAATCAAAGTTTATGACAGCAGAAAATGGAGAAGACACAGCACCACCGCCAAGGATATCGGAAGACACAAGAGATCGCATTCAAAAAGCAGCCAATGAAATAAAAGGAACTCTCATCAAAGTAGTCAAACACATAAGTCACGCGAGATGCCTCAAAGACAGCACGAGAGACGATGAACACAATAAATTCGTCGAAATGATTGCAAAAATCAAAAACGATCTCAGAGATAACAAATTCGAACAATATAACATTGAAGAAATATTTCAAGGACCGATCTCCGACCAGAGTATTCTCAACATCGTCAACACGGAGGACAACAACGAATTCATCAAGAAAATGGATTACATTAACCGAATTCTCGGAACACCACAGGATGCATCACCATATGCAAGGAAGAAGTTACAAGCATGTTTCGCCGATAACCCAACAAAGACTCTCAGAAACATAATCTTAGCCGACAAAGTTCCACAACAATCATTGAAGCCAAGCGAATACCTTGATTACTACGGACCTCAATGGGCAAACGAAGCTGAAGGCTACGAAAACTTCCTGCATCATGACTACGCGTTACCGGAGAGATATGGCCAAGTTTTCGCAAACGACTTCCTCGACTTCATGACAAACGAATCGAAGATCATCGAAGTAATCCGCAACAAGAATCATTTATCGGCACACGGCCTCGATGGAATTCCGAACTCAGTTTACATGCTATTCCCAGTCAGCGCCGCAAAATTCCTCAGTATATTATTCAGATCAATCATCATATCAGGTCACATCCCAGACTGCTGGAAGCTCTCCAAGACAGTGATGCTTTTTAAGAAGACGACCATCGTATAGCAAAGAACTGGAGACCAATCGGCATCACGTCATGCATTACAGAATTTCATGAACTTTAGTCAACAAAGCGTTACAGATGATCCCAATGTTCCACGCAATGCAAAAAGGTTTCGTTCGCGGAGCAACACTGAGTGAGCACATTGCAGTCGCGAACGAAGTCCTTTGCCAATCAACCAGAACACAGTCTGAAATGTTCCAAACAGCAATCGATTTCACGAACGCTTTCGGCACAGTTCCTCATCAATTGATCTTTGATTCTCTCGAAGCGAAGAAAGTTCCCGATTCGATCATCAATCTGCTCAAGGACCTCTACAAAGGAGCAAGAACGGCTATCTATACAAGACATGCACACTCCGAGATAGTTCCGGTTCGCAGAGGTGTCATCCAAGGCTGTCCACTCAGTCCAATCCTCTTCAACTGCTGCTTAGATCCTTTATTATATGCAGTCCAGAGGAGACACTTTGAGGATGGTTACAGATTCCAAGACAAAGCAGGACAGTATTCAATTGCCATTCAAGCTTACGCTGACGACGTTCTAGTCATCTCTCCAACACATGAAGGAATGCAAAGAATCTTAAACACAGTATATGAATTCCAGAAAATTGCGAAACTCAAAGTTGCACCACAGAAATGCGTCACACTTGCCAAAACATCCACTGCAATCCAACCTTTCCGCATTGGTCCAGACGAAATCCCAATCAAGACGAGCATGGACAACATCATTGTATAATGAATTGTGTAACATTCAGATGAATTTCCAAGAGTTCCTTAGACTTTGCAGAAGCGTGAGACATCAAAGAAAAATATGTTTTGAAACAATAAAAAATTTTGTAAATCGGTCATTTGGAATTGGTCGTTCATCTATGGTCTTATTATATTTTATGAGAGAAAGCCATTTTTATCAAAATGTAAATTTTATTTCAAAATTTATTCGTGCCTGAACCTAATATCGCTTATGTAAAATTATACTATTACTGTTGGTAGTACTAAATACAAAAGTAAACTTATTTTACGATATTCTCTTTAAAAAAAATTGAGCAAATTATAGAAATGGCATCGCATCATAGGTTCATATTATATGTGTGCGGCAATGTATTACAAACCAAACAAACAATTTGTTCAAATTCCTGATTTATTTAAAAAAAATTACAAATAAAGAAAATATCTTAGTTTCCGTTGAAGAAACAGTCAAGCCATCTAAATACATATACTCTATCAATTTATTACAAATACAAATAGTAAAATTTAAAAATAATACGCTTAATGCCAAAAGATTAATGTAACCAATAAGAAGAACAATATAAGGAGGAGTATTCCACCTATGATTTCGCACCAGTTTGCGATAATCCAGTGTTTTATATCATCGAGAATTTTTCTGCAAGAAGGAGGCTCATTATAGGAATAGTTAGTATATTCCATTGGGTCATTATGTATTTCGTGCTCTAATTCTTCCATATTTATATCTTGAACAATTTCAGATGTTTTCGAAGTGTTTTTCTTAATAATATGAGCAACTTCTTTTTCGTATTCATGTTGTAGCTGGTATTCTTCCATTTCCATCCAGCTATTTGCGTATAATCTCAAGATATCAGAACGGATATCTTCTAAAATCTTGAATCCGATGGTTTCAGAGAAATCTTTTTCTGCTACCAAAAATATATTCAAGTTGTTCTCTGAATGTAGCAAGAAATACATGAAATCACTTTTGATAAATTTAGATTTTTCATGTTGGATACTTAAATTCTTAAGAACATTATGAATGACATAGTCAAAGTCGCCGTTATCATATGTGCATTGTAAAAGTATTTTTGGGCCGTTAGAAATGCCAATATATGCAATCTCTTCGACCATAATTTTACAAAATTGATCTGAAAATCTAAGTCCTATGATTTGATCATAAATAAGATTTTTAGAACGACAACAACTTAATTTAACGGAAATTTAGTCCAAAAAAAATAAGTTCGTAAATTAGAAATTTGAAAATCAGTTTTCTTCATATAGGGGAAGCCCAATACTTCCATATTATATTAATAAAAACTTTAGTATAAGCCCTACCTATAATAGCATTTGCAGCATTAATAATAATAAGTCATAGTTACCTTACGCCCTTCTGACAGTAATTCAAAATTCTGACAATTTGTGTAGGTCCAATTGAAAGCCAACCTTAAACAATTCAATTAAAAGTCATATGGGTGCATATGATATTTTAATCATTTTTATTATCACTTAAGGTTAAACATCCTTATAACTTCTTCTCTTTGGCGCTGGAGCTCTTCTTCATGTTTTTGATTTATTTCTTCGATGGTCATTATTGGAGAATCTGCTTTTATAAGAAATTTAACATGGTGATCAGGCCAACATTCGTCAACACCTTCGAAGCCTATATTTAATTTTGGATATTTCATGTGAAAGATGTTAAAAAGTCTTCTTGCAATTGGTGCATTGGGTGTCCAAAATGAGTAAATTGCCATATTTTTATTATGCTTTTCTAAATGCCCTTGGGCACAACCGAAATTGACGCCCCAATTCATTGAAGGATAATCATTATATTCGTTAATGATCTTTCTCTCTTCATCGGTGAGCAATCGATTCTCTTTAACGTTTCTTATTCCATCATTATAAATCACAACTGAAGGCAATGGATCAATGAATTGGCAAAAACATAATCTTTCTCCGCCTTCCCATTTAATTTTTGCGGCTTCGAAGTCTTGGCGGCATTTATCAACTTCTTCCTCATCTCCAAAAATGCATATTATGCTATCAAAGTGATTGGGCATCTCCCAAAATGAATGTCAATTTTTTCAATTTATCATGTCTAATAATTGATAAGACATGAATTAAAATTTGATAACTCTTGTTATCTTACAAGTGCAAATTCATTTTTAAATAATTGCTTATGTGTGTTTTTTGCAGTCCATGAAAAGCTCGAAACTCCATTTCAATCAAAAATGATTTGATACATTGAAATTTTTTTTGATGATGATGAAGATGATGACCATTACCGCAGTGCTGTAGTAGAGATATGATTTTTCAGTGATGTCAAAACCGCCAGAGTATCATCAACTGCGTGACAGAGAGAACAAATAGAAGATATGGATTCAAGCTAGAGACACAGTGATTTTAAATTGCCAGATTTCTTATTAAGCAATCAATTTACTTAATTGTTTTCCTCAATATTCAAATTCAAATCACTTTACAAATGTAAAATAAAAAACTATAAAAAAATCAAAATAATAAATTTTTATTTAAATATGGCAAAATAAGGTTCCCATTTCTTCCTGTGTAATTTATTTGTTATATGCTCACTAATTTTCTCGAGTAGTGGTGCGTATTTCTGTTTGTTTTGAGGCTCAATTTCTATTGAAAGTTTAATTGTCTTTGCGAATCTCTCGTAGTATCTAGCTGTATTTTCTCTATACTCAGTATCATCAGCCAAAATTGTTTCAGTGATGTAGTTTACAATCTGATCAGAATATTTCTTAACAATCTTTCTATGGAAATCACGTATTGAATTGTACAAGAAAGCAGTCTTAATTACAATATTTTCAAGAGATTTCGACTCAAACCATTCATTTATGTAAGGTTTGAATATATTTACACAGAGGATGTCTGCTTCACTTACATTATTGTGATTGGTAGGTACAGGGATGTTGTTGAAAACAGATTGGAAAACATTGATAACTAAATCATCATTGTTATCACCTTTTTCTTTCATTGAAAGAGCCTTAATCAAAATGAAAGGAAGAACATTCTTGTCCAAGTTCGAATCAATGCCAAGTTCACAACATTTTTTAAACACACTCTTTTTATCATCTTCAGAAGAAATTGGCATTTCGTACAAATCAACAATTTTCTGGAAATTATCATCATCAACCATCTCAGCTTGTCTTATAAAGTTCCTGTTATCATTATGAAGAATGGCATCAAGTAATCCGTTCCTGACAAAATGAAGTTTCCTGTAATTCTCGATTTTGTCATTTCTTCTAATTTTTGCAACGATACTTGTCATTAATTCTTTCATGTATTCGTTGCAATAAGCAACACTTATTATTGCTTTGTCAAGGAGATTTATTTGTGCTTTCTTTTCATCATCGTCATCATCATCGAAACTGTCGTAGAACGCGTATTCTTCTTCTTCTTCGTTTTGGAAATCTTCTGGGAAAATTATTTGCTTAGGGAACTCAATTAAACACTTTGCAATTGCAAGACTGTTTCCATCGAATACTTGGTACTTCTCGTGATAAGAAATAAGGATATCGATCATGGATTGATATGTTTTCTCGTTTAATAACTTTTTTTCCGAAATATGGTCGAATATCTTGTCAATTGGAAATTCCAAGAAGAATTCTGGCTCTTTCTTGGGATTGTCCCTGCAAAGTTTCTCTTTTGAGTTAGAAACAAAACGAGATATTCCTTGTAATACGGAAATTATGCCATTTTGGTCACTTAATCGATCAACAATGGCGGAAAAGATCTTTTTGCCGCATTCAACAGCTTTTTCATCGCTGTTTGTGAGCAAAGGAAGGACAAAATTGTCGATATGAGTCAATGCGACATTTATCTTCGCCAAACAAAGCTTTTCGAGTAGGGGATAGTTCTTTTTGCTGGTAATTTTCTCGAAAAACTGCTTTGCGTCTTCACCTGAAACAATTTTTTGGATTTCGGATTCCAATAACTGATAATTGACGGAATCGTTACCACCATCACCACATACCTCTTTGAAATAGGCCATTTCGATGTCGTTATCAGAGAAAGTCGAAATGAATTTTGATTGTTCGTTTTGATTGAGGTTCTTCATGATGATTTTCATTTTTTCTGGGTCAGGAAGGTAATGTATCGCGATATCATTGCCGTTGCGAGCTTCTTTAAGAAGTTTTTTGGCTAATGAAAATTCTTTCGCTTTGTACAAGCTGAAAAGTATATCCTGGAGCTTGTAGTAAACAAAATTTCCGCCTTCAAGAAGACTTCGGATCTGATCTGTCAGTTTTCCTTTTCTTAAGTAAAGATCTACGACTCTGTCGTATCCTCTGTAATTGTAGAAGTTATTTCGGAGACTTTCTTCACTCATGATCTGCTCGAGAATGAATTCTTGTTCCGAAACCGGTAAATCTTTGAATGTATCAGATAATAACTGCCCTTCATATAATTGGGCCTTCCAAATTGGATCAACAGGGAGCTGTTTGAATAGAACTTTCGCAATATCTGCTGATTTCTTGTCATCTCCATCAGCAATTTCAAATAATTTCTTATACAAGTTGTACATGTTGGAATTATCATCGAAATGGACAAGTTTTGTGATCTCAATGACATCTCCTCGCTGAAGTGATAGCTCATTCACGCTGGATTTCGTGGAAATATCAAAAGTTTTATTTCCATGGACGTAATAGCGGCAGGGTGATTTAATAATCTTACTGAATGAGTGGTTGATGATGGAAATCAATGTTTCGATACTTGTTCCGGTAATTGTGGAAATAATTCTTTTCTCGTTCTTGTACTGGCAAACTATAGGTATCTTCGGGGAGTTTGAGAAATTGTCGTTGCTTGTAGCTGTAATTTTGATGATTTTGTTCTTTTCAATTTTACAATTTGAATCAATTTTAACATCTCCTTTAATTCCGAACAGATCTTTGGCGAGTTTGATAATCTGATCATGTCCCCATTTATCGAAGATTGAAATCGATTTAATGACTCCATTAAACTCGATATTGACATTTATTGATTGAACTTTAGGGAATTTAGGGTCATATGACTGGCATTGGTTTAGTGTTTGGATAAATGTTAAGTATCTTGCTAAATGCGAAGGATTATCGTAATATTTTGAAGAAATTAAAACAAAAATACTTTTAACTTCCTCTTCCTTGAAGGAGATCTGTACAGCTCTTTTAAGAATATCTAGTATCTTGTTTGAAGTATTATCTGACTTAATTTCGATATAAACTTTATAAAGGATCAAAATCAAGCTTAAACGTATTATTTTAGTAGAATTTGTGGATGTGACAATACCTCTAATATTATCAATGGTTTGAGTTGGAAACTGTTCAGCTGAAACATTTGAATTTTCACTGACAACAAAAGATGTTAAAAGTTTTTGAAGTTTATACTCGTATTGCGATGTATCTGAATTAGATCTGACAGCATCCCATATTTTTCCTATTAAATCTTGAAAACCATCGAACATGAAAACTTAAAAAAAAATTGCCAACACTTTTTTCTCATTTCTAATTTAATTAAAAATATTTTGGAGGGAAATAGAAGCGTTAAAATCGAGGAAAATGTTGAAATCCAAGGAAAATCTGACATCAAAAAAAAATCCCAACGTCTCTTTTAAATAAAACTAGCAGCATTTGTTTTAATCAATAGCCAATATAGGTTATTCTTTTAACACAGAAATTTCTTTTGGATACAAGTTTGAAGAATGTTTGAACTAATCAAATGATTTTTCATAATATTTTTAAATGTTAAGCATTTTCTCCATATTAAGATTAAGCGCAAACTAAGTTACATGTAGGAAATTGAAGTTTTCATCTGGATAAAAGTTTCTCCAAACTGAATCTCAGAGTTGGTGAAGATTTTCCTAGATCCTTAACTAAAGACGTCACGAGAAAAAGTCAGCTTTCTATCTTCGCCCATTGCTACTGCGCGCCGATAATATCTGATAATTTTTTTTTATTTTTGAAATGAAGATTCCGAAACTTGATGAAATGCTTTATGATGTTCAGATTGGTGATGTATCAGGTCAAGATTCGCTAATGAGCGTTGAAACGGGCTCTGTTAAGGATGATATCCTTTCAATCCTTCTTTTCCTTTTAATTATTATTTCAACAGGAATGGCTGGATATTTCGGTCCACCTATTCGCAAATCAGGATTGTTAGACTTCAAATATCATCAATCTATTTACCTTACTCCGAAAAATCGTTACTTGCGCCTTAGTATTTTATTTAATCTTGAAAAGCCCGCACAAAATAACAGCTTACCAGTAAAGTTCGATTACACAATTAAAACAATTAAAAAAGGTCAAGCCCTTGCTGAAATTAAGAAGCAGTTTCAAAATAATTGTTTAATTTTACCAGGACAGACTCAAACGCTTCCAATGGAATTCTTTTATGATCGATTTGTGAGATACGACGAGGCTGATATTCAAATTGGCTTCGATAAAAATGGAGAATTCGTTGGAGGAAATATTCTTTGGGAATCTCTTGACGAATACCATGCATTCTTTAACATTTGGGTTAGATCCATCTTTATTGTCTCATCCATCATTGTTTGCACTCTTTTCATTACGAGATTGTATAATTCCAAGAATGGATACAATAAAGAGCAAATTATTACAGCTCTCATGTCCCAAGTTGCTATTTATGGCACAAATCCATTGTACCCATTACTCGTTTTCTTCCCTTACTCCTTATTTTCTTATGTTGAAGATATTGCCTTTTCTGTTTCGACGACATGCGTTTTACTTTCTTCCACTCTCATCATTGTCTTGAATTCTATTGCGAAAAAGAACAAAAAGCTTAATACAGTCTTTATTGTCGTTGGTATTTACGCATTTCTCTTTATCTTCGCAATTCTTCACGAGTTTACAAAGGAAAATGTATTTTCACCATCATTGGCCTACATATTCAACCTTATTTACGGAATTTTATTTGTTTTATACTCATTAATAACTATTTCTCTTTCAATTCTTACTTTAATCAGAACTGATTCATCTGAAAGACACAAATTTACTGTTTACACTATCGTTTTCGCATTTACTTTCATTTTCTTAGGAATTTCAACTTTATTTGAAGCCAAAACTAACAATTCTTCCGGAGCTTCCCTCATGATCGCTACAATACACTGTTTTGCAATTCTCCTTGTCTATTTCCACTGGCCATACGAAACTTCCATTGATCAACAGTATAATGAAGGATTTGACGACCAAAACGTTGATGATTTCGAGCCTTCCATCGATGAAGAGCAAATTAACAATCTCCAGATAAAGATAGAAAGCGATCCTGAAGAGGCATAACCGATTTCGTTTATATTTTATTTTTTTATTGTTCCTTCTTCTTATAAATATTTCATAAATTAATTGTATGTTTTTTATATATTTGTTTGCAAACCAAACACCAAAAAATCCTGAAAATTATGAAAATTATTTTTAAAATTTCAATATTTCGAAATCATCCTGATAACTTTCATGCGATACTCTGCGACATCAAATATCTATCACCTATATAATAAGTATTCATTGCCAAAATTTTAAAATATTGGTAAAAAATTGCTAGTCTATCTTTACCTTAGCATAAAAGTATCTAAATAAAACTGAATAAGTATCATAATTCAATAATTTTATGTTTTTAAAGAAAAAATTAATGAAATTAGTAAAATATTAATATTTTAAAATCAATTGTATATATTCAAAGATAAGATGGCTTGCATAAGTGTTCAGCCAGGCAAAAAGGGCTGAAACCAGGAAAATGATATTCAAAGGGATATTTTGTTCCAAAATTCACAGAAATGACATCCCAATTGTTATCAGAACTGGTTTGCCGTACAATTGGAGTAACCAAGCTATCATCAGGAAAATCAATTTTGACAGTTTCATATGTCTCATTATTGAAAATCACAAATGTTTTGTTTTCAATACAAAGTCCGACACCAACTGTTTCTTTAATAGGAAATGAATGTTTGAGCGGAAAGGTATATTTAGTATAATTTGTAGAATGAAATCCTGTGAATTTCCATCCAAAATCATAAACACAATAATTTCCATCACTTGTGGAATATAATAGTATTTGATCTTTGCCAATTAAGAAGCCAATCGCAAAAGATTTAGTTCCTTCATATGCTTTTGCTTCAAAACATGGATTTCCTTTACGAATAGGAGAGAAGTTTGTTTTAATATCATGATATGAAGATATGTTAACTTTTTCATTTTGATCAACAGGAACACCTAAATAAGAAAGAGAAACATCGCAATTAGGCATTTTAAATAAATTTAATATATAGATATTAGACTAAAAAATCTAAAGGCATGCTGTTTCGATATAAAATAGAATAGAAAAGTCAAATAGCTTTGTAGGTTATCATCGAGTAAATTACATTGCAATCATAAGTCAAAGAGATTTTTTTTGAAAAAGTCATCAAGTATTCAGTTTCTTTGGGGGATATAAAAAAAGTAAATTACATTGCATCGTAAGCCAGAGGGTTTTGGAGGTTGTCGTCGAGTACTCTGTTTCTTCTGATTGGCAGCCAAGCTAAAAACTTCATATACAAAGACCACGACAGAGCCCAAGCGTATCCACCGTTTTCTTTGTGGATCTGGAAGAGTTTTCTTGCACTGATGATTTCTTTGATCATTTCTCCTGTGTGTTTCTTCATTTGAGGCAAAACATTCAGTATTTCTTTTGGATATTGCTCTGGGAAGTGGAGAATGATGCCAGAGTAGTCAATCAACTCATCTTCGAATGGAAATCTCATTCTGTCGCTGTAAACAATTGGAATTGAAAGAGAATTGATTGCATCATAAAAATTATGGGCCACATCATCTTCGCAAGGGGTTACAACAGAAAAGTATGATTGTTCAATTAATTTAAGCATGTCCTTATGCGTTTTTGCAACAACGACGTGTTTGTTTCTTTGTATTTCTCGTCGAATTAAATCTCTAAGATTTTTGTTGTAGTCTGTACAATTTGTGGTGTCTGCATCAAATGCTATTTGGAATTTCTTTGTTTTATTCGTTTTAATGTACTTTGTCTGTGGTTCTAATGGTAAAATTACATTTTTAGCTAATCTCCATGTATTCATGTGATCACCCATGACAACATAGTTTGGGGTAAGAAAATGTGGTGTTAGTGTCGCAATTTCTTGATATGTAACGGCTGTGGTTTGATTTTTTGGTGGAATTCCATGAATAAAGATATGATCGCAGCCATTATATCGTGAATAGTATTTCTTGTGCTTTTCTTGCAATAGAAAATGTAGGTCTGCGAATTGCTTGTGGTTTAATCCGGATAATGGAATTGGAACTAAGAACAAATCTGCTTCTTCTGGGCGTGATGTATATACTTTGGAGTTCATTATTGCTTCAACGACTGTTTCTTCGGATTTATAATAAGGAGAAGGTGATGGTTGGAAGAAATGTTTTGGAAAAATTGATTTTGGATAAATATAAATCTTTAATGGAGGCCACTGGTCAGTGCTAGCAATTCTTTTCAAAATTGGCTCGTCAAGATTGATTTCGCTTCGAGTTAGGAAAAAGAAAAAGGAGAAAATTTTGTAAAAATAAAAAAAATTAAGACTCAATATGAATTTAATCTCTATCTTGCTATCTAAAGAGGTAAAGAGGAAGCTTTTTATGGTAATATGTACCCACATAGACTAGTAAGTATAGTGAATACATTTTGATTGAATGAAAGCAATGATGTATCCTTGGGAAAAGGAATTTTAGAACCTACAAAATTTGTTGATTCTTAAAAAGTGACAAAAATGTAAAACTAAGAAATCTCGTTTATTTTCATATGAAATGCTGTAATTGGAATATGGATATCGTCTTTTTATATTAATACGCTTTGAGGCATATATGATTTATAATGAAATAGAGACTATTGCCGAACTAAAAAAAGTGACGTGATGCGATGTTGATTAGTTTTAGTAATTGGAGATGAATAAATCATTAATTTCCCAATTTGAACGTCTTGGAACAAGTATCCGCAACCTCACTGATATCCTCCAGAAGGAAGAAGATCAGTCGGCTGAACTCCAGAAAATCGAATCCTTAAATCAGGAATTGATCAAAAATATAACGGCCTTCAGATCATATTGTGGAAGTAATCCGCATTTAATCAAGAATGCTGCTATTTCTCCATAAAAATTTCAAGCATCAAATTGATTGATCAAAATTGAAAAACGAAATAATTTTAAACTAAATGCTTAATTTAAAAAAGATACATTTTTTCAATTTTGTTCTCCAAATTTTTTCCTAAGATTTGTGTCACTTTTTAATGCTAAACTTTGATGAGCAACAAAGCTATCAGAGAAGTTACATGTCCAATTTCGAAGGTTAAGCATATCATTGTCAGGAAAGATGACACTGAAGCCATAAGAGCACTTCGTATTTGGGCCACAAAATTATTTGTCCGAATGCGACGTGGAGAATCCATTCTTTTATCAATGGATTGTGAAGGCTGGAAGCTTGGAACTATTCATAAGTCTCTCGGTCTTCTACAAATATGCGAAATTTTAGATCAAAGTATTCTGATTAAACCAAGAGATGAATCACAAAAATCATTAAGACTTAAGTCAGGATTCTTAGTTCACTTTCCTACTACCAACGAAGTAATCGATATTCTATCAGGTGTCTTACATCATCCAAATGTAATTTTATGTACTTATGATTTCACATCTGATATCTCATCCTTGATGGAAGCAGGTGTAAAGATCAATACGAAAAGAATTTTTGATGCCCAATTGGTCAGTGCTTCGAATACAAGTACAGAACCAATATGGGTTCTTACAGACACTCAGGCTCGCTCTATTATAGCGCGTGCAAGAGGTATGATAGGAACTGTGAAAGAAGCGCAGGATGCCGTTAACTTTATGTCATCCAAAAAAGGAAATATGTTCGAATTTCTTACATTTCTACATAGAAAGGACCAAGACCCATTTGCATCTATGGTTGATGATGACTTTTATAAATACGCTGCTGGTGACTTAGTTATGACAGCTCTTGCTGCATTATATAGTTTCTATTTTGGATTTAGCTCGAAAACATGGGAATTATCTGCTATAAAGGTTAAAGAGTTCTTATCACTACAAAAGATGCATCAACAGGTGCTCATGCCATCAGCTGTACGTCAAGAAGCCTTCTTAACGAGATATAACCTCAAAGATCTTAAAGAATACCAAACTTCTGGTTACAAAATACCTTTAACAGATGACTCTGTTATCCGTATGGCTCTAACATTGTATGTTAAAGCTGATATGATTGTTAATCTTCTTAAAATCCTTCCAGAAAAATATTCTAAGTCATTTAGTGAAATTAATGCTCAGATAATTAGAAATGACTTGGAAGGGAAGCTGGAAGAAGTAAAAGCTAGAATTCAGACGCTTAGTCCATTCGATGACGATACAAACATAGAAGAAGCTCAAAATTAGTATTATACTTTTGTTGTATTCCTCATAAAATGTTTGGTTAGAATGTTTTTAAAGAAAATTTTACAAATTTTTATTTAATTTTTTTTAGAATAATAGAAATATGGTGTTTTCCATTATTACATTTGCTTCTTGATAGAGTGTTTAGAGAAAATTTACAAATTTTATTTAATATTGTTAATTTTAAAAGCAACATTAATGATAATATAAGATGCACAATTGTCTGTGATCGTTACTTTATTTATTGTTAAATTCATGAGCTTGAAACATATCAAACAACTAATTCTCAGCATTATTTTGGAACTTCACCATTACCAATAAAAGGACCATCAAACATTGGCAATCAAGCAATTTATCTATGCCAGTTAATGGAAATACTAAAGCAAGCCCTGATCACATCCGAAGGAATTTCAATTCCATATCAGCGGATGTACCCACGCAACATGTCTCTTCTATTTGGAATGTCTTATAGTATGCAAATGCATCAAAACATGACCCCATTGTAGCTTGTTAATGTAAGAGTTTGCATTAATAATAGCAAGAAAAACAGATAAAAGAAAGAAGGTGAAATACTCGAATTTGATGATTAAAATGATAGTGAGCATGAATATTATAGCGATGATGAAGAATTCTAATTAGTGGAGAGTAATGCCCCGAGAAAGAAGAGCAGGGCTGGCAAACATTCACAAAAAAAGAAATCATTGAAAATTATTCCCTCATATAACCCGAGCTTGTAGATGAGGTTGAAGAGAGTGTTAATTTGATTGATAGGTCAATTAAAATAGGAATAAATGTAAAGAATGATCAGAAAAAAATTCTCGGCCTAATTAAAGGAAGTTTGGAAAATACAATTTTCTCGGAGGGAAAAAAATTGTAGCTTCAAAGTCATTAACAAAAACAAAGGTAACTAATTATCTGTAGAGATTTTAAACATCTATCAAATATTTGAGAAAAGAAAAAAAACTCCCAAACTTTCTTCTGTTAATCTTAATGCTTCGAGAAAACTTTCATCAGCTCCAAAAGAGTTCATTCATTAAGTTACAGAAACTGAAATTGAATAGTGAGTTTTTTCAAATGTTCTTACAATGGATAGCGATTAATTGTGTAAAAGAAGTCATGAGAAAAATACTCATGAAACTTAATGGTGAATAAGAGTCTTTCATTTTCGTGTGATAAAGTCTATTTTTATATTTTTATTAATTCACCTTTGAAATCAAAAATATTAATTATTAAAAAATCTTCATCGCTTGAAGTCTTTCCTGTTTGAGTTAATTTGAAAGATACAAAATATTCTTTGGTTTGAAGTGGAAATTCTTTGATTTCACTTTGTTTGAATTCATAATATTTATCATTATCTAATACAACAGTTGTTCCATCTTCTTTGATTCCTTCTAACTTCCATCTCCTCAATAAATTATAATCATTTTGATTGTTTGATTGTAAAATATAAGATATTGGTTTTAGTTTATATCCTTTTAGATCAGCTTTTATCCATGAATTAGGATGATTGTCTGTACAGGATTGAACATCACTTCTATAAGAATTTATATCTGATAAACTTCTTCCATTTTCAACAGATGAAGCTGTAAATTCCATTTTAATTTCTTCAGAAGCTTTTAGAATGTTATAAGCACAAATAGAGTTATTTGATATTGTAAATTGATTGTTAATTAAAGGTTTTTCGAATGATGAAACAGGTTCATTTGAGATTTCAATATTTTCTCTAAAATTTGAATGATAATTCTTTAATGTTTCGTTATATATAGAAAGAAGAACTCTTTCGAATGAATGTTCAATACAAAAATTATAAATTATGTCATAAGTTTCTCGTGAACAAAATGTAAGTTTGATGTATCTAAATAAGTCAAAGAATATATCATTCTGTTTGCAGATTGATAAAAGTAAAAGAGATAAATGATCTTCGTTGTCGATCTTTAATTCGTCTGAGGTAATGATTTTTTCACAAAATTCATATCCATTTTTTGCGAAATGTTCAATGATATCTCTATCATCTAAACAATACAAATGTGATGAAATGAATCTAATGCATTCGTTTTCTGTTATAATATCATTTTCAAAAACTGAAATTTCATACTTTTGAAAAACATTTTCTTTTGTAATAGATTTATCTAATTTAACATGTTCTGTATATAATTGTATGAATAATTGATTTCCAAAATGTTTTCCAATTTCAAATATATCATGATAATGTGATTCATCTTCTTCAAAGTCAAGTTTTCCTGTTTCAAGAAACTCTGAAAGTATATCAATTGAATCTTCACATCTAAGGTCGAGATTTGCTTCATATGATGATCTCGATTTATTAATAATGCATTTTTCTTGGATTAAATCTGAAAAACAAACTGCAGATGACTTCTTTGTTTTGATTGATCGACCATTAATATTGATATTAAATCGTCCACATTCTGTCAGAATGCCAACGCGCTTTATTTCCTTGCATGATTTCGTTATTTGAACCATGAAAAAAAAAATAAGAAAATTAAGATGGTGGTTCTCATTATCCAAGGATTCAGTATGAAATTACATTTGTGTTTAAATATTAAAATGTTTCAATTCATTTTCCAATACAAAACAATGGCATTAATCGAGCTCAAAATAACCAAATCTAAGTCATCAGAAATATGAATGGAGTCAATAAATATTAATAAGTAAATACTAATGTATAAATAAATGTAAATAATTTTTTTAATTCTACATTAGCAAATCTTTCCTATATAAAGGGTTCATTCATCAAAGAATGTAAATTTCATTGAATACTAAACTTTTGTAACAATGGTAATTCATCCTGTTTCTTTTTCTATCCATCATTTGGATAATTTATATAATCTTAATAAAATAAGGTAAATATATTTATATTATTTATACTTTTTCTGATACGAATTCGCTCTTTCAAAGAGCTTATTCCTTAAATGTTCTTTCATCAGTGGATCTTTTGCGAGAGAAATGACTTCGCTGTCCAATTTGCAGCCAAGAGAAATAAGATAGTCAACAAGATCGAAATTACGGCTAAAAATTGCAGAAATAAGTGGTTGTTTCAAAGTAATATCTGCACCTTTATCAATAAGCAGTTTTGCAAGGTCAAGCCACCCATTATGGCATACTAATGTCAAAGGCGTATCCTTCCAATTGTAGACTTCATTCACTGTTCGCTTGTCTACAAATCTTTCGATGAATTCTTTCGTAACTTCATAAAATCCATTGGTAATGAGCATCTCTAGAGGTGTGTAAAGGAACTGCGTGCTCTTCTTTCTCATATGATATATGAATGCCCGCGTATTCATCCAATCCAAGCAAGATGCTGGTCTTATTTCATCTTTGAATCGGAAATTGAGTTTGAGCCAATCTGCGATGTCATTCTTATGGTATTTAATGGCATATTCATATGCATTAGTGAGTTTTGAGTCACTCTGGACAACAAGTCGGAAAATTTCTAAATTTCCTCCTTTGATTGCATATTCTAAGCAAATCGGATCGAATGGAAATGATTGCATCATAAACTTAAAACATTTGCATGCGCCATATTCTGCTGCTAAGCAGAGATGAAGTTGGTTTAAAGGAAAATTTGGATTACATGATAATTCTATAAGCTCGTCAAGCATATCATGAACTATATAATACTCTAATGGGTTAGCACTTTCTGGTATGAGATCGCAAATTTCTTTTATTTTCGCTGCTGCATCTGGATATCCTTTACTTTGTCGTATTTTCGCATTTAAGAGACGCTGAAGGGGTGAATCTCTGTACAACTTCTCGTGGAACGAGAGATTCGATCTTGCTTTCTCTGAAATATTATTATAAATTTCTGAAATAACCCAAATTCGTAATGGATTAACTTCCGCAACTTTATATGCTAGTCGAAGAAAATATTTGACTTTTAGAGGATGTTTTTCCAGATATTCAGAGAGTGAATTTGTAAAATCTTGATAATTTTCATCATTAACAGTAAAAAATGTATCCTCCATGCTAATAAAACTGCTGAGGTTAGGTTCTAATTCTAAATCTGATAATAGTAGTCCATCAGAATATTGAAACATTCATTTTATGACAGTTAAAGTAATAATTATTTAGGACAGTTAAGTTACAGAAGTGAATTTAGAAATGAGCATATTGAGTGAATTCAATTCTATAAAGGATAAATTAAAATAGAATCTTTTTATTGTATTCAGGAGAAAGAAAATGTATATGAGTAGGTAATAAAATACAAATGAACTGAAAATACAAAATAAAAAACGTAAATTCCGCGTTATAATTAAAAATTATGCGCCTTGATTAATAATTTGTGTAAGGACGTCAATTTCATCATCAAGCTCATGATTTCTTCCATGATCAACGTAGACTAATTCAGAAACAAGTTTTTGAATTTTCATTCCAGTATTTATTTGATGAGTAGCAAGTTCAGCACGAGATTCAAGATCTTTTATGAAGTCTGATGACAATGCAACTACAAAATTTTCTTGATACTCTGTATTATCTTTCTTGAAATTAATATTTTCTGTTTCGAATTTCTTCACAACAGCTTTCTCTTCTTTAACATATTTAACATATTCTTTTGCAATTGCTTTATACTCTGGTGTATCTTTTTGTGTGGAATTATATTTTTCACCAACTTTTTTAAGTGTTTCAACAGTTTTATCTCTATCTCTTTGTGTAGTATCAAGCCATTTTTTCTTTTCCACCATTCTATCGTGATAAGGTGACATTTTCAAAATGTCATTGTAAACATCTTTTGTTTGTTCAATATGTTTCTCTTGTCCGGATTGAATTTCCTTGTTAGTTTCCTTTATTTCAGATAGTGTTGACTCGTAATCAGCAAATAGTTCTTTGTTTGCATCATCATATTGTGATCCGAAAAATTCGTTCATATCAGTCAAGTAATTTTTATCAGCAAGCTTCTGTGTTTCCATGGCATCATTCATTGCTCCAAGTTCAGGAAAGTTTCTGTATTTTTTAAAAAAATTCATTCAACTTGAAGTAAAAAAATGACAAAATTCATTGAAATATATTTTGGCAAATGGTATTGAAAATTGAGATATTTATGATTTGTATGTATTACTGTAGGACATATGCTAGCATAAATTCATTATATTTTTTTGAAAAAAAAATCCTATATTGAATATCTGAATTGTTGACTTTGTTCCTCATCTGAGGTGCTCGCACAGATGTTGTATCCCAGAAGAGAAACAATGTCTTCAAAGATGACTTGAGAGAGTCATTGAAGACTTTCTTTTTCAATCAGATACTGATTGAAGACTTAGTTTCTCATGTGAAGTACTTGTACAGATTTTGTATCTCATGATACTGATAAAGGAATGATTTGAACAAAAAAAAGTGGTATTTAGTTTACTAAATCATTTTCCCCCCAATATAAAATTAAGCATGTCGGAATTGCCAAAGTCATAGCTATTTTTCAAGAAGTATTTCCAACGTGGGAAATAGTGTAAAGCATTGAATTTAGAAAAAAAAAATCGAAATCGTAAATTTTTTTTGGTTTTGAAGGAGTTTTCGTTAAAAAAGAGGCATATATTATTGGTATAATTTATTCAACTTAATGAGCATGCTCTAAATCTTCATATAAATCACTCAAATCTGATACAATTTATATTATTTTTATTTAATTCTCACATAAACTACATTCTGATTGGACTTTTGGGCATATTCATATTATCCGAATATAAATATCAGAAAATACTTTATTCATATACGCCTCGCTAAACTATTGCCATGGGCAATAGTTTTTTGGGCAATAGTACGTTATTTCAAATATACGGTATTTTTTTGAGTTTACACTATTTCCCAACCTTAAACTTTTTTGGGCAATTGGACGTTATTAGGAATTGCCCAACTGTTATAAATGGTAATACTTTAAAGATGTGTTAATCATCAATAGTATCAGTGAATCTATCTCAGATCTCTGTTTTGGGGTCAAACTAAACTTAATAATTAAGTTATAAACATAAAACTATGAAAACATAATGAAACAATCACCAATATAAAATTCATACTTGGATAAATTATATTATACGTTTAGATAATACGTTTAGTCAATACATAGATTAGATACGTTTAGAAACGATAAAAATAAATTGACGTTTAGAATAATCATTATTTTTAATGTCTGATACTCCATACTACACCATATTCGTTCCAAGCGAATTCCATACGCCAGTTACAAAGAAGGCTACTCAACCTCCTCCAGGCTTCACTACATGGATCAAAAATAATGACAGAAAAGCCTATTTTAAATGCAACCATGAATTCGAAAATAATGGGAAAAGATATACATGCCAGTTATGTATAAGAGCAGATCGCGTTGATGATGAGAAGACACGCCTTAAACATAAACATTATCATATGAGTCTCCTTAAGGATTCGATTTGTAAGAATGATGAAGATTTACCCGATGAAATTGATTTTGCAATAATGGAATTTTTTCGCGAAATGCAACGTGCCAATTTCCACTATTACTAAGCCAAGCTTTATCAAAATGGTTTATCTTCTTATTAAGACAGGCCAAATGAATCCAAAAGCAAATCCTGAAGACTTGTACAAGCCCCTCTCAAGAACTCAGTTTACCAAGCACTTCATTCAAAAAGGAATGGAGAGATACGATGAGTTCTTGGAGATGTACAAAGAAACTCAGTACGTAGCACTTGCAGTTGATGCGGGAAAGGAAGGATCGCATAATTATTTTGATATGATTATTGCTAATCCATTTAGCGAATTACCTCCTCTAGTCTATAATAGTGTTAAAGATTTCAAAGGCGATATGATTTCATATGAAGAAGAGCTAAGATCAGTTCTAAACCAGCTAATTTCTGAAGGATTTATCGTTACAGGAATAGTAAGCGATAACCTTCGAGTTCAGGTTAGTGCAATTGAGAAGGTCCTGAAAGATTTTGGGTGTATTGTCCATATCCCCTGCGGATGCCATACTTTAGAACTTGCTTTAAAGGATGCGGAAGAAACAGAAATCATTAATGAAGGCAAGTATGACTTAGAGTGGTTTTCTAGGATGTTCAACCGTAAACATGCTCATGCAGCCCTTGAAGTTGCACCACCAAAACGCTGCGCCACAAGATGGAGCAATTTATTTGCTATAGCAGAATGGATTGTTCGTAGAAGATTGCGTTTGATCCAATTTTGTGCAAGCGGTGAAGCAATTCAGATCAAAGATTTCCAAGATGAATGTCTTGACGAATGGAATGAGATGGCTGATATCATTACAACTTCAGCTCCAATCATGTTCACAATTTTACTTCCATTTGCACACATGATTAAGGTTCTTGAAGGAGATGGTGTTGGCGCATTCAAAATTTACGGTTATATGATGAGTACTATTGCAAATTTGAAGGATATTGTAACAAAAGTTCCACAATTACAAGAAACAATTCTGAGATTGATAGATTTGGTACTTGAAAGATTAAATGATACTGAATCTGGTTTAACCTTCAGAGTCATGCATGATATTAGTGCTAGAGGACGTGAAGTGAACATTCAAATAAAACAATGTGGAAATGATAAAAATGCAATTGATGAAATTTGGAAACGCTATTATCCAATTAATATTAGCGAAGAAGAATTATCATTAATTGATGATTGCAAAGTTTTACTTGAAAATTCTGAAGAAATTAGAGAAAATATTGTTGAAGGATTTGAAATTGGTAATCATAAAATGGAAGAAATTGAAGAAGAAACACAACAAATTCATCCTCAACGTCATCAAGCTGAGCATTTTGAAAATCCTGTAAATGTAAATTATAATGGTCAGGTAAATGTAGTTAGTATCATGAAAATGGGTACCAAGGGTCTACGCCCCTCAGTCCCCCTTTTCATGTTTTGACAAAATAATCGGATATCGTAAATTTACAAAACATATTTTTGACATTTACAAAAAATAAAAAAAATATTTTTAAAAAAATTAACTTTAAAAAATAACCTTAATTTATTTTTATTTTATTTTTTTTTATTTTTATATAAATATGTCAGATTGCATTTATTACGACACTTTTCCTGGACGTTTCCATGAACTTTTCAAAACGCAAGTAAAACTAAGAAACATGCATTTTAACAGAAGTGAACCCATTGATGAAATCAGAAATCCTGAATATATTATAATACCTTATGATGTTAAATTTATTGCGTACATTCCTTATGGACGTAGAGGAACTAAAACAATTTCAACAAAGACGAAAAATTATTTCTGGAGTGATGAGGAAGGATGTATTTTCTACATTAATGCATACTTAAATAAAGTCACATACGTTAAAACCATTGGTTATACATTCTTTGAATTTTTCATATTTGATGACGATGGAAACAGACGCGCAGTTTATCCATTCGAATATACTTATAACTGTTTTCATAAAGCCCTAAATGAATATATAGTAAGGAAAGGACTGATACCGGAAGAATAACATTAAAATTTTTTATTTATTTTTTTTATCATAGATTTTTTCGCACTCACAAAATAAAAAAAAATAAATTAACTCAAAAATTTTTAATTTCTGTATATACTAAATTTTATCATAAATGCTAAAATTAATTTAGAGAGCTCTTTGAGCCCATCTCGCCGCTACGCGGCTTAGGGTATATCTAACCTTTTTTCTAACATCATTTCTAACCTAGCCGCTTTGCGGCTCTGATTCGTAGGGTCTCATGAATATTCAACAGTAAATATGCTGACATGAATCAGGTATGTCATCATCAGTGTCATCCACATACGTTAAAGATTCATACCATAAACGAGCTTCACGGGAGATGAGAAGTAATGAAACAATAATTAATAATTTATTAGTAAAATTCATTTTATATAAAAATAAATTTATTATTTCATTCATCTGATTTTTCGAATTCTTCTAACTTCTTCTTCAGTTCTGCTATGTTATCTTCATATAACTTAATCTTTCTTAATATTCCATCTTTATTTAATGGCTGCTTAATTTTTCTAAATTGAACTCTACCATCTTTCATTTGATGAACATAAAAAACTTCTGGAATAGTTCCTGATTTAATGTATTCAACTAAAAATTTTTGTTTTGTTGCTTCAGTAATTTTAGCACTCATTTTATTAAAAGTAAAAAATAAAAAATATTTTTAAAATTAACTTTATTTTTTATGACCCTTTGGGTCTGAGCCGCTTAGCGGCTTCGTCGTCTTTTCCTTAAATCCTGTGGATCAACTAGATCGGTTGAAGGTCTATTACTTTCTTTATAGTGCTTATAAAGTTTATAAGCCGCCATATGATAAGGATAATTAAACCATAAATACACTTTACCTAAAGTTTTCAATCGATTATATAAATCATTATTGTTAGACGTTTCAGGTGGTGCAGGGTATTCGAGAACATCTCTAACCATTTAATTACTTTAAAACTCTTGGTTTCTTTTTAGTTTTTAACAGTTTCTTTGCTTTTGCGATTTTAGCTAAAATATATCTTCGACCGTAATGGAACCAATTCGAACCTCCTGTTTTAGGGTCAAAAGGTCTTCCATAACCGCCAGGGTCATATGGTGCGACCGCAGTTACTGGCGCTGGTGCTGGTGCTGAATTAATCGGCGGTGCCTCAATTGGTGGATATTCTGGCTGTTTCTCCTTTTCTTTAAGTGAATTTAATTTAAACTCTTCACCATTCAACTGACCTTTAAAATCTTTTAGCTGCTTAGATATTTCATTATCTTCACCTAAAAGATTTTGCGACTGGTCAGCAACCCAGTTACCTAATTTCTTTAACTTTTCAGATTTTAATTTTCTGGCAGCAGCTCCCACAAGCATTCCAGCATTATTTTTTAAAGCTTTTGATACAGCTCCACCAGTTAAACCGTCAATAGCTTTATAACCTCCATACAAAGCTGATAGTGTTGAAAATACCATTTAATGCTTATTAAAATCATTTCTCATAATGATTAACTCATAAAATTTTTCATCGGAGCTAAACGTTAATGAAACTCTGACTTTTTCACCACTGAACCTCTTTATTAGTTCATTAATTCTATCAATTATATTAGCACATCACTTACATCATCAATGATAGTAATATCATCACAAATTATTTTTACATTTAACGACGTCATTTATTACAAATTAATTTCTTCTATTCTTTAAATAATTAATGACCTAATACGTGGGAGTTGTCGTGGCGCTTTCGCTGGCTTGTTTGAATCGGTGTAGATTTTTTCAGACCTGTTGGAATAATATCAGCCACGGCAGTTTGATTAATCGGCATTCTATATAAATTTCTATATAAATATGGTCCAGCTACAGCACCGCAGCTAATAAAAGACCTACAGGAATTACAATTCTATTATAGTTCCGCGGTTTAGGGTCTTCATCAAAACTAGCCCATGCGCTTTCAGTCGTTGAACTCATTTATATATAATTAAATTTTAATAAGCGATTAATATGAGTTCGATAATAATGCTATCTTTTCTATCACCAGGAAGGACAATATCTTTTAGGCTCGATGGTTCAACTAATTTTATATTAAATTTATTAACATAATTAGTTATTGAATAATGTTTCGGCGGAGAATACAAACAGTTTGATAAACATAAAATAGAATCTTCAGCGAATTCACTTATACTTGATTTAATGATTGCTGCTTCTCTGGACCAAACGCCGTTAAATGAAATTGATGTTAATAAATAATCATCATTTTTAATGGAAATTGATTTTGGTAGGTACTCCAGGAGGTCATTTAATGTTATCTGTTCTGCTCCGAACTGAGCAAATCGATAAAAGCATTCATCATTATTAATTCCTGTAATCTCTTGAAAATTTTTATTCGTGTATACATTTTCAATCTCATCACCGACAGCGCTATCTTTTAAATCAAATATGAAACCAGCTTTTGAATTTGAATTAACACGAAATTCTATTGAATTAGTTTCAAAACTATAAAACATATCAACTTCATTAGGTTGAGGATATCCGGCACCTTTTAACTGTTCAATAAGAACTGATTTAATCTTTTTATTAAATGCTGTCATATCATCTCCTGTGTCTAAATCTATATAAATCTGTAAATCATATTGATGATTATCTCTTATTATTCCAAAATTATATAATTCAATGGTTCGTCCTGCAGGAATGGTTTTTATCTGTCTTATTTCAATCGCTTTTTCACCAGTGTTATAATCAACCCAGTGTTTAGGATACTCATAAATGTATTCACCATTGATTATTTTAAACGGTTGTGAAAATATGTGTTCATAATAGATTTTAATATTTTTATCATTAAGACCGGGAACGGTATTAACAAAATTTCTGACTTGCATTTTTAATTATAATAAAATGAAACATTTATTTGAAGAAGTCGATGAAAAAATGAATGAAAAATCTGATAAACTCAATAGTTCATTAATTCTTCCCTTCAGTAAGGATTATCAGTTCTGTTCAAACGGTGTGTATTTCTATTGCGGAAAAATGGGTTCGGAAAGACTTTTAATTTAATTCGTCATATTTTAATTACTGAACGTTAGGTCAAGATTCATATTATGACCAAATCATTATATCAGCAACTTCAGATTCAATGGATTCAACAGCGAAGACGTTTATAGTAAAGTTCAGGCATCAGTAATTAAAGTTCCAGATAGCGAATTAATTTCTTTTCTTCAACGTATATAAGAAGAAAGAAGAAATATTATGCAATAGTTGAATTTATACAATCAGGAATGCAAAAGACCTCGGAAGAAATGGAAAGAATTATTGATAAACATCATTTGAGACAGCAGGATGGTACGTATGATATGAAACGATTGACAAACTACATTCTCTCAAAACTTTCAAAATATCCTTTTAAAAAATATCCATCAAACACTTTATTAGTTTGTGATGATTTCGCTGGTAAAGGTTTAGTTTCAAAACCAGATTCACCATTAGCTAATTTAATACTAAAGTCAGACATTACACATGACTGTTGCAATACTTATGCAAACGTGGAGGTTTTTAGCATTAAACATTAAACGTTTAATTACTGATTTCGTTATATTTCAAGGTTTCTCAAAATACGATATAGAATTAATTTGGAAGCAATCAGGATAACATTACCTTTTGATGAAATCTGGGATGCTTATAAATCACTCATTTCACCACGTTCATATTTAGAAATTCATATAATGACTAATACAATTAATGTTAAAAATATACCTTGGGAAAGACCAACATTATTTTAAAGCTTTATTTTTAGATGAGGTGTAGTGAATAGATTCCATCCATCTCTATCACCATTTCTGTTTATATTTTTGGTGTCATTCATGTCCACACTTTCTGGATCAGTCAGTTTTTGAGGATAAAGATTTGAATAACTATTTTGAATTGATAGTGCCTCACCTTTTAACGCATAAACTCTATTACTTTCTGCATATTTAATATTTGAACCACCAGATCCATCATTAACATAAATAGTAAATGGTTTATAATCGATGTTCATATTTCGACTTCTGCCTTTTGATTTCTTATTTATTACTTCAACATCTTTATAAACTGCGCCCGTTTCAGTGAATTCAACAAGATTTTCATTTTCAAGTTTCACGTTTAAACCTTTATCAAAGATATTATTCATTTTTATAGTAATAAAAGGTTTTTATTCTCTAGAAAATGAGAAGTAAATCCATCTTAGCCGGTGCAGTGAATGTTCCTATTGAACCTACATCTAATGTTGATTCAAGAACGACAAATAATATTATAATCAAAAATTAGCTCCGAAAACTTGAAAGATAAAGACCAGCTGAAATAAATCCGTTAATTTAAACACAGCTTCAAACACAAACGCTAACAGTGAAGTTAAGTTAGAATATCCACCTCCATTAGAACCATATCGCGTGATGCTCAAGATAATCCATATTCAAATTCAAACTTCTTCAGATAACGTAGACCATTACCTCCTTAATTTATACCAAACAATATTACTCAAAGACGATAAGAAGCTTTTGACAAATCTTATTAGTAAGAATCAAATAATTTTAACAAAGGAGGATTTAGAAAATGTTATATCAAGAATAACAGGGAAACAGTGCGTTTATTGATTATCTTGACCCGAAATCGAATGTTGTGGTCAAATACCAGTATTTATGAAAATCGGTAATATTAGAATAATCGAAACACCAGGAACTACAAGTTTGAGTTTAAGTATAAAAAAATATTCGAATGAATACACAAAACTTTCAACAGAATATAAACTTTGCTTGAAATATGTTTTAACGAATTAATTTAAAATTTATATTTTTATCCCTGGTTCATCATCTAGTCCATTAGCTCTTATATTAGACCAAAAATCAACTTCTATAGTCATTTGAACAGGAGCTTTAATTTCAATTGGTTCGCCTTGAAAATCAACTAATCTAAATGTCATATCTTTTAAATGGTGTGGTTGAATTCGAACCCATTTTCCTTCGTGCCTTAATAAAATCGGAAAATTAGGCATGAATACAGAATTGACGGCGTAACAGAACGATTTATATTCTATAACAGAATTTTTATTATTAACTCCTGAAATTCCTGTTACATTACTTATTTTTGATTCAACATATAAACAGTTTCCATAACATATGTAGGGTGCAGATTTCATTTCAATTATATATTTTTGATTTTCAATAGAAGATTTTAATGGTAATTCTTGATGATAAGCACCTAGTAATAAACGTGCTCGATGAGTCATATCAGTAATTTTAAATTCTTTTTCGGAACTAAATTTTATTATTCCTGAATCAGTTAATTCACAGTTAAGGCTCCGTTAAATTTTTCATCAATGAGATCCTGAATCTTTTTCTCTAACGTATCAATATCATATTTATTTCTTGCTTTAAAATGAATTTCAGTACTAATACCATCAATTTCAAATGTAATGAAATCGTTAGGTCTGTTATAACAAATGAAGCGATAGTGCTAAAATCAAGAACTCTGAAAGCTAGTGGTTCATTCTGAAGACCAAGGTTAGTTTGTAATTTTAATGTCCCGTAATCATTAGGATCAGTACTTTGCAAATAGAACAACATTTTTATTCTAATTAAAAATATGAGTATATCCGCATATTCTTATGAAGCTGATAGGGCGAAAAGATTAATTTTCGGTTCATACACGTTTTCATTTGATGATGAATTTTAATTATCACTGATGGAAAAACTGAACATTATATCTCATGGAAAGAATATGAAAAATTCATTCCAATATTAACGCCATGTACAATGCCTTTTAAAGACGGTGAAATTATTGAAAAAGATAACACAACGTTATAGGTCTGTTTATGAAGCATTAGAATATATGTTGAATTATAATCCCGAAAGATTTGACCCAAGCACTACGCCATGTGCAATGCCCTTTATTAAGGATGGTAAAATCGTAAGGGTTCCGAATTCAACGGTTTATACAGCTGTTCAAAACAGTTTACAAAACATTTTAGCGAATATCTTTAATTCAGAAACTACGGAAATAAAATTACCGTATATAACAGATGCTAAAGAAATTAAATCAAAAACAACAACATTATTTGCATCACTTAATGATTTAATGACTTATATAATTAATATTCCTGCGCCAACTACAGCATTTGATCCAAACTCGACGGTTTGCAGCGTACCTTTCATTAACGACAGTTCAGTAATTGAATTAAGGGATTCAACAGTAATGAATCATTAAAGGCTTCATTAATGAAAATCATTGATTTTAACTCATTCATGAATTCATATAATTCATTCATTAATGTTTCATACACTTCTAAAGAAGGTGAGCCAAAAACCATCGATAAAGCGGTGTATGAAATAAAAGCATCAATGACGAAATTGAATTCGTTAACTTTTGACGGTGATAGTTCCGTTAACAGCATGACATCAGGAAAAACGATTTTAACAAAAGAATATTTAAAATCTCATGTTAGTGAGTTCGTTGAAATTGAAAAAGAAGGCGGAATTAAGTTCGATCCACTGGGTTTCATTTTCGACTTAGCGAATGCGGGTGTTAGTTTCGCTGAATGGACAACTATACAGAGTGAGATAAATGCAATATGGACGTTTTTGGGGTCAAAAGCGGGAATGGGTGAGCTTGTAGATGCTGCAAGAACATTAGGTGAAACGGGAAATTTTGTAGATGGTTTTAAAAGACTTGTTTCAAATGTTTTAACAAACACAAAGAAATTATTTAGATATACCGTACATAACGGACAGATTTTCGAACAGGTAGCAACAAACCCTCCGGTTATGGCTGCGTTGATGATGGCTAGAGACATAAAGCCGCGAGCGAGGGCGAAGCCCACGGAGAGAAAGAGAGGATACGGGTCAGGTTATTCGAGACATTAAAAACGTGTATCCTGAAGTTATTGATTTATTTAGAGGTGTTAATGATTCGATTTCAAATCATTCTATAACCCTTGATGAAGAGAATAAATTAACAGATTATATATTCGTCATTATTGCAGAACTAATGAAGAGAATAAATGAAAAAGGTATTGATATATTATAATGTAGCGATGTAATGATGAAAAGAAATTTTGACTCATTATTTACAGAACCGAAAACAGAATATAGTCTTTATGATGTAATTACTGAATTAATGAAAAAGATTAATGATAATAAGAGTTCTGGCGGAAGAGTTGAATTAGAAGTGAATGATGTTAATGAGAAATTAGATAGTAAAGCAGATAAAAACCATGTGCATTATATAAGTTCAGATGAACAGATTATAACGGACTATCATGGATATTTAACACAGGATGAAGAAGTGAATACGGAAGATGTTAATGAAAGAAGATATAAATTCATTCGTGCTGAAGGTTATGACATACGCTGTGTATAGTATGACACAGGTAAAGCACCAGAAGCATTTGATTATAATGAGGAAATATATGCTTCGTATATCTTTATTAACGATGTATTAGTTGAACCAAGATTTATGTTGAGAGTTAATGCAAAAATAACTTTTGAAGATGCTCTAAAAAATAAAGCTGACAAAGATGAACTTGACGCAACGAACAAAGTTTTGGAATCTCATAAACACAATATCTCCGATATAAATGAACTTAACCTTAAATATTTACAAAACCGCCAACCACTTCACCTCACTAACGACTTCACTAATGAAAAAATAAACGTTCTCACTAACGTTCCCACTAATGTTCTCATTTACAAAAGTATTGCAGCGCTTCCCATTGCTGTGCTTCACACAATAGTTCATATTCTTCAATATCGCTGCTGTCACTCCAATCGTCAGAGTCAAAGTCACTGTCAAAATAAATGTATGTAAGTTTTGACAAAGCTAATGAAACACGCTTACCGTTTGTATCTATTGCTTTTATATATCTCCCATTATGTTTGTTGTCGTAAACGCTCAAACTAACTTTACCCTTTCTCCCTCGTATCTGATAGAATGTATTTTCAGGAGGAACGAAGAACAAATTCTTGAACTCATGACCGTTGTAGTTTGTTATCTCAATAGTTTTCGTCATTTATATAAAAATAAAATAAAAAATTATTTAAAAAATAAACTTAAAAAATTTATAAAAAATCAGCCATTAGAACAGTCAGTCAGTCAGTCAGTTAGTCAGTGACTGTTCTACAAAAATATTTCATACACGACAAAAATAATTTTGAAGTTTACTCCTCTTCAGTGCTTTATAACTCTCTTCCTTGGTTTCTTTTTAGTTGCTTTCTTCACGTCTGTCTCCAACTTGACTGTCTTTCTTCTTCGTCCATAATGATACCAATTACTTCCACCAGTCAATGGGTCAAATGGTCGTTCATAAGGGTTTCCATACATTCCATAAGGCCCGTATGGATAAACCGCTGGTGGAGAAGAAACATTTTCTTTAGTTCCATCGACTCTATTTAAATGCATTGTTTCACCTTTCATCTGGTCATTAAAGTCTTTTGCGTGTTTTGCAAACTCATCGTCCTTTCCTAAAGCATTTTCTGACTCAGTCGCAACCAAATTGGATGCTTTATTTATGAGCCCTATTTTATTTAATCTTAACTTCTTTGCAACCCAGCCTCCAATCTTCCCTTTATTTGCATCTAATGTCTTTGAAACCCTTCCTCCACTCATTTTATTTACTGCGTCATAAGCTCCAAGTACTTTTGCTCCAAATGCTAATGCTTTTGTTCCCATTGCGCCTAAAGCTGCCCAAGCTACCATTTACACCATATTAAAATCATCTCTCTTCAATATTATCTCATAAAAGTTCTCGTTACTGGAGAAAGTCAATGAAACATAAGCGTTCTCACGGGCTTCGCCCTCACCGCTTTGCGGTCTATCTAACTTCTTTCTTATCTCATCTATACGCTTCAAAATGTCTGAACAATTGCTAACATCTTCTACAACAGTTATTTCATCATGAATGACCTTCAAGAACAAGCTCATTTAATATGCAATTAAAATCATTTCAATAATGAGTCCATCCTTTCCATCTTTAGGTAGCACAACATCTTTCATTGAAGAAGGTTCGACAAGTCTTATGTTAAACTTACTGACAAAGTTTGTTATACTATAATGCTTCGGCGGCGAATACATATAGTTTGAAAGACATAATATAGATTCTTCAGCAAATTCACTTATACTGGATTTTATAACAATGTTCTCACGAGACCAAATGCCACCAATTGACAATCTTGTAAGCAATCCTGCTGAACCTTCTACTGTAAACGTCGATGGTAACATTCCACGAAGGTCATCTATTGACATCGTTGAGTCACTGTATTTAAATATTTTCTTAAAGCAATCGTCATTATCTAACCATGCAATAGCTTTGAAGTTTTCATTCGAATATACATCTGCTTCATTAAATGTAAAACCTGACTTAATACATATCATATATCAGTTAATATGTCATAATATTTATTTTATATTAATTTCAAGCAGAATTTTTTGTGATGTTGTTGTCGATATTTTAAATTCAGGAATTAGTCTTATATACGAAAAAAAGAGATCTGACATTGTGTCAGATCTCAGTAAAAGTGACATTTACATGTCAAAAAAATAGAATGAGTTTAAGTAATTAAAATTGAGGGTGAGAGTAGTATTGTATGAAATAATATCTCTCACCCTCCAATTCATCCTATGGCGCCGAAAAAATTTTGGTGAAATGCGACCACATTTCACCAAATTTCTCGGCGCCATATAGAGAACTAGAGCCTGTGAGGTACTGATACTATCCATGTACCTCGCAGGCTCTAGTTCCAAGCCAAAATGGCTAAAAATTGCCCGCAATTGTTCACATTGCGGCAATTTTAGCCATTTTGGCTGGGAATTGGAGGGTGAGAGTAGTATTGTATGAAATAATATCTCTCACCCTCCAATTCATCCTATGGCGCCGAAAAAATTTTGGTGAAATGCGACCACATTTCACCAAAATTTCTCGGCGCCATATAGAGAACTAGAGCCTGTGAGGTACTGATACTATCCATGTACCTCGCAGGCTCTAGTTCCAAGCCAAAATGGCTAAAAATTGCCCGCAATTGTTCACATTGCGGGCAATTTTTAGCCATTTTGGCTGGGAATTGGAGGGTGAGAGTAGTATTGTATGAAATAATATCTCTCACCCTCCAATTCATCCTATGGCGCCGAAAAAATTTTGGTGAAATGCGACCACATTTCACCAAAATTTCTCGGCGCCATATAGAGAACTAGAGCCTGTGAGGTACTGATACTATCCATGTACCTCGCAGGCTCTAGTTCCAAGCCAAAATGGCTAAAAATTGCCCGCAATTGTTCACATTCCCATTTTTGTTGGTAAGACGAAGAATATGAAATAAATTATGAAGAAGATAATGATGAATAAAATATCACTTTTTATATTTTTGACACGTAAAGTTGTCACTTTTCTGTCAAACCGTTTTTATCGTTTTCGTATATAACATTTACACCATATTAAAATCATCTCTCTTCAATATTATCTCATAAAAGTTCTCGTTACTGGAGAAAGTCAATGAAACATAAGCGTTCTCACGGGCTTCGCCCTCACCGCTTTGCGGTCTATCTAACTTCTTTCTTATCTCATCTATACGCTTCAAAATGTCTGAACAATTGCTAACATCTTCTACAACAGTTATTTCATCATGAATGACCTTCAAGAACAAGCTCATTTAATATGCAATTAAAATCATTTCAATAATGAGTCCATCCTTTCCATCTTTAGGTAGCACAACATCTTTCATTGAAGAAGGTTCGACAAGTCTTATGTTAAACTTACTGACAAAGTTTGTTATACTATAATGCTTCGGCGGCGAATACATATAGTTTGAAAGACATAATATAGATTCTTCAGCAAATTCACTTATACTGGATTTTATAACAATGTTCTCACGAGACCAAATGCCACCAATTGACAATCTTGTAAGCAATCCTGCTGAACCTTCTACTGTAAACGTCGATGGTAACATTCCACGAAGGTCATCTATTGACATCGTTGAGTCACTGTATTTAAATATTTTCTTAAAGCAATCGTCATTATCTAACCATGCAATAGCTTTGAAGTTTTCATTCGAATATACATCTGCTTCATTAAATGTAAAACCTGACTTCTTTGCAGAGACGACTTTAAAATCTATTGAGTTTGTTTCAAAATTATATGCTATGGTAACTTCTGAAGGTAATGGATGTCCTTTCGCAGTCAGTTGTTCTCTCACTACCGTTTGAAGCTTTGTATTAAAAACTTTCATGTCATCTCCTGTATCTAAGTTCACATACACAGCAACAGGGAAACTATCTTGCTTCTTTGTTTCATCATTATACCTCAAAACATTAAAGTTCTTCAATAATATTGTTCTTCCTGCTGGAATACTTCGAACCTGTCTGATTTCAATAGCTTTCTCACCTCCTACATACTCTACCAGTGTCTTGGATATTCATAAGTATACTGACTTTCTTGAATTTTGGTTGGTTTCATCATAACATGTTCATAGTATATCTTTATACTCTTGTCAGTTAGACTCGGTGCTATGTTCTGAATATTTCTGACTTGCATTTTTAATGGAGATAAAATGAAGCATTTAATACATGACGTAGATGAAGACATGAATGAAACTACAGACAAACTTAACTCTTCTCTTATTCTTCCTTTCAGCAAAGATTATGAATTCTGTTCAAATGGTGTGTATTTCTATTGTGGAAAGATGGGTTCAGGTAAGACATTTAACCTCATTCGTCATATACTCATAACAGAGCGTTTAGGAAACGACTCTTACTATGACCAAATCATTATATCAGCAACTTCAGACTCTATGGATTCAACAGCGAAAACATTTATGTCAAAAGTTCAAGCCTCTGTCGTTAAAGTTCCAGACAGTGAACTCATTGAATTTCTTCAACGTTACATTCGACGTAAGAGGAAATATTATGCCATCGTAGAGTTCATACAGTCAGGAATGCAAAAGACTTCTGAGGAGATGGAAAGAATTATTGACAAACACCACTTACGTCAATACTCAGGAGTTTACGATATGAAACGACTTACAAACTACATTCTGTCAAAACTTTCAAAATACCCCTTCAAAAAGTATCCTTCAAACACTTTATTAGTTTGTGATGATTTCGCCGGAAAAGGTTTAGTGTCAAAACCAGACTCACCATTAGCTAACATCATAACTAAAGTCAGACATTACCATTTAACTGTAGCAATACTTATGCAAACATGGAGGTTTTTAGCTTTAAACATAAAACGTCTCAATAACGACTTCGTTATCTTTCAAGGTTTCTCACGCTATGATATTGAACTCATTTGGAAACAGTCAGGTATAACATTACCTTTTGAAGAAATTTGGAGCATATAAGTCTCTCATCTCTCCTCGTTCATACCTTGAGATTCATATCATGACTAATACCATTAAAGTCAAAATATTCCATGGGAACGACCAACATTGTTTTAAAGTTTAACCTTCAATTGACTGATGGTAAACAAATTCCATGCATCTCTGTCGCCATTTCTGTTAATATTTTTGCTGTCATTCATATCATCCACTTCCCCATCCGTTAGCTTTTGAGGATATGTGTTAGAATAGCTGTTCTTAAATGAAGGCTTTTCACCTTTGAGAGCATAAACTCTATAACTTTCTGCATACTTTATGTTTGAACCTCCTGAGCCATCATTGACATAAATTTTTATAGGCTTCCACCCTTTGTTCATATTCCCTGCTTCTTTGCTCTTTTGTTCAGTAGTTCTTCATCTTTATACACAGCTCCTGTCTCAGTGAATTCAACAATATTTTCATTCGTTAGCTTTACATTCAAACCCTTGTCGAGTATATTGTTCATTTCATACATATAAAAGGTTTTTATTCTATATGAAATGAGAAGCAAATCCATCTTAGCTGGTGCCGTTAATGTTCCAATTGAACCAACATCAAATGTTGACTCACGAACGACAAACAATATTGTCATAAAGAACTATAGTTCGGAGTGTTTGAAAGAAAAAGAACCAGATCTTAAGTCGGTGAATTTAAACACAGCTTCAAACGCTAACGCTACATCAGATGTTAAGTTAGAGTATCCACCACTGGACCAAATTCTTTCAAGAGAAGCCAACGACAACCCTTACACAAATGTTCAAACAAATCCTTCAGATAACGTAGACCATTACCTTCTTCAGTTATACCAAACAATTTTACTCAAAGACGATAAGAAGCTTTTAACAAATCGTATAAGCAAGAACCAAATAATTCTAACAAAGGAGGACCTTGAAAATGTTATCTCACGAATAACAGGAAACAATGTGTCATTGACTATCTCGACCCTGAAATCGAATGCTGTGGTCAAACTCCACTATTCATGAAAATAGGTAACATCCGCATCATTGAAACACCAGGAACTACAGGAGTTGAGTTTAAGTATAAATATTCGAACGAGTATACAAAACTATCTACTGACTATAAGCTTTGTTTGAAATATGTTTTAGTAAATTAAAGCAGTCAGGACCTTCGGTCTTGGCGCTTTGCGCCGTCAGTCAAAAAATTTCAAGTTAGCAATTTGTAATATCTATCCAAAACTTCTTCAACAGTATCGAACTCATCTTCATAATGCAAACCTAATCTTATTGACTTGGTGCAGTTTTCACTAACACAATATTTTTCTGTTCTCTTGACTGACATAACTAACTCATTTGTTTCATCAAACAGCAACAACCAAAGTTCATGACCTAATACATAACATTCATACTTTATATTTTTAGCTCTGAGTTCTCTGTAAGCTGTTGCATTTAATATTTTCTAAAAAGTCAACTTCAACAGTCATTCGCACTGGTGCCTTCAGTTCTACAGGCTCTCCTTGAAAGTCAACAAGTCTGAATTGCATGTCTTTCAAATTATGAGGACTAATGCGAACCCATTTACCTAAATGAGTTGCTATGACAGGAACGTTTGGAATGAACATTGAATTGACTGCATAACAGAAGGATTTATATTCTACTGAACCTTTACTATTAACTCCTGAAATGCCTGTGACATTAGCTATTTTAGACTCAATGTATAAACAATTACCATAACATGCGTATGGAACAGATTTCATCTCAATCGTTTTGTCAACACTTTTCAAAGGAAATGTCATATGGTATGCTCCCAGAAGCAATTGTACTCTATGACTCATTCGTGTTATCTTAAACTCCTTCGCATAACTGAACTTCAATGTTCCCTCAGAAGAGAGTTTGACATCTATGTTGTCAATAGTTTCTTCATTTATGAGAGTATCTATGACTCCAGCAATTTTATCTATTCTATACCCAGCTCTATTAGGAAATGTTATAACACTTCTTTTGTCATCTATTTCAATCTCTATGAAATCTGTTTCATCTGTTATGACAAAAGTTGCGATAGTATTGAAGT